CAAACATCCGCAAACACGACGCATATCAACAACTTAGAGGGTACTCGTCAACGACTACGGTGGCAAGTCATATCATTGTTGGATACGACAAATGAGTTGAGAACCTATAGTCGACGGCGGTATATGATGATGTCACGGATGCGACGAGATGTTCATGTGGCATTTTGAGCGCGGTAGTAGTTCATCCACCGTTCCCGAGACCGACGACGACGCAACTCGGCCTCCGGACGACTCGACCCGGCCTCCGGGCGACTCCACCCGACCTCCGACCGATCCTGGACATTAAATTATTTTAGCTTTTCTATTTTCTTGTATTAACTGCAACTGATGTACTATTTTTTTGTTATTTAACAATAATTTAATTGTTTAGCGACGTTTTAATACATTTCGAATAATAAAAATTTACGTTTATGATATTTTATGAGATTTTTGTTATTTTAAAATTGTTACTTTTACCTCATTTTATTATAACCGCAAAAAAATATATTTTTTAAATTAGCGACGATCTTAGAAACGGTCTAAACCGTCGCTAAAAATATAATATTAGCAACGACCAACACTTTAGCAACGGTTCGGACCGGTGCTAATCCGTCTCTATTTAGCAACAAGCATACCAAGGGTTTACAAGACCGTCGCTAATTTTGCAACGATCCAAACCATCGCTAAAAAATACCGACGAGGTTTTTAACGACGGTTACTTGACCGTCACTAATTACTCCCTAAAACATTTTAGCAACGATTTTTTTTTTTTTTAGCGATCGGTTCGCCCGTCGCTAAATGGAATTTATCTTGTTGTGTCTTGGGTTATGAGAGGGTCGGTAAGAAGGACGCGAGTCTGCTATAAGTTCCGTAACAACACAACCCATCACTATCTGCATGTGACTATGTAGAGTGTTGGATTGACTGGCTTGTTCTTGGATTGTAATTTTCATCATCTTGATCCTATCTTTGTATAGGGCGAAACCTCATGAATATTACCATCGGGATACCACGAAGTGACAAATGAGGAGCCGACGCTAGAATAAGAGTAAAACTAAAACATCTATGAATTGAGGTAGTACATTCTCTTCTTTTCTCCTCTCTTATAGAATCTAAATATAACTTGGTCATGTCGATGTTTGGAGATGATAAATCACACTCATACTACTCCTTAGCGAGTTGTTTCATGTATTGATTGCATACGCTCTTATATCATTGAAATAATTAGAATATTAAATTATAAATATATTTTTAGATTATATCGATAGATTTATATTTACAAAAAAAAATTTAAAAAAACTTATCATTATTATCTAGGACCGCTTGTTGACAAATGACCCATATTTTCACTTGTGAGTGGTCATGAACAACTGTAAGGATTTGGGTTACGACTCAATTTATTATGTTGAAAAAAATAGACAAAATATTACGAAATATAATAAATGTAAAAATTAATTTATAACACAATAGATAATAGAATTTGTCAAACATTTAATGTACTCAATCAAAAAGATGAATCCCCCTCCTCATATGCCTGGATGGACCAACATTGACATAACCCATCTTTGACATGCTATTTCGAGACACTTCCGACATCAAGCCTAAAACTTAGGTGTGGTCCAATCTCGATGCCATGCTTCCCACACCTGTTGTTTAATAAATATGGGTCCGTTAGTCTTATGCTTCGACTTATTTAGCATGTCTTAGTACCGCCTTCGTGTTAGACTCTCCCATGCATCCTTAATCGAGCACGTTGACGGTCGCATCCCATAAAGGTACTTCTATATAAAGAAAAAAATAATGTTAGTACATTTCATGTTAAATTAATACTTTAAATAAAATATAAATAATTAATTAATATATTATCCTTAACTTATTAAAGTATAGGTCTTTGGTCTCCATGGAGACGAGACTTTCGTGTGGAGCCAATGACAACTAATCGTTTCTTAAAAATTATAATGATTTTTATGAAGCGCTTACTTAATGGAACCAAGTTCTCGAACAAAATAAATAAATAATAAATTAATGATTTTAATATAATATATGAAAATATAAAACTAATTACCATATGTAAAGTATATTGCCCATCGGTTATTCACGATCCAAATAGTTTATCTACTATCGGATTCGGTAGAGCTTCTTAAAGTTGAGGAAACCATTATGGAGACCTTCGTAGCGAGGGCACTATCGACAAGGGCATTGCGGCGAGGACGTCGACGTGTTGACGCTACTATCAAGTCCACGACCTCGGATACTTGCACTTAGTAGTGTCACATTCACGTACAACATCATTATCGGTGACATAATAACGGATACTACCGGTATCACTATCATGACCACAAAAACGATGGCCATCAAAGCCAACACCACTAGCACCATGATCGGATTTGTCCAATCTACAAGATATAACTCTCGAATAACACCAAAAATTGTTTAACAAATACAACAAATGAATAATAATTTGACTCAAAATATATTATAAATTATTATCATAAAAAAAAACAAAAAATCAATACATCTAAAATGCATAATGAACATCTAAAAATCTATAATAGAGAAAATGATATAATTTAATGAATACAATAAATAAATTTGATATTTAATTATAATTGTCATAATCATCTTCTAATTTTTCCTATCCTTAGTTGATTCGATACATATTCACTTCCACCTTCTTCATTAGCTTTAATTACTTATATATCTATAAATGATCCATTTGGATCATTCAATGATTACTCCTCACCATCTTCTTAGATCAAATTATGTTGGATTTTTTACATCCTCCTAAAATGGTTCTATATTTAGTTGGACTCTAATAAATGACTTTGGTAAATCAACCACAACTCTAGCTTTTATCTTACAAACAACTCACCAATCTCAACGGTCATGCTTCAAGTTAGAATACTTAAAATAATACATTTGAGTCGTTTTTTACTCTAGAACAAAGGACTCGTATCTATTGAAACTTCTTCTATCGTTTACCTTTACTACTCTATATTACGGATAAACTCTTGTTCTATTCAATATAAGATCAAATCAATCACATTTAAACACTACTATTCCCTTAATTGATAGTGTAGGATACTCCAATTGCATAATTTCGATCAATATCCCATAATAGTCACTATCATCTGCACTATAATTAGATCATTTAATGCATACTCTACTATTCATACTTACTCTATTTGAACCATGCTTTTTTATATGAAACCTATATCCGTTCATAATGTACCTTGGATAAAATTCTATAGTATGTAAATGGTTATTTAAAAAAAAATGAGATGGTTAATCATACATAAGGATGAGTAAACGGCCAAACGGTTAAATGGTTTGGTTTTGTTTAGTTAACCAAATTAAGAAAAAATGAATCAAAATAAGTTCGATAAGTTTGGTTTGAAATCGAATTATTTTGGTTCGGTTTTATAAAAATTTAATTTTAATCGAGATAATTTTTTGATTGGTAAATTTTAATATAAGCTAGTTAATATTTAGAGGATTTTCATTTTTTAGTATATGGACTGGGTCAATAAAGGGTTAGGCAAATTGGTAAATTTTGAAAAAGAAGAAGGAATGAAGGATGGGGAGATTTTGTACTTTAGCAAATGATCTTTTGTCACTAAAGTAAAACATTAAAAATAATGACGGAAAAAATAATCTGTTATTGATTTCCATAGCCATTGAGTCCCTAACCCTTCGCTAAAACACCTAGGAAGATTTTGACACCTCGGTTAACGATGAAATTTCATCCATCAATGATAAACCATCACCAAATAGTTTTTTTTTCTATCTTTAAATCCCACAAACACTATTCAATTATTATTTATTTATTATTTAGCGATGGATTGGCGTCTATCACTAAAATTCATTGCTATTTTCTAATTTTCTTGCAGTGGGAGGAGCAGTACGAGGGTCCCAGAGAGGTTTCTTTTAGAAATAGGGTCATATCTTCTACGATGTTTTTATGTATGGAACTTAGGAAAGCTGAGGCTTTCTCCTATGATGGGTAAACCAAAAGAACCCGGTGGAAGCCTTTTTGAAGTTTTTTAGGTCAAGAGAAGGTAGATAAAAAGAAGGAAAATAAGCAACTAGAAAAACATTAAGAGTGGTCATAGTTTGTGAAGATCGATGCAAGCTCAACTCTTAAGTTTGTCTTGTTGAAATAATTAGAGGGTTGTTAGCCTGATAGTTACCAAATAGATCGAAGTTTATGAAATGATCATGAGTGTTTAACTTCTTGACCTTTCTTGTAACATATACTTAAAAACTGCTTGGCATAATCGCAAGCTTCCCCTGAATTCAAGTGATGCTTAATTGTACGTAGGTTGTCTTTGTAAATCTTGATGCCCTGTTCCTTGTTTTCTACAAAGAGAGAAAAATGTTTAATTTAGATGACAAATTAAAGCTGCTAATGTTTCATCTTTAGATTAAAACGTTTTCATCGTTGCTAACGTTATATTATAGATCGAGTTCTATTTAATCACATGTAACACATGGTTCTACCGTAATTTTATTTTGTTTGTCTGCATTTTTTTATGTAAATATGCAGCATTCTGAAATGATTTTTTTTTTTTTAAGACAGAAATGCTTTAAAAAGACATTCTTGTCTTGTCGTTATAAAAGTATAATGGCAAACACGTAATAATTCTACCTAGTAAAATGGAATGTTAGTTACGACTTACACCAACTGGCTCTGCAGTTCTCTTAGGATATTTATTTAACACGCCTCTACAGTTGTCCAGCTGGTTTGACTGGCCGTTCACGGCTTACTTTGACCACTGAGTGAGTGGTGCCAGCAGTTCCCAACCACCGTATATTATATGAATACAAATCAACCACGTACGTTCGTAACTTATTAACCATGCTTTGCTTCCTGCTTGCTCAGGCCCGCTTGGCAAATACCAATCTTCAGTCGTCATTCTGTGTGTGTATATATCCTGATTGTTTCGTTTCTGCCTAACTGTGTAGCCACTCTACTTTCTAAACTCTAAGCTCCAAGCTGCAGGCTGATTCATATTCGATACATGGAGACCACACCACTACTGCAGCGCAATAATGAACCACCATCACCATCTTCACCTGCATTACCACTGCCGGAACAAGAAGACTACCCGCCTGGAGCTTCCAAGACCTTCAAAGGCTTCAAGTCTTTGTTTTGGAAAGAGACTGTCAAGTTATGGGAGATTGCTGGTCCTATTGGCTTCAGTTTCGTCTGTGAGTACTCTACCTACACCTTAACCTCTATCTTTGTTGGCCATCTCGGAAACCTGCAACTCTCTGCCGTTTCCGTTTCCCTCTCTGTCATCATTACCTTCGCTTTCGGCTTCCTCCTTGGTATGGGGAGTGCACTGGAGACCCTATGTGGTCAAGCATTTGGTGCTGGTCAAGTTCATATGCTTGGTATCTACTTGCAAAGATCAAGCATCATCTCATTCATCACTTGTGTCCTCCTCTTGCCCATTTACATTTTCGCGGCTCCTCTACTCAAAGTCATTGGCCAAGATGCTGATCTTTCTGACCTTGCTGGAAAATTCACTCGGCTAACCATACCTTCCTTGTTTTCATGGGCTATCTCTTTCCCAACCCAAAAGTTCCTTCAGGCCCAACGCAAGGTTAAAGTAGCCACATGCATTTCCGCTGGGGCTCTCCCTCTGCATGCTCTGTGGCTTTGGCTCTTCATCTATGAGTTTGATTGGGGTATCACTGGCGCAGCAATCGCTGTGAACCTGACCGATTGGACAATTGCTTTGGCTCAAGCTGTGTACGTGATGGGTTGGTGTAAGGAAGGATGGCATGGATTTAGTCTGTCTGCATTTAAGGATCTTTGGTCCTTTCTTACCCTCTCACTTGCTTCAGCTGTCATGCTTTGCCTGGAGGCTTGGTATATGGTGAGTATTTTTCTTCTCGCTGGGCATCTCAATAACGCGGTCATTGCTGTTGGTTCCCTTGCCATCTGGTCAGTCATCTCCACCTACACTGCATTAACAACAACATTAATTAATTAATTAAATTAGATTGATTTTAACTTTTGCTTGTTTTTTAACAAATTAATATATTCTTTGGTCAGCATGAATATCAATGTGATTGAACTAATGTTGTTCCTGGGAGTAAATGCTGCTATAAGGTAATAGATTTATTGATTTCCTTCGTGTGTGTGTGTGTGTATATATATATCGTGAATGTTGATTAATTAATAAGCACAATATTAATTTCAGCGTTCGTGTGTCGAATGAGCTTGGAATGGGGCATCCAAAAGGTGCGAAATATTCGGTCTATGTGACTGTATTTCAGTCTCTTATGATTGGACTGGTTTGCATGGCTGTTGTGTTGATAGCTAAGGACTACTTTGCCTACCTTTTCACAAGCAGCGAAGAGATGCGAGTAGCTACCTCTAAACTAGCATTTATTCTTGGTATCACCATGGTTCTTAACAGTGTTCAGCCAGTGATATCAGGTAATTAAGTAGCTAGCTAGCTAGGTTATCATTATTAATTGTGGAGTAAAATCGATAATTTATGCATTCCGATGACACACATACATACAGGTGTTGCTGTTGGTGGTGGGTGGCAAGCACTAGTGGCCTGCATCAACATAGGTTGTTATTATGTTTTTGGGCTGCCACTTGGTTACCTTCTTGGATACAAAGCAAAGTTGGGAGTTCAGGTGCGTACTCTCTCTCTCTCTCTCTCTCTCTCTCTCTCTCTCTCTCTCTCTCATATATATATATATATATATATATATATATATATAAGTTAATTAATTACTCAATTATTGTTAAATATATACTATCATACATGTCCTAGGGAGTATGGGGTGGGATGCTAGGTGGAACTGCTTTGCAGACCTTGCTGCTTTTGATTGTACTCTACAAAACCAACTGGAAAAAAGAGGTAAAAAAACTTCTTCTTGTTTTCTTTTTTAGAGATAAATAAAAATTTTATTTATAGATATAAATTAAAATTCAGGTTGAACAAGCAGCAGAACGCATGAGGAGGTGGGCTGGGGAAGAAGATGAGAAGAAGAACAATCATATGGATGATGCAGCTAATGAAGCGTAAAAAAGCTAGCTATCTCATTAATTGATTAAGAAAAATAACAATGAAGTCTTCCAGTTGATGCAATTTTAATTAGCACAACCTAGGAAATCAATATTCTTCAGCTATTTCAATTTTGGAGGGACCACGGACAAAGAAAGAATCTTGATTAGGCTTTTTTTGTCTTGATCAATTAATAAATAATTTGATCTTTAGTTAGCAGAATAATAATAATGCCGTTAACTACAGCATTGTCAACGTTAATTGCCGACGTCTTGTCTAGTCCCTCTTATAATAGGTAATTAAACAATCATAAAATTGAAGTGAAAATTAATACTACTCCGTATCTTAATTTGCTAAATTAAGTAGTTGAAGAGGCATCAATTTCTTGATTAATTAATTAATGCAACAAGTTACTAATTTTGGAGACGACATGAGATGAATTAATATAGAGGGACATAATTGTATCTTTATATTAATACTTTAAATATCTTGTTTAATTTGAATTAGAAATAGTCAGCGTCAGGATGGCCGAGTGGTCTAAGGCGCCAGACTCAAGTTCTGGTCCTCGTGAGAGGGCGTGGGTTCAAATCCCACTTCTGACATTTTGTTTTCCTCTCTTTTTTATTTCTCAATTCATGCTTACAATAGAGGGGTTATATAACCATTCCCTTCTTAAAGCAGAGGGGGAAATACCCAATGCAATATTGGTATCTATGAGATTACATTTGGGCTTTAAACTCTCTCTCTCTTTTTTTTTTTTATCAATAAATTGTTAGTTCAGTAATATATTTTTGTTCATTTTATGTGTTTTTTTAATTTGTTTAGTTTCAAAAAAATGGAGAAGAAAAAAATTGATTCATGGAAATTCTGACTTAAAAAAACATATTTTTAAACTAAAATAATATTAAATTAGTCATGATAAATATTAGTTAAATGACTAAATTATCAGCTTCAAAACAAAAATAACTAATTCTTTCGTTTCTGAAAAATGATGGGATTAATCTATCATTTACTCCTACAAGATTTTAGAGGAGATGACATCACTTAAAACAGAAGAAAACGGGCGGGCTTATATCGCCAAAGAACGGAGAAACAGGGCACAGCCATGCCGTACGAATATGTTCCTTCCTACTCTCTGCTACGCTTTCAACAAGAGGCCAATCTATTTGCGGACATGGGAAAATGACAAATAACTAGATAAAGGGATATGCCAAATTCATTTTCATCACTTCTACCATCCACTACTGTGACTTAAATTCAATATCAAATCTAAACAAACATAAATAAGAGAAGTACAAAAAGAAGGCTTTAACATTGCTTTAACATATCCCTCTACTTCCTGAAAAGCAATGTGAAACAATACAACCTAAGCAGCAACTTTCTGTTTCTTTGGCATGCGGTAGCCACCAACCACGCAAGCATGGTCTCGCTCAAATGGCTCGAGGGTGACCTGCTCAGAAGGCTTCAACTGATCTAGCACCATCTTTTTCACTTCACTATCGAATACAGCCTCAGCAGGGACAGTGGAGTCAATGCAATTTGCCTGATCACAAAACAATTACAACAGTATAAGAATAGAGGATGAACCATTGCTTCGCAAAGCTGGTAGTCAGAAAATAAGAAGCTAACCTTTATTGAAATAACAAAATGACCGCCAGCTTTCAGAAAATATGAAGCATTGAGTGCTAAAATCCTTGCCTGAAGAAGTAATTCACATTAACTCACATATCTCAGTTAAAAAGAATCAAAAGATTGTACATATTTTATTTGGTAACGGGCCATGCAATACTTTCTACCAAATCAACAGCTTATAACATTTTTCTACCAGAGCTGTTATCCTTCTCATCGAGGAATGAGCTAAACTAGCATGAAATGGGAGATTTAATCAAATCAACAGCTTATAATATTTTTTCTACCAGGGCAGCTATCCTTCTCAACAAGAAATGAGTTGAACTAGCATGAGATGGGAGATTTAACACATTTTACAACCACAGATTGAAAATCACTGAATGAACACACAAGGGCATATATATTTAATACGGAGATGAAGATTGATAGATAATTCATGCACCCCAATGACCAGACCATTGGAAAAAATTGGATCATTGCAAACATCAGTCGTGATGAAGCCAACTTACAAAGCATGTTTAAGGGAATCCTAAATGTATGCATCATGCAAGTTCTTCAACATTGCTAGCTGTGAAAACTAAATACTGCATACTGGCAAAAAAGTTGCATTTACATGCTTTAATCAATTTTTGCTCTATCTTTCAAACAAAGTACATATAAAAAAATTAATAAAAAATGCTTGCTAAATTTTCCATCAACAAGAAAAGCAAATGAAAAAGTATGATATTCAAAGTGATATAAAATGCAAACATAAAAGCATGTAGCACATCACAAAATGATACTCCACACAAACTCTGAAGTGGTATGATATTCAAAGTAGACCACCATCAAGCAGTGAAAACTAGCTAAGAAACTTTCTGAAGACAATGAGTAATTGCAGCAACTCCCAAGTATGAAAATAAAGCATCCCGGAAAAGAAAAGAGATGACATTTGTAACAACCAAAAACAAGAAAATTATATAATTCATAGAAGCATCAGAAACTCGGTTTTGCATCACCCATAACGTCTTGAAGGGGAATCCGAGTACTTCCTCATATGCCAGAATAAAAATTATTAAAAAAATAATCAGAACGAAAAGAAATAATTAATGTTTCTCAATGTTTTCAGTGACAATAATATGGGCAAAAAGCAACTCAAGGTATATGCATCAGAAACTCGATTTTACATCACCCATGAAGTCTTGAAGGGGAATCCGAGTAAACTCATCACATGCACGAACGTATGAGCTTCATGTTGAAGTAACATGAGAAAAAAGCTATAAATTGTGTAGGGGAAAAAACCAAAATTTTATCGAAATGAAGCCAAAAAAAAAAAAAAAGAACTAAGGATATAATAACAACAATAAGAAAAATATAATACTGGCAGTAGGATCAGTGTTAGCACTTAGTAGCCAAAGAAAACACAGGATTTTCATTTGGTAACAATAGGAGGAAAATAGTAAATAATTTGAAGTGTTCAAAATTAAAATTCAACTTTTTCCAAATGGTTTTAAATGTTCCACCCAGGGCTGTAAATTCGTATAAAGTAACGATCAGAACATAAATACAAAAGGAGCAAACCTGATCAGGCTGAGCAACATCAGAAAAGATTACATCCACCATGCCAACTAGCATGCGGTACTTGGCAGGATGTCTGGCATCTTCGATGATGGGAATAATATTGGTCCGTTTCTTTGCCATGTTAACCAAGTCTCTGCCACTTCTGTGTGAAAATTCCACTGCATATACCACTCCATTCTACCAACCAAAACAACACTTTATAAGCAACATTCTTATAGGTAGACAAAGCAGGAAAATATATCCTACAAATAAATACTACTTACAGGGCCAACAATATCAGACACGTGGGAAACAGTAGTGCCAGAAGCAGCTCCGAGGTAAAGAACTTTAGCACCAGGTTTCTAGATCCAACAATAAAACAAAAGAACAAAGAGTGTAGACATTGTCATAAGCAGGCTGATTGAAACAAATTTAACAAATCAATAAAGCAAAATTAATAGATAATCTCATTAAGGAAACTCACAATCCAAACATCATCAACACCACCAAGGATGGCAGCTGCCAATTTTGACCGGAAGGGGTTCCAAACCCTGTACTCGACTTTAGTTCCATCTTCATTCTGAGAAGAAAAGTATGATTTAATAAATAAATAAATAAACTAATATAAACAACTGCAACAAATTCACCAAACAATGAAAGAAAAACTTGATGCAACCAATAAACAACGCTCTTCAGTCTTCACAAAAGATGCAATTTCATGAACGTGGATAAAACTGCAGAAAAAGTAATAAACACCTGAACAGAGATTTTCTTTTCATTGTAGACAGTCTCTCCAGGGACCATATTCTTAGTAACAAGAGCATCTTCTTTACCCTTAGCAATGAACACTCCTTCATGTCTATGAGCCTCAACCACAACCTTGCTGCCACCCTTCATCCCTCCACCACCACGGCCTCTTCCACCCCCACCACGACCTCTCCCTCCACCACCACCTCGGGCACCTCTTGCACCGCCACCTCCTCTTCCTCCACCAAAACCTCTGCCTCCTCCTCTTCCTCCACCAAAACCTCTGCCTCCTCCATCACCTCTGCCTCCCCTGAACCCACCACCACTGCCACCTCGTCCTGCTCATAAAATTGGAAAAAAAAATCAAGGTCATGCTCTAAAAATAATGGCTACAATATAAAGCAAAAAAAAACAAAACCCCAAATCAACGAAAAAGAAGAAGATAAACAACAACAACAAAACTTGAGCTGCTTGAACTACATAGAGTTGGATAGTCATGTATGTAGAGTAAGTATCAAACGTTTATTGTAAAGCTTAGTACTTTCGGGCAGTGATAAAACACGAGAGCTGTTTGAAGCACATAATACAAAGCAGATCTTGTTTGCAAACAAAAACACATCAAGAACTGATAAAATTTCATCAATTTTTCTGTAAACTAGGAGAGCAAACCACAATTATCAAGCCTTAAAACAAGAAAAAGTGAGGAACTTTCTCTACCTCTTGGGGGTGCCATTGCTGTTGCTGGCTGCTGGGACTAGTCGAAACTAAGGCGATAAGAAGGGTTCTGCTACCAACAGAGGAGGGAGGCGAACAATGGGTTTTGGCTACTCAACTCTAGAGTTCCTTTTTATAAAGTCTGATTTTAGGGTTTAGGGTTTTGTCGATGACGTGGCCTTGTTTGTTCTCAAGGAGGTGACGCCCAACGGACCGCTGTTACTTCAAGTTTGTCAAAGCCCACTAGCAATAGGCCCGATAGACAAGCCTAAGTGCCTAACCTTTCTTTTGGAATATTGTGTTTGGTCCCTTTAGTTTAGTCAATTTGTAAATTGATCCCTAACAGCAACGCTTTCAAGGAATTTGGTATTTTCATTTTTTTCCCATTGATTGAAATAATAATAATATCATCTGATCAAATGTCTAAGTGCATTTAAGAGATTATATTGTCTTGAAGGTGTTTTGAGAAAGCCTTATTTATTTTGAAAATAACTATCACACTGATGCTTTCAGATTTAATTTCTATGCCATGATTTTTAACTTTCAATTTTGAATCATGAACATTGAAGTCATGATGGATAAATAAATAGTTCTGTATGTACATAATACAAATTGCAAAACAAAGGATTCGGAAAGGAAAAATAAAAAATCACTGCATTATACTGCAAGTGCAAATGACTTTAATCTAATGAAACAATGAATTCAGCTTGAACAACACTGACTTTTGGAATGTTTCATGACAGCTTAACAAAATTTGAAATGGTAGCATCTCCGATTACATCTTGGTGAGCAAATTATCAAGGCCAAAAGAAAGAGTAAAAAAAAAATCTTCACAGGCTCTTCAAGGACTCATGATGCAAATATTGATTACAAGCTAACACTACCAGGAGTTTCACTGTTGCCTAATGAACCTCAAACTATTGCGTCCTGAAGTAAATATGAAAATCGAGGTTTCATAGTTAAGCCGTCGTGCAAAAGAGCAGAACTTGTAAATGTTGATTAACGCTTGACCCATTGGAAGCTCTTCCTTGCTTTTGCTTTTCCTGGTTTTTTCCTTTCAACCACACGTGGATCTCTTGTCAAGAAACCACCTGGTAACACAAAAACAAACATAGAAGATATCAAATATATCTAATGCAGGTGAAGAGCTTAAGAATTTGACGAAAGAAGTGTATCACAAATGAACAAGTAATTTATGCCAGGAGCCAAGTTTGGAACCAAAATGAGGCAAATTACCATCATTCAGAACTTAAACAATCAGTTTGTGTCGGTTGTCCTTTGGCCCAACAAGGGAATGGTATGAGATCCATATTTCACATCCAAAATTTTGTTGTTTTTTTTTTTTTTATGCTAAAATGATAACATGTGAATTACAGTACAGCAAAGCTTGATAAAAGAGAGATGCATTTAAAACAAAAACAATATGCTTTGTAAGCATACCACTCCTGAGTGTGGGGCGCAAGTCTGGTTCCCAGTTTTGCATAGCCCTACTGATCCCCAACTGAATGGCTCCAACTTGACCTGTTACCATATGAATGATCAAAACTAAATCTTGCATCATGCAGAATGTAGTTCTCAACTCTAATATACATTAAGCATAATAATATAAAGCCAATATTAATGATCAAGCTATGGCTTTTCTATTAGATGGGAAAAAAGAGAAATAAAAAATATCCCCCCACAATTTCTTCTAGCTAACTTGAACAGACAATTGTAGGACACAACCTTCATAGATATAAGATCAAACCTAATGAAATGCCAAATTTCAAACACCAGAAATGGAAAGGAACTCATAAAAAGATTTTTCTTTTTTTTAGAGGAAAAAAGAGGAAGCACATGCTTTCGATGTAAAAAAATTCAAAATTCCATTGCAGTGATTGTATGAAAAAGAATTCCATACTAAGAGAAACAGAAGGGAAGGCCAGATCAAAAGAAACATTATTAGTGAAATGACATTCGCATGAAGGCTAGGAGTACTAGGTTTCAAATGAATTTGAGTACATCAACAGAGCTTTACTTCAGTGCCCAACCAATCACCTCTAAATTAGTATCACCCTTGCCGTCATATAGTGATAATATGAACCTCTTATTTTGACTTCTAGAAAATCCAGTTTCAACTCTTGAACCTTGTGGTACAAAAGAAGATAAAAAGTTGCAAAAGGATTGTTGACCAGGAAGTACGTGTAGGAAAAGGAGTTCATCTCCTGCTCAGAAACTAGCAAGCAAAACAAAAATAATTTTATGAAATGAGAAACGATATTGTTCTATTAAAGGGGGCAATAACAAATGAGAATCGTAGTTGAATTATGATAGATGTAGGGGGAATGATTCATTTACGACAGCCACAAGAATAACGCCACGTCCCAGCTAGCGTTTAAGTAATATGCTGATATCCAGAGACACAATCTTGTCTGTGCTAGGTAACGGAGAGCAAGGGGCAGGTGAAGGATGAAAATGGGAAAATACAGCATGCACACTACTAGGTATTGCACCCAAAAGCCCACAGGTCTATTTACACATTGTCTTCAAAAGGCAACGAAAGACAACAAAAATATGCAGGTCTCACTATTTATGTCTAAAATGTTAACCTCCCATACAATTTCAATATTTCCTTCCTTTAACTTCCACTACAAAAGTCTGAAGGATTTGCTTACAGAGCCTTCCAAAAACCTAGAGGGGCTGCCTTCACAAGACACAATTGTTAAAATCAACTTAAAACAAGAGTCAATCTCCCGATCAAAGGCACTTAGAATACAACAACAGAAATTAAAGGTGTTGAACTAACTTTTGGTTCAACAACTAAATGAAAAGGCAGAGAAGCCACCACTAGAAAGGAAAGTATTAAGAGTATACCTGTATACAACCACCAAATGATTAGCGGACTTAACCTCATGTTTTCAAGCTAAATATATGCTAAATTTTGCCAATGAAATGGAGCTGGCTTTTAAATTTTATTAAAAAAGGAAGTGCTATTTGCCTGTAACAATTTACTTCATGCAAATGAAGAAAAACATCTGGTTCAATACCAGTTAATAAAAACTACAAATTAAGTCTATTCACTTTATCTAACTAAAGGAAAGTATCTCTTTACCATATTACAAGAAAATAAATAAACAAATAAGCAGCGTAAACCAAATTATATGATTCGTAACAGATTTTCTTTAATTTTTCATCAAACAGAAGGTTAACTTGAGCTAGTCAGGATGACACCCTGAGGAACAAGGGAGATAAGAATAACATGTATAATAATATATGAACTAGAAACAATTAAGCTTACCTGAAACACCACCGCCTTTGACAGTACAAGTAACATCCCAGAGACCTAAGGTCTTTGTCTCAGAGAAAGGTCGCAAAAGGGCAGCACGATGATCAAGCATTGGGAAATAGACATCAAATTGTTTGTCATTAACAACAAATTTTCCATCACCAGGTTGAACCCAAACACGAGCAATGCTACATTTCCTCCTTCCTGTTCCATAAGCTCTTCCTTTATCATCTACTTGTCTCACTCTAGCTTTAGCCATTTCCTCCTGTTTCTGGCGCTCTAATTCACCTCTTGTCGATTTCCTTGTGTTCCTTAGATAACGCAACTCCTCTATCTCACTTAGAGGAGGCAATCCTTCAACCCCCTGAAAATCCTTGAGGGCAATTAAACTGTCCAACATTGCATCTGTTATTCCAGACGCTGCAATAAGGTCACCAAAAGCACGATTTGGACCTGCAATATGGATCAATATAAACTTTTAGAGACAACCATCAGCCTTGATCCACAACCAGCAGAAAAGGCATATGATAGTATTAGTTAACATGCAGGGAAAGAAGTTACAGATTGCACCTTGTCATCCCGTAATTTCATTAAATGAAAACTAATTCTCACAAAGAAAAATGCAATAGAAAATATACGACCTGCAAAATGTGGAATAAACCATTTGACAAAACAGCTCAATGGTACAAACGCTCACACATCGTTTTGCTATTAATATTTCCAAGGTGTGATTCAAATAATTACATCTTCAATTTATGATCCGTGAGTGATGCAGTTAAAAGAGAGCATCAACCTCAAAGAGTTTTATCCTTTTCCAAAATTGCCGCTGCTTGTAGGCAATCAAGCACGAGTCAAATTCTAGCCTGTTATCTAAATTAAACCATTATTTTAACATAAAGTCATTGGCTAATTGTTCCTAGTACGAGAAGACACCCAAGCTGCATTCATGATCCAGAGGATTGCATTCATGCAATAAATTAATAATTGTTCAGAATTTGAAGAGCATAAGGTCCGATGAGCAATGTGTTATCAAAGTAAGATAAGTATCAAGTTGAATCAGTCAATTCACTCTCCAACATTTAGAGCAAGTTTATTCTGCTCTAAAAGATATCATTTTTGACAATCTACTCATTAATCAGTAAGCTCTATAGTGTAGAGCAAGACAGAATTGCTTGGTAAAGACTGGAACTTTACTCGTTATAATCAATCCTATCGACAAAGTCGCAAAAACCCAAGAACTATTTCAAGCCTGTTTAATCATTCATCCATTCAAAGAAGCGAAAATAAATAAATAAAAGGGAGAGCTTGGTTGCTTGCCTTTGAGAATGACATTAAGTTCCTCCTTTTCTTTCTCAAGCATCTTCTCCTCTTCAGGACTTCTCACATTTGGAACATCCTCACCTCTATTAATATCAACATCATCGCTCCGTATTACATTCTCTCCAAAATCAAACACCTTGGCCTCCTTCTCATCCTCCTCGAAACTCCACGGCTTCTCCTCCAACGATGAATTCTGCCACTTACCACCACCACTAACGCTACTTGCATCAATCTCATCTTTCTCGATTCGAGCAAATATATCTACTCCGCCGCCATTGTCATCATCCTTCAACCACGAGTCTTCATCATCCCCGTCGGCAGTGACAGGAGAATTGGAGATGCCAGCAAGGCTGGTATCGGAGTCTTGGTCCTCCCCATTGGCAGTGGCAGGAGAATCGGAGGTGCCAGCAATGCTGGGATCGGAGTCTTGGGAGAAGAAAGCATCGAATTTTGCTTCATTATCTCCGGAAAGTTTCCAGATGTTGGAGCTTGTATGGTCACTATTGTTGTTGTTGTCGTTGTTGCTAGTACAAAAGGATCTGTTGAGGAGGAGGAAAGTGGAGGAGGCAGAGCTATGAGGGTGTGAAGTTATAAGGGATTTTGAGAGGAGACGGAAGTGGGAGGGTTTAGGGAGGAGACGAGACCACACCATTTTGGGAGAGAAGAAGAAGATGAAAGGGGGAAAAGCTTCTTCTTTCCTTCGGGTTTTTCACTCTTCGGTTAGGGTTTTAGACTTGGGCATCCTATTCGGCCCAATATATATTACTTAGTAATGTCCGAAGCCCATTTGCATTGCATCTTCCTATTCTATTCAAAGCCTTCTTTTGTTTCGCCGAAATTAGTGTTGGCTGCTTTACAAAAAACCTTGTCAATAAAAACAATTTTTCATTCAAAGGATCAACAAGTACAAACGCCTCGTGGTTTTAGACAAGCATATCTTTCAACGGCTCTGGAACGTCAAAGTCTCCGATCGAGTACCTTAAAAACACCATCAACATCACGGCCACCAACAATTAAAGGAGTTTTCTTTTCGCCATTTGTCTTCCGAGAAAAACTACAGTATGAGCTGCAGTAATCTCTGATTCTTTCACCCTTCGTTTTTGTGACAGTTTTTCCTCCATATATATATATATATCAGAGTTACTGCCTTTTCCCCTAGGGAGCCATCAGAATTGTCTTTCCTCCCATTGAGGCCAGCTACAAGTCTCAGAGCTTCAGCACTAACATTTTTTTGTAATAGCACCTATATATATATGAAGCAATATTTGTTTATTTCCATCTGCTCTCATGACAATCATCACTGTGCCTTGATACTTTTCCATACAAATGGGTGGCATCAATACTCATATGAAGCATCCCAATCACCAAAAATATGCTCACTTGCATGCCTTTTGCTTTCCTTTCCGTACTCTCTTGAACAGTATAGCTTAATTTCTAAATTACCTCTGATCTCAAAGCTAATGCAGTGATAGATGGTTGGTCCGGCCTAGCAAGAAGTTGAACTCCATGTGCAATTAAGGTTGTGTCTGCACGTGGGTGATCCCTACTTGAGTATGGATACACACAAGTGTGAGGGCCAGAGCCCATGCGTGTTTTGTCTTGCATGATCCAACTCTCCACTTACGTCCCCACTCTAAATACTCCTTAACCTCAATGCCCAGATGCATGGTTGAAGAAGTTTCTAGCCACTACTTCATATTGTTTAATTATACCAGCTCATAATAATAATAATAGTAATAATAATGTGAGTCTAAGAAGTTGGCTGAATGACAAGAGAAAAACACGCTTATCAATTCAGATTTGAGTTTCGTAATAATTAATGTTGATGAATATATTTCACGAAAAATAAATATTAGAATATAAAAAATAATTCACACTCCAATAAAAAATTGCGCAGGCAGTATAATTTTCTCGATGTGTGTGCACCAAAAACATATGACTTATATATATATATATAATTAATTTTTTATAAAAAAAAAAAAAAAAAAGACCCGCAACCTGAAGGTGTGAACATATGACTTATATATAATTATTTTTTTTATTAAAAAAAAAAAAAAAGGACCCGCAACTGAAGGTGTGAAAGTAGATAATGTTTGGAGTTGATTCTCCGGGAAACAGAAAAACAAGGTTGTCTTCACCTGGCGGGGACCGGTAGGTGAAGGCAAGTGGGAAATGGTAGTGGGCCAGCCAGTTTATGCATCCATAGTTAAATCCGCGAGCAAATGGAATCTCTCAAGACGCGTACAAGTAGCAACTACGACTTACGTTCCTTTCTTTCTATATATAAACTAGTTTGTCTCCATAGGCAAGAAAGAACTTTGTGCTTCTTTAAATTAGAGAGAGACCCTAATTAAAAGTTATTGGTAATGGATATTACTACGAATGGAAGGACATTTATATTAGAGTAAATTATAACTTAGTCCTTATAGTTTGCTAAAGATAATTAACTAATCCTCATGGTTTCAAAAACTATATATTTAATTCATGTTATTTTAAATTTGTTTGTACTTTAGCCTTTTTGTCAATTTTATTTCTTTCTTGAAAATAATATAAAGAACGATAAACAGATTAGGAAGAGTGCTTAATTTAAGTTATGTTCTCATTGTAATTTAACCACTAGCTAGAAAAATAGATTATCAAACAGATAAGTAATTTTATTCCCGGCACAGTTAAAGCTTTAAATTTTGCAGTCCATGGGTAGGCAGGTGCTTAGTCGCTAAGCAATCTGCTCCCATCCCTTCTCGCAAGTTGCTTCCTTGCCCCACTTCTTATCTTTCCCATAAAATTACATTCTTGCCCTAATTACCATTTTAGCATCACCTTCACCAACCACCAATCAAAACTATCAAAACCACTGGTGCCAAAAAGGGCTAGTAAATCCAATTCCATGTTCATACGGGAGATTATGATATGATATGAGAAATTTTATAATAGATAATGAGTAACTAGTTGTATGTATAACTAGTTATTCTATCGACTCACTTTGAAAAGAAAGATAAACACATTGAATTATATATGGATCCACAAAAAATGATAAGAAATTTTTCACCTTAGCTCAAAATGTTTTTTAATTTTTTCTCTTTTATTTGGTGTCTATCTCTCTCGTTAAAATAGATCTATGGAATAATTATTTTATATACCACTAATTACTCCTTATATATTATAAAATTTCTCAATATGAAATGGAAACAAAAATCAAAAAGGCATTCTAGACCATTGACTAGTAACCCAACTACAAGTTTAATTTGAATAGAGATAAACATATTGAATTGCATCCGGATCTACCAAAAGTGATAAAAAAAATTTTCACGTTCGTTCAAAAAAATTTTTAATTTTTTCTCACTTGCTTCTCTCTCTTTCTCTTTTTTTTTTATCTATCTCTCTTTTTAAAATAGATCCATAGAATAACTATTATACATATTACTTAGTTACTCGTTATATATTATAAAATTTCTCCATATGATATAACATGGAAACAAAAATCAAAAGGGCATTCTAGACCATTGACCGGTAACCCAACTATGACATGGAAACAAAAATCAAAAGGGCATTCTATACCATTGACCAGTAACCCAACTACAAGTCCAATTTGCAATCTATAAATACCTGCCTCTTCTTATACACATTCGACATTAGACCACAAAACCAAACATCCATTCCCATTTCCAAACACAACACAAAAGGAAAGAGCAAATCATGGCTTCTCGTTACGAGGTTGAAGTCACCATCTGTTCAGCCAAAGACCTCAAAAACGTCAACTGGCGCTACGGCCTTTTGAGGCCATACGCTGTCGTTTGGGTCGACTCCAACAGCAAATGCTCCACTCGAGTCGACGAGGAAGGCGACACATCCCCTCTATGGGACCAAACTCTGGTCATCCCCTTACCCTCTGGTCCCATTGAAGACCGCACCCTGTACATCGACATCGTCCATGCCGGCTGCGAGGAAGACACCAAGCCCCTCATCGGATCCGCTAAGCTCAAGCTCAGTGACGTCCTCGATGAAGTCGGCATCGGAGAGCGTGTCACCCGCACTCTCAAGCTCAAGCGTCCTTCCGGCAGGCCACAGGGGAAACTCGACGTTAAGGTTACCATTAGACAGCCTCCCTATCGTGCGCCTGATCCTTACCATGCACCTCCTTATGGGGTCCCACCTCCGCCATCTTCAACTTCAAGAGACTATCCTTATGCGAAGCCCTATGGTGCACCACCACAGCCTCCAAATCCGTACTATTCAACGGCTGCTCCGCCAAGTGGATATCCGTACAGTGCGCCACCGCCTACTCAGCCATACGGGTATGGACAGCAGCAGCAGCGCCCTGGTTATGTGGTGGTGGAGGAGGAGAAGAGTAGTTCTGGTGGGATGGGGACAGGATTGGCTGTGGGTGCGGTAGCTGGGGTATTAGGTGGAATTGCCTTGGCTGAGGGTGTTGATGCCTTGGAAGACGATATTGCTGATAGAGCTGCTGAGAAAGTTGAGGATGATCTAGCTGACTATGATGATGATGATTACTAGACTTTGCTTTAGGGACCCACATGAGCATGATAGATGGCTCCTTTATTGGTTGTTGTTTCTTTCGCAATGTAGAACATGTCATTTTTCACAACTCTGCTGTACCCCTTATGTTTTAAGCTTTTGGCTTTCCTACAACAATAATGGCCTCAATTAATTAAAATTTGAATTATACTCTATATTTATGGTCAATTATGGTTGAATTTATCCCAGAGTTTTAAATCCAAATTATGCATGAGTATTGCCGTCATGTTGTAGTTATTTAACAAAGGGTATGATAATGACATAAAACTTCTTTTCTTTTTTCTTTTTTCTTATAATGGATAATGATATTGGATGTGATTTAATATGTATATTATGCTTCGATAAATAACAGTTCAAACTAGAGAATAACGCATTTGGATATGCTTTCAGTAATTAAAGCTATGGCCAATTATTCTTTTGGGCTAGGAATCAATCTCCGCACAAAGGGGGGGAAGGAAAGAAATATTTATAATTTAGATTAGTAAAATATGCTGGAAGTGTGAGAAGTCGTGTGGAGAAGAAGATGCTTGAGAAAGAAAAGGGGGAACTTAGGGCCATTCTCAAAGGCAGGCAGGCAGGCAGGCAAGTTCCCCTTTTATTTATTTAGGTTCACTTCTTTGAATGGATGAATGATTAAAAGAAATACCTAGTTTAGGTTCACAAATCATTTATTTATTTTTTTGTACTAATATGTGTTCAACAGTATGATCGAAACAGTGGGAAACAAATAAAATACCTAGTTTCAATAAAATTCCAAAACTGTTAATGGTAGGGATCAATTTTACAAATTGAATAAACTAGAGGGACCAAACACAATATTCGAATTAAAAGAAAGATTAGGCGTATCCATCCGGCCTATTACTAGTGGGCGTTGACAAACTCAAAGTCACAGCAAGGCCCTTTTGTCACCACCGCCTTAAGAACAAACAATGCCGTGTCATGATAAAACCCCCAAATTAGGCGTTATAAAAGGAACCCTTGAATTGAGATGCCAGCACCCATCGTTCGCCTCCCTCCTGCGTTGGCAGCAGAACCCTTCTTTTCATCGTAGAGGCAGAGTAAGTGAAGGTTTGCTTTCCTAGTTTAGAGAAAATATTTTATGAATTGTTGATGTATTCTTTATAAACGACCTTCCCTCTTTTTCTTCTCTCAGGCTGATCGTTCTTCAATATCTACTAGTCATTAATATTAATATTAATATGGCTTCGAATTTCTCAAACTCATCTTGGCCATGCCTTCCTAATGACCTTTTAGATTTGATTCTCTGCAAGCTGGTCCCAATATCGGACTGTATTCGTTTTAGTTCAGTTTGTAAGACATGGCGTTCTGTTGCATTGGAGCATTTTCAGCAAAAAGGGTTAAAGAATAGATCCTGCTTTCTTCATCGCCAGCAGCTTCCCTTGCTTTTGGTGCCTACTCAAGACAACAGTGATGAAAGGAGAAGTTTGTACAGCATCACCAACCAGAAAGTTTACAAATCTCAGTTGTCCGTGCCTTATAATAGAAGGTGTTGCGGTTCTTCCCATGGTTGGCTGGTGATTGTGAATGAAAATAATACTCTTTCCCTTCTAAATCCTTTCTCAGATGCAGTTATCCACCTCCCTCCTGTTATAGATATATATGGCCCAGAGACTGAACGCACCCCGCATGAGCGTCATTATCCCTTTGATGACCATGACATTAACGATGAAGATGATTATGGCCCTAATGTCGATGATGATGATAATGGTGGCAGCACAGAGGAGGATACGCTTGATGGTAATTATGACGAAGACGACGATGACGACGATGACGACGACGATGACGACGACGACGACGACATCAGCATTGACTATGAATTATATGACTTAGGAAACCCAGACGTGGAAGAAGAAGAGGAAGAGGAAGATATTCAAAACAACTTTGAATATGACATCCATAAAGCTGTTTTATCCATGGATCCTGATTTATATCCAAGCGATTATACAGTTATGGTCATCTACGGTGTTATGCATAGACTGGCATTCATCAGATCAGGTGACAAGGATTGGACCTATATAAATCACACGTTAAAAATGTTCGAGGATGTTATTTATTATCAAGGAAAATTTCATGCCTTGCACCAATGGGGCAAGCTAATTAGTTGCGATGTTAGCCAGTTTCCTCCAAAAATAAACAAAATTGTACCTGCTTTCTATGCTATACCTCATGTTTTAAAGGCTTATCTAGTGGAATTGCCAAAAGGAGGAGAATTGGCGATGGTTTACAGGTTTATGAGCGATGGATATATGACAGAAGGATTTCATGTACTGAAGCTTCAGGTTAAGCCAAACAAGTCCAGGTGGGTTAGGACATCAACTCTGGGTGATGTTGCCCTCTTCTTGGGAGATAATTATTCCACTTCAGTTTCCACTAGTGATTATCCAGGATGCCATCCAGATTGCGTTTACTTTACCGATGATTATTTAGAATTCTACACATCGTTCACACCCTATGCTGTTCATGGTGGAGGAGGGCCTCGTGATAATGGTTTCTTCAACTTAAGAGAGAAAGGCTTTGGGAAACATTACGAGCTCCATCCTTCCCAGCAACATATGCCGCCGCCGATTTGGATCGTACCAAAATTCAAATACTGATCTAAAGTTACAAATTTTATCATTATTGTTCATTGGATGTTATTAATTATTATTATTATTATTTAAATGAAATTGACTTTTATTTATCTTAAAGTTTATATATCTTTTAGGGTATTCTTTTCTTATTTTAATTTGATTGAAAAGGGAAACCTTGCCTTCCACGGTGCTATTTTTGTTTTACAAAGATTATGCATGCATAAAGGTATTTTCTTTCTTCACTTTTTTCCGCTTAATTTGATATGAGAGTTATCACATAGAAAAATAAACTTTGTGAGGTAAAATAGGTAATTTTCCTATCCCTTTCATTGGTATTCACCCAAAAGCCTGGTTTGTAATGGAATTTGCCTAGTTTGGGCCAAGGTGGTAGACGTCTGTGTACACCTCCTTCTTCTTCTCTCCCAAAATGGTGCGGTCTACTGCTCTGCTTATTGGAGATTGAATTGATTGATTCAACTTGATACTTATCTTACTGTGATAACACAACGCACATCGGACCTTATGCTCTTCAAATCCTGCAGAACAATCATTAATTTATTACGGATGATAAATTGAAGATGTAACTATTTGAATCGCTCATCGAAAACTGTGTGCAAGCATTTGTACCATTTATTACATGTTTTGTCAAATGGTTTATTCCAAACCATTCTGCAGGATCAAAATTTATTTGACTAAATGACTGCAAGGAATGTTTTCATTTCCTTTGAAGCATATCCTATCGCAGACTTGCCTTCAAATGCACTTACTACAAGCTTGAAATGAATTGCCATTGCTCATTTTCTAATTCTTATTTTCTTCAGTAGCTGAAGTAAAGCAACTGCTTCTGAACTTATATATACAACTTGTTCTATTTTCCATGATTCTATCCCTTCCCCCACCCATAACAAATTTCGCGCCTCAAATTTGTGTAGACTCCCCAAATAATTTAGCTGAAAGGTAAGAGATTTGCAATCTTCAAATTAGCATTTTGCAAACTGAAATGAAGAAAAGAATTGGCGCACGCGTCAAAAAAATTCTCTCATGCTCTGGTATGTACTCTTTCTTTTGTCAGTCATTATACATTAGTAAACAGAGGTTATGATCTTTGATTTTGTCGCTGATCTTGAAGTGCAGACACAAATCTGGATGCCAGAACTCCCAACCTTCCAGTGAAGATAGATGTTCGTGAAGAATATGCCAATGCCTTCAGGACAGAATCGTACAATAAATTTTGGACACGAGTTCAAGCACTACCCAATAGAGACCCTGCCACGCGTACTGTTCTATCGGTTGAGTCCAACACCAGCGCGGCTCGGCTACCATCATATCGGCTCTTCGTCGAAAATCTTTTGGATCCGGATCAGTCAATAGTTATTCGAATCCTATCCTGGGTCCATATCCGACCCTCAACCCACTCTCTGCTATCCAAATATTTCACCCAAACAGCCAATGCTTCTCTCCTTTGTGGCTCGTTATTAAAAGACATAGACCTTATCCGGGTCAAATACCGGTCCCTTAGAGCCACCCTTGAACAAATACCCAAATCCGAATTTCCTGACCCAACAATTCTAACAAAGCTAACCGAATTTGCCAACGCTCCAAACCCATTTGATCGATCCGGTTCGACACCAAGCCGGGTTGGAGTCATGCAAGCCGATTGCTTCAAATTGCTGAAGCAGCTAGAGTCAGAGCGTGAGAGGGCTAAAGCCAAGATAAATCTAAGAAACAAACTAAAACATGGCTCAGCTATGTTTCTTGTGGCTCTAACAGCTTCACTAACCATAACCATAGCCACACACGCTCTGGCCTTGCTAGTTGCCACTCCAGGTCTGATAACAGCGACGTCACTGGGGCTAGGCTCGACAAGGAGGCTAGGTAGGGTTGCAGCTCAGCTGGATGCAGCTGCAAAAGGGAGTTACATACTGAGCAGGGACTTGGAAACCATTAGCAGGCTTGTGAACCGAGTAAATGATGAAATGGAGCACATGCATTCGAGCGTGAAGTACTGGGTGGAGAGAGGGGACGGTGGGGGTAATTGGTTGCATGGCATTAATGGTGAGGCGGTGGTGAGGCAATTCAACAAGATCAATGAATGTCGTAGCTTTAGCAACCAAGTTGATGATCTAGAGGAGCACTTGTATTTGTGTTTTATGACCATCAATAGAGCTAGAAACCTTGTACTCGAACAGATTCTGAATCCACCTCAATAATCCACCTCACATTCCATCAAAACTAACACTACTAGTACTAATACATACAAGTTATCCATGTCTTTTTTTCCCCCACTTTTCTCCTTAATCCTCTATCCTCTATGTGTGTGTGTATATATATATATATATTATTCCATCCTATAGCTAGCTGCATGATTAATGTTTGGGTTTACCTCATCATTGATCTTTTTACGATTTTAATTTTTTTTATTGAAACTCTCTATTATTTTTAAACTTGATTGAAACCTACAATTTATTGATTGAAACCCTCTATTATAACGTTGTTAGCTATTTATCATATATGATAAGTTAAAACTAATAGCAATCAATCGAACAACGACACGTGATAAATTTTTTTATTCACATTTTCACATATCAATTCTCGATTAGTCATATGGGATGAATAGTTAACAACATTATAATGAACGGTCTCAATTAATAAATTTATAAAAGTAAAAAGTTTCAATCAAGTTAAAAAATAATAAAAGGCATCGATAAAAAGAATTAAAACTATACAATGATCAATTATAAGATAAACTCGTTAACGTTTAACAAAAACATGAGACATGATCCTTAATTAATATATAATAATAGTTGGATTCTTTCAAAAGAAAACGAAATTTCTAAAAGGAATATTGTTATTTGATCTTGTTTGGAGTGTGGCAACGCCAGTGACCTAGCTAGCTGGAAGCAATGTACAACTTCATTTCTACTAAATTGTCTAGCTAGGTGAATCATTGATTATTTTGAAATTAAAGCAATTGATTATTGCTTTAAATAATTCATCTCTGTATACTTAGTTAGGCAGTGTGGCTCGTTGAGTCATTGTCCATCCAATCCAAAGCGATTGCCAGTTCGCCATTGCCATGCCACCTATTAATTTGAAAGAGCTAGGGTTCAATTTGTAACACTGATGGCCATCGATGATCTACCAACCTCACCTTCGCCATATATATTTCTTAATAATAACTTTATCTGTAATTAAGAAAACTAAAAATATGAAAGGGTATTAACATCACATTATCTTAAAAGAGTATTATATATATGTACGCTTGATCAAATTAATTATGAAGAGAAAGAAAAAGGAGAATATGTTCATGGTTTTGTTTTTAATCCAAATTAAGATCCATTGAGCCTTGAGTTTTATACGGTAGAGGATTGTCGTTTTTTATTTTATAATAATCAAATAAATAAATCGAAATCAATTCAAACATGTTTTTGTCGTGAATTAAAATGGATGCCACACAAAGTAGTGACGTTGTTTATGTGTTGGATTAGTACGGCAAGAGCATGGTTGGCTAAAGCAATGAAGCCAACACATCAAGTCATCAGCATCCAGCTTTCGATATAATAATTATATGGTTGGGCTCGGAAGTCTTCCAATTTCATCTGTCGTTATGAGTTTATGAGTGACAAGTAAGAAAGGATGCCTATCAATTTCCAGCCGATAAATCAGATGATTTTTTGTCATGTCACCATCAGCATACATCTTAATGGAGTAATTAACAAGGCAGGCTGGACATTTATATATATATTTTTTATCAATATGTTTTATGAGCTATTGAAAAGAAATTAGACAATTAATTAAATTGCACTTGTAATTAAAAACATTAATTAGCTATAAATTAACTACCCTTTTCTAATTAATTTGAGAATCCATTACTGTTTAGTCCTATCAACGACAAGTCATTTTACTAAGTTTCTTTCAAAGCACTGCCTTGCATCTTTGGTTTCATTTTAGGTTTGGACAATTACCCGATCGAGAACTAACTAGGCCTGGTTTGTCCGAAGACAAAAAACTATGAAATGTTGAAATAAATTCACTTTATACATGATCATTTCTTTATTTTTTTTCAGATATTTTCATCTTATACTAAAAATAGGATTAATATTTTTCGAACGAAAGCAATAAGATTTAATCCCTCGTAATAAATACGATGTTAAAATTTAAACTCTACACATTGATAGAAAATTTGTCGGGAGATCAATTCGCTTATCGTTGGACTAACAACTTCTTGGTGCTTTACTTTATTATATTATTGTCATAACCGAAAATTTAAGTCATATTTATTTTTTAGTATTTTTTGTTGATTTTATTTCTTTTATTTTTCACATTTTATTTAGTTTCATTTTAATTTTAATATCCTTTTATTTTGGTTATAAAATAACCACACACACACACACATATATATACCCATAGCCTACTACTAGCTAGCACATATATATTTCTTAATAAGAACTTTATCTGTAATTAAGAATACTAAATAAATGAAAAGGCATTAACATCATAACATGACATTATCGTAAAGAGTATTATATATGTACACTTGATCAAATTACTTATAAAGAGAAAGAAAAAGGAGAAATATGTTCATGTTTTTTTTTTTTTCCCTAAATCCAAATTAAGATCCATTGAGCCTTGAGTTATACAATAGACGATAATCGTTTGTGGCTACAAAAGGCATAAAAAGTGAAATTTGAACTCCAACCTCTTCATTCAAAATATCCTGGGTGGGGTAAAGATGTGAAGAGACAATGTCTGCAAAAGGCAGGAAAAAATGAGTTATGATAAAACAAAGCAGCCAAGGAAGAGAAAGCAAAAGATAGAAGGGGAAGAAATCACATGGAGGTTTTGGAGGCTTTTTACCCCCGTGCCTTGCTGTAATGATGGTTCATGCACAGGTGCATCAATAGGCCTTTTGTTGTTTTGTCTATTTATTTTAATTTATTTAAGTTGATGCTTAGTTATTAATTTTTTTAGTATCCAAATTTCGATTTATTCTAGTATTTAATATTAATTAAATATGAATTTTGATGGATGATTTTAGGCTTGTATATAGGTTATGGGGTCTCATCTTTTAAACTTTTGATAGTTAAATTTCAAATTTATTTTAATGTTGAATATTGTTTAAATAATCGATAGTTAAATTAGATAAGTAATAGATAGACGAATCGTTGAGTCTTCTAATTTTTAAAAATTGATGACGATTCTTCATCAATCTTGAAAAAAAATGAAAATGATAAAAAAAAAGATATAAAAAGAAAAAAGAGAGAAAGAGAGAGAGAGAAAATGACAAAAGATAAAGAAATGATAGACTAACAAGTCTCATATCTAGTAGGGACACATGTTATTAATTAATTTAAAATAATCATATTTCATAATTAGGTGTTTCTCCGACATACCGATTATATCGAGACTTAAATTAGATCCGATGTTAAATTAACAAAACTCCCGGTGACGAAATCCGACAATTGATTCAATATGTTGCCGCAAATTAAAATAAAAAATATTAATTTGATTTAGATAATAAATTTAGAATTTTGACTTGAGAATTAATTTGACAAAAATTAAAATTTTTAGGAGATAAATTTATAGAATTAAACTAGATATGGTACTTTTCATTGGAAGGAGTATTTTAAGTCATTAATATTTTTCCAAATGGATAAGCATCTCCTTATCCTAAAATTTGTGAATGAGTGTTATTTTTATGTTTTTTAGTTTCCCTTAATACTAGATTACAACTTCAAAACATAGTTTAACTGACATTCTCAATAAATAAACAAAATAAACAAACAATTTTGAATAGACTATTTTTGAAAGCATCCTAAATATAATTATGGGATAGCGACAATTATAATATTCATAGATAGATAAATTATGTTGTTGTTCGAAAGAACATTACATTTTATGTCCTAATCATCAAATTATATATAACGACGTACACATGCAACTAATAAAATAAAAACAGGTATGTATGTGTACATCATACATAATCAAAATTAATTAAGGTATTAAATAAGGAAAGAAAATTTGTCAAAAAGGGGGAGATTAGAGGAGCATTAATTTTGAGTAAAAAAAGGTCGGGTCCTTTCTATAAAATAGGTTTTAGGTTATAATTAAGGTTGATTGTGAGACCAAATTAAGACACTGTCAACTGTCTTTTGTTATTTTCTTGACTTGATGGTCCTGATAGAGTTTTAACACGAAATCCCAACCTAATTTGGCGACTGGAAATCAAATGTGCATTCATTGGAACCGTATCACCCTAGCTGCCTGCACTAATCTCTTCAAATTTCTTCACCTGGACTACATGTAGCAGTTAGCCTTGGCATGGAACCTAGTTGCTGGTCCATGTTGCCTGCCCGCAAGATTTGACTAATTGAAACGTTTTCACTTGAAAGTTGGCTTGCGATCCATGCATGGTGCAAACACTTGGAAGCACAGATCGAGATGTATGCAAGTAGTGGAGAACACAAATTTTGAGGCGATTTATGTTGGCATTGATAAATTTACGAGGGGCAATTAATATTTGATAAAAGAGAGAGAAGTTTTTACTGATATCAGCATCAAGTCTTACCCTAACCAACAGTCTGAATAAGAAATATTAATGGGTCACAACTGCTTACATGAAATCCATAAATGCACTCCCAACTAAACGTAAACCATCTCTGGTATAAGTATCCCTCGAGTCCCTTTTTAGCTTTCCATGATCACCACAGGTATCAAGTCTTGTGTTCCACTTAAAGTATAGCCTTCTTTCTCAGCTTAATTGAATTATTACTTCCTGAATACCATTTATAATATTCAGCAATGGCCCCTGAAGCAGAGAAGAAGGAGGAGATCATGAAGGTGCAAATAGCCGGCAAATCCCATGTCAAGCCCAACAAGAAACTAGGAAGAAGGGAATGTCAATTGATCACTTTTGATCTTCCATACATAGCATTTTACTACAACCAGAAGTTGTTAGTTTACAAGGGAACTGAGTACGAGGATATGGTGGGGAAGCTGAAAGATGGGCTAGGAGTTGTCTTGGAAGATTTCTATCAACTGGCAGGGAAGCTAGGAAAAGATGAAGATTGGGTGTTCAGGGTAGAATATGATGATGACATGGATGGTGTGGAGGTCTTGGAGGCCAACGCTGAGTGGATCAGCGTGGAGGATCTAACGGTTGAGGAGGGTACCTCCACTTTGAAGGAGCTCTTACCGTACAATGGGATCTTGAACTCTGAGGGCCTCCACAGACCATTGTTGTCCGTGCAGGTAACATTCCTTTTTCTCTTTTGCTTGTAAAAGGTAAAATTTAGCATCAATTATGTACATATATATAGCCATTTCATTACAATCTAAGCATGTCAGTGAGTAGATGGCTTTAGTTCATTTCTTTCTGATACTAATTATGCGTTAATCTAATTTGGTAGACACAATACATATAAAAAAGCAAGGGGGGCAAATATCCGAAACAAAATGTTTGAGTTTTACTTGAAATTTGATTTGATTTACAAGCCATAAAGATGGATTGATGCTAACAAGCTTTGTGTTCAACCAACTAGCGTACGGCTATACTAATTCTGAACTTCAATTAATACTAGTTCTTGCCGCATTGATGCTCTGTTTCGTTATTTCAAAGTAACTCATAAATGTTCAACAACCTCCCAACACAACCCACATCCACATATTTAATTACCTCATCCTATAACACTATATTTTCCAACGAAGATTTTAATTTCTGGACGATCTAATTGGATGCAGCTAACCAAGCTAAGAGATGGACTAGCAATGGGGTTGGCCTTCAACCATGCCATTCTTGATGGGACCTCCACGTGGCACTTTATGAGTTCGTGGGCTCAGATCTGCAGTGGGTTGCCTTCAATCTCTGTCCTGCCTTTCCTGGACCGCACCAAAGCGCGAAACACTAAAGTCAAGCTCCAACTCTCTCCACCAGAACAGGACCCATCATCCAACGGCGCTATTGATCCACCACTCAGAGAGCGAGTCTTCAAATTCTCTGAATCAGCAATTGACAAGATCAAGTCAGAACTCAACTCGAACCCACCATCAGACGGCGCAAAACCATTCTCAACTTTTCAATCACTTTCTGTCCACATTTGGCGCCATGTAACCAAAGCACGTCAGCTTAAACCCGATGACTGCACAGTTTTCACTGTCTTTGCCGACTGCCGCAAAAGGGTCGACCCACCGATGCCGGAAAGCTACTTTGGCAATCTGATTCAGGCGATATTCACGGCGACTGCTGCCGGGTTGTTGTCCGCGAACCCACCTGAGTTCGGAGCTTCCCTGATACAAAAAGCCATTGAAATGCATGATGCTAAAGCCATTGACGAACGCAACAAACAGTTCGAGAGTTCACCCAAGATATTTCAGTTCAAAGATGCTGGTGTTAACTGCGTTGCTGTTGGGAGCTCACCAAGGTTTCCAGTTTACGAGGTGGACTTTGGGTGGGGAAAGCCAGAGACGGTGAGGAGTGGAATCAATAACAGGTTTGATGGGATGGTGTATTTGTACCAAGGGAAGAGTGGTGGAAGGAGCATTGATGTTGAGATTAGCTTGGAAGCTGCAGCTATGGAGAAGTTGGAAAAGGATAAGGAGTTCCTTCTGGAGGTCAACTGAATCAAATCATAGTATTCATAATTCTGTGGATAACGTTGTTAATGTTATCCAAGAACTGATCAAAATCTTAATCTCCTGTCATCAATTTCTTTTGGCAGTGCTGTGTGCTTGGGTTGGTGCTTTTTTTTATTTATTTACTACTTATTATAAGGAGACCTCGAAGTCAATTGGTTTGCTAATTAAGTTTGAGTGATGATCTTAATTAATAATAAATAATTTTTTTCTAAATTTTGATTTCTATATATGTTCTTTCTATAATGCATAATGGCCAATTTGGTTGTATATGGATAGCCAGCTCTTCTTCTATATGTACAGCCAGCGGTACTCAGAGAAGCGCTCATCAGCCTCAAGGACATGATTTTTAACTAGCAGTTATGGCTATCACATGGCTTGTCCTCAAATATTTATGAGTGATCCATTATCGAATTTCCATGTAGTTTTATTATAAGCAAGCAATTTCTATAGGATTCTAGTTATATATAGATTGGATGTTCCACTTAATTAACCTTGTCTTTGAAGAAAATTAATTGAGGATCTTGTCTGGCATGATCTTAAATTAGATGATTTTTATGTCAATTTACACAAAATGAGTAAAAAAAAATATAGGGTTAATTCCTTTATCTATCCTTATATAATATACGGATTTTGTACATATCGAGATCCGTACAATTTGAATTTTTTTGATTAAGATTTTATGTTTTTTTTATCCAATTTAAGAGTTATATACTCTTATCTTGTTATTGTTTTAAACCTTAATGTGTAATATAATCACATGTGGCAAGCACACGTGACAACCTTTAATCAATAACAACTTACCACGTATCATGATGGCTCAAATTGGATGATTGAATTGGTGACATGACAAGTTATCATTGGCTAGAGTTTGTCATGTGAGGTTGTCACCCGTACTTGCGTAACACATTGAGGTCTCGAAGCAATAACATAGGAGTAGAACTATTAAACTTGACTAAAAAAAATTTAGGATCTCATTAAATAATAAAAAAAAGAAATTATACGAGATAGTATCAATATGGGTAAAACCATATAATAGACTAATTGTTTAATTTGTCTATATATTTTAAAATACTTACAATCTGTTCTTTTTATTCATGATGGCTTCTAATATATATTTTTGTCAAAATTTCGACCAATTCATCACAAATTAATATGAATATTACTAACTATAGATCACTTAATAACAAAGATAATTTTATCAAATCACGTACTATTTGCAAATCGCATACTTAATTGATAATGAATTAGCAAAACATTTTAACTAAAAAAATATATTAGAAATCAGTTTAAATAATAAGAACAATAGGAAAAGATTAAAAAATTGATATATTATATGAGGATAGGTGAGAGTATTAAAAAAAATACATATTGTATAATTGGTATCAAGTATAAGGATTTTTTTGTATGGGAAATATCAAAATTAATTAGTAATTGTAATCGGTTATGATTATTATTTTAAATGAGTTTGTACGACGAAGAAAAAAATATTTTTTATTTTTATCAATCCCTCAATGTGTCTGTTATATATGGACTTAATTAGATTCGATAGAGCTGTATCTACTATGGGCTTGAGTAACAAACGAAGACCCATTTAAACTCACCGGGTCAAATAATGCCTTTAATATACGGACCGGCCCAGACACACCGACGTCGAAGTTGGAATCAGCAATTTGAGAAAAGTTGAAAGTCATCCCTCATCTATCTGTTGCTAAAAATCGAAAAACCCTAATATTTTCTTCTTCTTCTTCTTCTTTCTGTTTCTAAAATCTCAAATTTAGAGAAAGAACGAACGAAAGAGAGAAGAGTGTAGGGTATGTTTGTCGACTTTATCAATGAATTGATTACTTGATTTCTTGAACAAATCACAAACCTTCCATTCTCCTCACTATTCATCAGGTATTTCTTCTACTTACGAACGCACAATTAACTCTTATTTTTTGAATTTTCTTCATCAATTTAAATTGAATGCAATGCTACTAATTTTTTTTTTATAGTATTTTTAAGCTCTGTTTCGATTTGCATAACTTATTCTTACTCAACTGCTTTGAAATATCATTTCTTTTGCGTTTTCTCAATTAGGTCAAACTCCTAAGCAAACCCAAAATTATGAATTTTTTCCTTATTATTGTTCGCTTCTTACTATTTATTACTACTAGTAGCTGTTTGTTTCATAGATTGAACTATTAACATTGCTTCTGTTGTTTTTTTAAAAATTTTTAAATATCAATCCTTCTAATCTCCCTGTTACTGGTTTTTGTAGTTTCGTAGTTTTTTCGTGGTTTTTTTATTTCCATGGAGTCACCTGAACGTTCGAGTCGTAGTTATGCGAAACGGGATGTAGAAGATAGCTCAGATGTCAAGAGTGATAGGGGTGGGGATGATGAGGAATGGGATGGAAGTGATAAGAGGAAACACAGGTCTAGCAAGTCTAGGAAGTCCACCAATGGGGAGGAAGCAGAAGGATTTGATGGGAGTGGGAGAAGGAGAAGTTCTGGTGGGGACAGGAATGATAGTCGTAAGAGGTCAGGTGGTGGTGGTGCGTCCAGTAAAGTGGGTAGTGATGAAGATGATTATGAGACAAGAAAAGAGATGCGTTCTAAGCAATTGAAGAAAAAACAAGAGGAAAGTAGTTTGGAAAAGTTAAGCAGTTGGTATCAGGATGGAGAATTAGACAACAAGCAGAGTGGAGGAGACAAGTCTGTTACTAAAGGCCATGGTCGGCTGGACGAAAGCGAGAGAAGGAAAATTACATCAAAGATCTCAGAATATGAGAGTTCCCGCACGGCAAGTAAAAGTAAAGAAGAAAGATCCTATGACGGAGAGAATGAGAAGGTCTTAGATAGAGATTCTAGATATTCAGAAAGGAAGGATAGCAGCCGAGAGAAAGGTCACAGTTCTGCTGAGACAGTGAAAAACTCAAGGAGAAGGTGGGATGAATCTGACTCCAACAGAAAAGCTGAAGAAAATCTTCCTGAAAAGCCTGATCTCAGAAGTGGAAAGGTGTCTGATTCCAAGTACGAGTCTAAAGAAAGAAGTGTCAGAAATGAACCCAGTGAGAGTAAAAGCAAGGGTTTGGATTCAAATAGTGAAAAGGGTGTCAAAACTAGCAACAGAGATGACAGAAGAGCTGATGGAGAGAGGGAGAAGTATAAGAGTAAAAGCAGGTCAGAAGCTGCTGAAGAAGATAATAGGGCTAGTCCTGTTACCCGTGAAGATAGATCAGGTCGGGAGAAAATTGAGAAGCACAGAGAGCAGAGAACTCCTACCAGAAGAGATGTTGCTGAAAGCCGCGAAAGGTCCTTCAATGCAGATGAAGATGGAAACACATGGACAAGAGATAAAAGTGCACGAGAAGTAGGGCGCTCTAACAGGTCCAGGACTCCTGACAAGAGCGCTAGGCGTCATCAAGAATCTCAACATTCTGAAATAGAGTATGAAAGAAATGTTGACACGAGACGGAAGGATCAAGAAAAGGATGGCTACAGGGATGATAGATCAAAAGCCAGGGATGAGAGCTGGAATGACAGGAATAGGGATCGGGAAAGTTCCAAAGAGAACTGGAAAAGAAGGCAACCCTCTGGTAATGATAGAGAGCCAAAAGACGGTGACATTGCTTATGATCGTGGAAGGGACTGGGAGCCAAGACATGGTCGTGAAAGGAATGACAATGAAAGGTCTCATGGTCGAAGCAGGGGTGAAGCTGTGAAAACATCATCAAATTTTGGGATTTCAAATGATAATTATGATGTGATAGAGGTCCCGCTTGATCACGGACGACCAGATTCTAGATCCAGCTTTGCTAGGAGGATTGAGGCCAGCCAGCAGTCTGATGGAAAATCAGCACCAAACACTGAAGAGTGGGCATACATGCAAGATGAAAGGGGAAGAAGGAATGACTCACCTTTTTTGGAGACTCAAAGGAAAAGTATATGGATGATGATGCACTTCTGCGAGATCCGAGTTCTTGGAGGGATGACATTGAGTATCAGGGAGGGAAAGGAAGAGGCCAAAAAGGGGCCATGCCAGGCCGTGGCGCTGGCGGTCAAAGCTCTAGCAGTGGTTCACAGCCTCCATATGGAAACCAGGATTCAGGCTCCTTTGGCAGAGGTCCTCCACAGGGAGTAAAAGGGAGTAGAGTAGGGAGAGGAGGAAGGGGGAGGCCTGCTGGGAGAGATAACCAACAGGTTGGACTCCCACTGCCTTTAATGGGATCACCTTTTGGGCCCCTTGGAATGCCACCTCCTGGAGCACTTCAGCCACTTGCTCCTAGCATGTCACCTGCTCCAGGTCCTCCAATTAGTCCTGGTGTCTTCATTCCACCATTTTCTCCACCAGTTGTTTGGGCTGGCACCCGAGGTGTGGAGATGAATTTGCTAGGCGTTCCCCCGGCTCTCTCTGCTGTCCCTCCTGGGCCAGGAGGCCCAAGGTTCCCCCTAACATGGGAACACCACCATCAAACCCTGCTATGTTTTTTAATCAAGCAGGACCTGGAAGGGGAGTGCCTCCAAGCATATCTGGTCCTGGTTTTAATGCTTCTGGACCAGTTGGACGAGGAACACCACCGGATAAAAATGCCGGGGGTTGGGTTCCTCCTAGAAATAATGGTCCTCCTGGCAAAGCTCCTTCAAGAGGAGAACAGAATGATTATTCGCAAAATTTTGTTGATACTGGTATGCGACCCCAGAATTTTATCAGAGAGCTAGAGCTGACCAATGTTGTCGAGGATTACCCCAAGCTTAGGGAGCTTATACAGAAAAAGGATGAGATTGTGGCTAAAGTTGCTGCACCTCCCATGTACATGAAATGCGACCTGCACGAGTTTGAGCTGTCATCAGAGTTCTTTGGAACCAAGTTTGATGTTATTTTGGTGGACCCTCCATGGGAGGAATATGTTCATCGAGCTCCTGGTGTTGCTGACCATATGGAGTATTGGACGTTTGAAGATATACTAAATCTTAAGATTGAGGTATTTTGTTTTCAAATCTCTTTTCCTTGTAGTTTGCCTTTTGTATTTTCATTTCCTTGATTAAGTATTATTTGCTCTACTTGTTAAAGAGTAGTCACGTGCCATTGAAGCACACAGTTGGAACGCGAAGGTTATTCATATTGGCATCTAGGGCCAGCAGTTGCTAATGTATAAAGCATAGATATGAGCAACATTGTTCGTTCTATAAATAGATGATATATTTCCTCTCTCTCTCTCTCTCATGTGATTACAGGCAATAGCAGATACTCCTTCTTTTATCTTCCTCTGGGTGGGTGATGGTGTTGGTCTTGAGCAAGGCCGCCAATGCTTAAAGAAGGTATTAATTAAGCCATTAGATTTAGAATTTGACAATGGCTTGCCCTTTTATTTTCTGCTGCTCTTATATGTTCTGTAAAATCAGCTGTTTCAGGTTTAGAATTTAACAATAGCTTGGCCTTTTCTTTTTGGCTCCACCCATATCATCTGCTAAAAAAATTTTCATGCTGTATACAAATTATGTTTATCAACACTGCAGTGGGGATTTCGAAGATGTGAGGATATTTGTTGGGTGAAGACCAACAAAAGCAATGCAACTCCAGGGCTGCGGCATGATTCTCATACTTTGTTTCAGCATTCAAAGGTTGCTATTTGATTTTTCTTCTGCATTGTATAAGCGGGCAGCTATAGCCCCGACTTCGACCTCTCACAAGTGCATTTATTTTTAATCCTTGATTGTTGTTGCCTTGTCATTGAAATGAAGGAACACTGCTTGATGGGTATAAAAGGAACAGTTCGTCGCAGCACTGATGGCCACATAATCCATGCTAATATTGATACTGATGTAATTATTGCTGAGGAACCTCCTTATGGTCAGTATATTTTCTTGTTAAATTTTTGTCTCTGATTGGTTTTGGTCCTTTTAAAGTAAACACACTTATGTTCGATTTGTGAATAATCTAGATACGAAACTGAAGAGCTGTATAACTTTCTGTTTTCCTGCCATCTGTCTGTCTGTTCTCACAATATAGTAAAGTTTTTTGTAATGCATGCATTCATTTAACATTTTTTATTCTTATTTCATTTGTTATAAAATCTGACATAAATTATGTTTACAATACATGCTTCCTTAGACTGGAACCTTACAAACACTTGTAAATCATCCCCTTAAAATGGGTCACCCTGTGAGACTTGTTAGTGTGTTTTATGCCACTGGAATTGCAGGTTCAACACAAAAGCCTGAAGACATGTACCGAATAATTGAGCATTTCTCTCTAGGCCGCAGAAGGCTTGAGCTCTTTGGAGAAGATCATAATATCCGGTCTGGTTGGCTGACTGTTGGCAAAGGATTAACTTCATCAAATTTCAATTCTGAGGTACAATATCTTTCAGAAACATGATTACTTCTGATTGCAACACTCATTTGCCCTTCATGTTAACTCTCAATGAAGGCTGACCAACGATCTAAGACTTCACTTGTTTAATGGAATAACAATTTTGGATGTTATGACTTACCCTCATGCTTGTTTAATCCTTGTTTTCCCTCCTTGGTTTGCTAAACCTAGATTTGGTAACTTTCAGGCATACATCAAGAATTTTGCTGACAAGGATGGGAAAGTTTGGCAAGGAGGGGGCGGAAGAAATCCCCCTCCTGAGGCCCCACATCTTGTTGTGACTACCCCTGATATAGAGGCTTTACGCCCGAAGTCACCAATGAAGAACCAGCAGCAACTGCAGCAGCAACAATCAGTATCTATTTCTCTTACAACACCCAATTCCTCCAACAGAAGAACAGCAGGAAATTCTCCCCAGAATCCAGGCACTTTCAGTTTAAACCAAGAGGCCTCTGGCTCTAACCCTTCAACTCCGGCCCCTTGGGCATCTTCGCCGATGGAAGGCTTTAGAGGACGAGAAGGTGGGAATATGCCTTCAGAGGACAAGGTTTTTGATATGTATGGTTATAGTGGGCAGGCAAATGGAGATTATCTAGATTTTGATTCTCAGAGACCTATGAATTTGTCGTAAAGAAACGCTTGGGCACAAATTGCCCTGTTTCGCTCCTGTATTTTTTTCTCAGCTAATTAGCTAAATATAAGTGGAAAGAAAATTCCATCCTTCCTTTTTTATTTTATCTTATCTATGCTTGCAACACCGAAGGGGACACGAGTCTCAATCATAATTTTATTACGTTACATAATAAATAATCGTTATGTAACGAATTTAAAACATCACATTATCATTATTTTAATATTATTGTAAATTACAATTCACGATAGTAACGGTGATCATTTTTCGCGATTAAAACTATGGTCTCAATAACTAATTGGAGTGGTTTATAATAGATTAAGCTTTCGAGTCTCGGTAACTTCTGAAAAATTGCACACCAGTCTAGAATTTTTTCAAGTATTTGGGCCAAAAACAGGTCAATGGATAAAGAAGATGGTCTTGCTGCAATAATTTTAACCTATGCCATCATTCTCTGGTGCCGAGTTCAGCACTACAATACAAGCAGTCAGCAGATGTTCTGAATTGATATGCCGCATTCCATGCTATATACTTGTGACTGCATTTGGCAAATTGCAGATCAACTTGAATAGAATTGAATCAAGCGAGTCCTTTATTTGATAGCATGCCCATCTGGGTTTGAAGAGGCCGTGTGCCGCTCGATCGCTTGAGACTCACAATGGACTATGGAGATTCTATCTTTAAAAAGAACATAACATTGTTGCAGAACAAAAGAACCTAATTGTTTTCCCAAAAAATATCATATTTTACAACATGTTCCAGAAATCCTAGACTTATCAATGGTCATAAAGGTCCTCTTCATATTGAATTTCTAAAGGCTACTCTCTTGCTCTTTCAATCTACCACCAAAAAAATAAAATAAAAATAGAGCTGTATTGACCTCTTTCATGAACACCTGATCAATTCGTGCTTTGGCAATACCCTCTCCGACTTTAAAAATTGGACAACTGCAGCAGTTTTTCTCTATTGTGTTTCTATGAGTTCTGTACCCCATTTTCCAGCTTTTCTGGAGGAGGCATTGCACCAGCAGTTTCTTTGACAGAAGCTGATGTCAATTCATACGCAAGATGTTAAGACATTTAGAGAGTTGGGGAAAGGATAGAGATGATGAGAACAGATTTAGTGGGAAGAACGTCTAACCTTGTGGCTGAGTCTCAGTTTGGGGTTCCAACTGGCTTTCTATTGGAGGGTGTGACTGCCCCTGTTGTTCGGCAGCAGATGCTTTTAGCTGCTCTTCTGTGATTTTCAAGTAATCTTCACTGGTATATGCTCTGTTTGGGGATGGAGCACCATCTAATTTTTTAAAACACAAGACAATGTTTTGTCAGTTCTGTAGTGAAGCCACAATTACTAAAGGAAAACAGAAACCACAGTATTTTGTTGTGACTTGATTATTCAATCAAGAAAATAACCACAACTTGAGTCGATTAAAAGCAACCACTGAAGCTATTCTGACCGGTCTCACTAAGTAACCATGGTTATTCCTGTCAAATGAAGTGCATAATCAGCTTTGGAGGAAGGTTTTAAATGATCACTTATTTCGACGCCTGACACGGATTCTTAAACCTTAGGCAATTATGAGGTTCAGCCACTGGTTCAAGGGGGTGGGGGGTGGGGGGAAGGATAGAGATGATGAGAACAGATTTAGTGGGAAGAATGTCTAACCTTGTGGCTGAGTCTCAGTTTGGGGTTCCAACTGGCTTTCTATCGGAGGGTGTGGCTGCCCCTGTTGTTCGGCAGCAGATGCTTTTAGCTGCTCTTCTGTGATTTTCAAGTAATCTTCACTGGTATATGCTCTGTCTGGGGATGGAGCACCATCTAATTTTTTAAGACACAAGACAATGTTTTGTCAGTTCTGTAGTGAAGCCACAATTACTAAAGGAAAACAGAAACCACAGTATTTTGTTGTGACTTGATTATTCGATCAAGAAAATAACCACAACTTGAGTCAATTAAAAGCAACAACTGAAGCTATTCAGACCGATCTCGCTAAGTAACCACAGTTATTCCTGTCAAATGAAGTGCATAATCAGCTTTGGATGAAGGTTTTAAACGATCACTTATTTCGATGCCTGACATGGATTCTTAAACCTTAGGCAATTATGAGGTTCAGCCACTGGTTCAAGGAAATATGTTTGGTTCTACACTTATCAAAGACAGAAAGGTTCAAATATGTTCAATATACTTTGAGAATGCCAAATGTCATAAACACTGTTATAGATACTGTCATTTGATAATTTGCTTGAAATATCGATCTATTTTCTACACTTTCTATTTTGGAACGCCCCTCATTTGTAGTTAATAGCATTAGCAACTATCAGTGAACATACCAGCTTTCGTAAGAGTTTACTGCTAGTATTAACTCATGCTCTAAAGACTGGTGCTAGTAGATCCAAAAGGTTTAGTATGAAATACTAGAAGTCATCATATCACCATCTGATACCACTAATGCTATTGCAAGAAAAGTAGCAGCTATTACTGAAAAATGATCACTCACTGGGGTCGGCCACAGCTGGAGAATCGCCAGTGCTGCCATCTGATGAAGGGGTTGAAGCAGTGTTTCTTATCTTGGAGCTGTATGTGTTTTGTGTTTGATTAATTTCATCAAGCCCAATCTCTCGCTCTAGTGTGCTCTTGAATTCCCTTGACACCTCCTGTATTAAATTTGAAGGGTTGAATCATTGTATACAATTACTCAAATAATTGGCAGAAACAATTCCGTTAGCCAAAAGTTTTAAGGACCAACCTGGAGTTCTTTAATTGTGGGTTGAAATGCACGTAAAGTTTTACCCAGATTGCGTGCAACCTGCATTTGGATAATTCAATGGAGACACCAAAAGAATCTTTTCTTTTCAGAGAACAAAAAATTAATAAAACAAGCACTCTAATACTAATAGTTAATTGCTACAGAAACACAAAAGGCACTAGAGCCGTCAAGATGCCTGGACAGGGTTCTTGAGTTAGCTCTTAATGTTGCACCACACAATCTAGAAATTGATGCCAAATAAAAACCATCGGTATTCCTAATTTTATTGGCTTATTGTGCAAATTGCATACAACTCCAACACGTAGGTAACTAGCAATCTACCAATCCCAAACTAGGATTGTTAAAAACAGTATGATAATCACAGTGTTTTAATGAAATAACAACATAACAATGTGATGCTTGTCTGGTGTTACATTAATCTTCTAGGATTGGTAGACTATTTGCTATAGAAACTCTATAAAAGGGGAAAAAAACAGCAAATAAGTGAAACAACTCACCTCAGCAAGACCTTTGGGACCGAAAACTAGCAAAGCCACCACACCAATAACCAGAGCCTCAGGAGCTCCAACACCAAACAGAGATGCATGAATCACCTTACCCTTACACCCTCCTTTCCTCTCTGTATCACGACCACATTTCATCGAGAATAAAAAACAAGAAGACAAATAAGCAAAATCAAATGAAAACTTAAAGAAAGCAAACCCAGATAAAAATAAAAAATGAAAAAATCACCTTTATTAAGGAATTTTGGAGAAATTGAGATACCCAGATGCTTTAAACCGTTCCACTGAGAGAAAGGACCAAGACCCAGTTGAGGAATCCATGTAGAGAGACCGAATTTGGGTGCCTTGTGGTAAGGAATTAAAGAAGAGGAGGAGAGAGGGTAAAGGGCTGATTTTGTGCTTGTTGAAGTTGAACACAAGGATGCTGAAGTTGAAATTAATGATGCCATGACCATAAGGTGTTTTTTATGGGATTCTTTTACAAGGGGTTTTAGTCATATGTGCGAGGCAATACTATCTATCCTGAATGGAAGGAAACTATGATTGAAGATAGATTCTTCCCATGTCCACCATCCCCATGTCTTTCTGACATTTCTTTCTAGTTTTGTCTTTGCCTTCTTTTGGTCGCTACCAGCTAGGCTTGTTTGCCTCCAGGTCTGGACATTGGGCTCAGTAATGGGAATCTAGAGCCAGCCCAAAAGAACAAGATTTCACTGCCCAAGTTTGGGTTTCACCTTGGCAAATCAGCAATGCAGTTCTTTGGAAGATCTGGGCAGCTCATGCTTTGCCCAAAACAGAGAAAGCACTTGGGCCTAGTCTACTTTTTCAGTCCTGACAAAAGAGACCGTACAAAAAGTTGAAGCTAATGTTGTCTTTTGATGATGTGGTAGGTGTGATGGGAAAGCAGGTATGGCATCAAGCAATTGTATATATTCTTGGAGGGTGACAAGCCATGGCAAGGGGCACTTTTTTTTTTTTTTTTTAAAAAAAAGAGTATTTTGAATAAGATATTGTAGCTGAAATTTTCTCTTTAATTATTTTAAGAATTTAGAATTTGAGAGATCAACCCCCACCTACTTAAACATGTGGTGTGTTGGTTTGGCTTTTGCCTCGTAGGACCCTAACCAGTAACCACACTAAAGAGCTAGGGTGGTCAATTTTATGGAAAAATATCCCATTGGACCCAACAGTGATCTTGATTGAATAATTCAAGCTTTCTTGATTTCTAGTATTTTCTTCGTCAATCAACTAGCCTATCTTCAATTTTCATGATCTGTTCAGAAATTACCACTCCCTTAAGAGGCTTTAAAAGCTAATATTGCATGATTGAGAGAAAAAAACACATCAAAATCAAAAAATAAGATGATAAAAATGAGCCACATTGATCCATTTCATGCATATATATATATATATATATATATATCTTTTACTAACTTGGCTTGATCATGAGCAGATGAAAAAGGGTATACAGCAAATGATATGGCACAGTAAAAGGCTGTAATGAAATGGGATAGCTTTTCTTTCACTCACTAGGAAAGACAAATCATTGCAAGCAAAGACTCTTTTAAGGATGGATGGAGGATTAAAGTGAGATATCTACTGAAAAGGTTAAAAAGCTAAGGACTTCATAAAGACACATGAAAAAAGGTTAAAGGTGAGTTCAGAAACAAAGGCCCTTTTGAAGGAGAAAAGGGGAAGGAGAGGTAAACAAGGACAATGATAATACGTAAGACACATGAAAAAGGTTAAAAGAGAGTTCAAAAGAAAGATAGAAAGGTACTGGGCTGCGATATCATCATCATTATCACAACAGACTCAAAGCAAAAACCGATAATGGTAAAGAAAGAAAACCCACCCGTGCAAGTTTTAGTTAATTAGGAAAAAAAAAAAAAAAGAGAATGTCACGATCTTAGCCCTATCTCCCATACCAATTTTCTGCACAAAAACCCATCAAACATTTGGGTCATCCACACCACACGTGCAACACTTTGACCAGCAAATATATATATATATATATATATATATATATGGTCTACGATGCCCTCGACTATTGCAATATTCTACAGAAGGGCAACTTCAAAGGGAGTAGATGAAAGTGGTTTTCAAGAGGAGGTGGAGTCTTGTGTCATGGGCCATGCTACTGAATAAGATATAGAAAGACATAAATGTCAAATGAACAATATTGTGGACCTCGAATTTAATGCAATCATAACACTACCACATAGCAAGCTCATTTTTCTTGTATAGTTTTTGGGGAAATAGGTGTGATTACAATTTTGGATTTCTACTGTCAGATTTTATTTTCAAATCTAAAAAATGAAGGTAGGTGAGGTTTAGGTTTAATTGCATCATTTGTCTTTTTATTTTGATATTTTTTTTATATATTTATCACATCTTTCTGCCCTATATATTTTCTTAATATAACTTTTTTGGTAGGTTTATTGTCAATTTTTGGGTAATAAGTGGTATTTCGTATCACATAAAAATGCCATTTAAAACGATATGTCATATGAAATTGATATATGACAATATATATATTTAATTTTTTAATTTGTTTTTTTAATTTTTTTCAGATATTTTAGAAAAATTTCCATATGTAAAATTTATTTAACATAGCAATGTGCTTGTCATTCGTTACAGAAAAATTAACCATAATTCTGTTAGAAAGACAACATAAAGAACATATACATAACAAAACAATATAATAAATAATAAAAAAATTCACATTAAGAAAACATCAAGAGTAAAAAAACAAAATATGCTATTAATTGATGAGATTTACTAAGTTTAAGAGCTTTATATATATATATATATATATATATATATATATATATATACATTTTCTATCTTTCCATAAAAAGAAAAAGAAAAAGAAAAGAAAACAACAGCTGTTTGTTTTTTTTTTTTATATACTAGACATTAATAACATTCTCAAATGCATCAATGTTACAAAAATAAAATTATATATCAAGATCGAAACTTTGTTTGATGGGGTTTTTAATCCCGTACAAAATATTATATTCTTGAAAAATTCCTTCTCCTCCTGATATACGTCATCTGTACATGTCTATTTTTAATAGGGGGGAAAAAAGAAGAAGAAGAAGAAGAAGAAAAACATGGGATAGATGCAAAACAATACGGAGTGAGAAAAGGGCGGAAGGTGGTCACGTTAGAAAGAGGCATACTTTAAGGTAGTCCACATGGGTGTGGGCAGAGCCGCCGGCCGAAAACACATCGAGGGTCAAGTGAGTAGACGGCCATGATTGGTCTCATCAAAAATATATATATATATAACAGTTGATGGGTGGCACATGGAGTGGGCAGTCTCCCACAAATGAGGTCACGAGGATCACGAAATACAAATATGGAGATGAGCATGTAATAACAATAGTAGCAATTAAAAAGAAAATAAAAGAGAAAAGGGTATGTTTCTGGTTCAAATTCAATGTTCAGAAAACAACTTTGTAACTTGCAATAATAGCATATGACTGTCTTCCCTCTTCTTTGTTCCTCCTCTCTTAACTCCTTCCCGTTCTCGTAGTTTTTGAGACATTCCATGCCCATTTCAATTATTTTCTACCTTACATAATTCATAGTTAAAGATTGAAACTTTTGTAATGAAAATTGTTGTAATGGCGTGGGAAAAGAAAGAAAATGGGATGATCGATCATGTATAGAATGTTAAAGATGAGTCAAGAAAACGGACTCTATAAAGTCTAAACTAATCAAAAAGTTTAGGTAAAAGATGAGATAATTTGGAGTAAAAATTGCGACCTTTTTTTCTGGTCCAAATCCCAAAACTCTAAAAAGGAAATATGAAAAAAAGAGAGTGAGTGGGGTGCAAGTGACGTAGAAGAAGAGATGACGTGGCAGTGATAGGAGTAGTATTTAGTTCAAGGAGAAGGAAAGTAGAGAAAAAACAAAGAGGAGGATAAGAACCGTAGAGACAGGAACGGAAAGAAACAGAAGCGAAAGAAAGAGAGAGGGGGAAGACAAGAGAGAGCGTGCTGTGGGCGTTTCGTTTTTATGATCTAACAAAACAGAACAGAACAGACGAGAAGACAAGTTGTGTTTTTTTTTTTTTTTTTTAACTTAAAAAGACAAAAGCTTTTTCAGTTTTTCTCTCAAACATCTCAAAATCAGCCAACTTTGGTATGAATTTAAGTTCCTGCATGTGTTTTATGGGTGGTGATGGTTGTTGTTGTTAATCAAAGATGAGAAGTGTCAATAATAGCAGTGTTGAAACCGTTAACGCAGCTGCTACCGCCATCGTCTCCGCTGAGTCTCGCGTCCAGCAATCTTCTTCTTCTGCTCAGGTTCAGTTCTTTCTTCTTTTCTCCATTTCTGCTTGGTTGGTTTAGGACATGAAACTGATCTTTTTTTTTTTTTTTGCCTTTTTTGAGGTTTTGTTGATGATGTTAGTATAACTGTTGTAAAATCTGTTTTGTCCTTTTTTCCCCTTTTGCTTAATGGAAAAATCCGATCTTGTTCTAGGAAACCAAACAACTTCTTCTTATCCTTTTACTGTATTTTTTCAGCCGAGAAACAGTCCACTGCCGGGGAAATGAAAAGTTTGGATCTTTTTTCGATTTTTTTTTGGGTTGTTCGAGTAATTGAGATTTATTTTTTCCTTTTCTCGGTCTTGAAAAGTTCAATTATAGAATTGAATTGAATTGACCTTTTCACTTACTCGTATGCTTCTTCTTTTTCATGATGGAAAGTTAAATCTAAAAAGATAAGACACTTGAGATGCTTAGCTTTAGATGATGTTCTATAGCTCCTTTTTCCCCCCTATGATTGTTTATTTTCCTGCTGGAAATTGACGAAATGGAAAAGGCAACAAAAAATATTCAAACTTTGTATGTTAATGGAATTCGAGTCTAGACCCCTTTCAAAAAGAATATGATTCTGTGAAATACTTGATGATGGTTTGGATTTATTCATTCTAACAAAATTAGAATTTGTTGCCAAACCCATCTTCTTTGGCTGGTTTATTTTCAAGATGGATTCGGTTTTGTGCTAGGAAAGCAGCAGTCCTGGCTCTCTTGTATGATTTTTTCTTGAAAGTTTCAAAACTTGATTTGCTTGGTATTAGTAATGAGAAAATACTGTGTCTGACTCAAGTTGATGCCTTTTGCTTTGCGATCAACGATAGGAAAAGAGTAGATATGGAGATGCAAATTCTAATTTTAACTGCTTGCTCTCTCAATCCATTAGATCCTACTCGATGATCATGTATTTTATGCAATATTAGATAATGAGAGGGGGAAAAAAGAACTAATTTTGATTCTTCTGGAACCAGTTGTTTACAAGCCTTTTTTTCCTTTGACAGAAAAGGAGGTGGGGAGGCTGCTGGGGTCTCTACTGGTGTTTTGGTTTTCACAGTTCTCACAAGAATAGCAAGCGAATTGGTCATGCTGTCCTTGTTCCCGAACCAGAAGTGTCAGGAGCTGTAGCCCCTTATAGTGAAAATCAAACTCAGTCAACTCCTCCCATTCTACTGCCCTTCATTGCTCCTCCTTCTTCTCCTGCTTCTTTCCTCCAATCTGATCCCCCTTCTGCCACTCAATCACCTGCTGGATTGCTGTCTCTTACTAACCTCTCTGTGAATGCCTACTCCCCACGTGGACCTGCATCCATTTTTGCCATAGGCCCTTATGCACATGAAACACAGCTAGTCACACCACCTGTGTTTTCTGCGTTCACTACTGAGCCATCCACCGCTCCTTTCACTCCCCCTCCTGAATCTCTTCAACTTACTACACCTTCGTCTCCTGAAGTGCCATTTGCTCAACTCTTGACATCCTCTCTGGAACGTGCGCGAAGAAACAGTGGCCCCAATCAAAAGTTTTCATTATCTCAATATGAATTTCAGTCATATCATGTGTACCCAGGAAGCCCAGGTGGTCAAATTATCTCACCAGGCTCAGCGATCTCGAATTCAGGCACCTCTTCTCCATTCCCCGATAGACTTCCTATTCTCGAGTTCCGAATGGGTGAGGCTCCCAAGCTCTTAGGGTTTGAGCATTTTACTACTCGTAAATGGGGTTCAAGATTGGGTTCTGGATCTTTGACGCCGGATGGTGTGGGGCTAGGTTCAAGGCTGGGTTCTGGTACAGTGACTCCAGATGGAATGGGGTTATCAACGCTTGGTTCTGGTACAGTGACTCCAGATGGCATGGGGCTGTCAAGGCTCTGTTCTGGAACCGCTACTCCAGATGGCATGGGGCTATCAAGGCTCTGTTCTGGAACTGCTACTCCAGATGGAACTGGCCTGCGATCAAGGCTTGGCTCGGGGTCTTTGACCCCTGATTGCTTTGTCCCTGCTTCTCAAGTTGGTTTCCTTTTGGAGAACCAGACTTCTGAGGTTGTATCACTTGCCAACTCAGAAAATGGATCCAAAACCGATGAAAATGTAGTTCACCACAGAGTCTCGTTTGAGTTGAGTGGTGAAGAGGTTGCCCGTTGTTTTGAAATCAAGTCAGCAGCGTCCAATAGAACTTTTCCAGAATACCCACAGGACACCATGTCCGAAGACCCAACAAGAAGCGATAGATTAGCAATGAATGGGGAGAGTTGTTTACAAAACGAGGAAGCTTCCAGTGAATCAACTGAGAAAAATTTAGAAGAAACAGAGGAGGAGCACAGCTATAGGAAGCATCGATCCATCACTCTTGGGTCAATCAAAGAATTTAACTTTGATAACTCAAAAGGAGAAGTCTCTGATAAACCTCCTATCAGCTCAGAGTGGTGGGCAAATGAAACAATTGCTGGGAAGGAAGCTAGGCCTACCAACAACTGGACTTTCTTTCCACTGCTACAGCCAGAGGTCAGCTGACATTATAATTATGCAAAAAAGACCTCTCTTCCATATTTGGACACTGAAACAAACTTGTTGCATTGAAAGCTAGCCTGTGAGATGTAAGTCCAAAGGCAGCACTGTTTTGGAAACACAGATTACCATAGTCTGCAATCACATGATTGAAGGACAGATTCCACCTTACTATTATTCTCTAGTGACCTAAATCAACAACTTGGAGAGGAAATAGTTTGTAGAGATCATTAGTGTGGGCACTTATAGAACATTCTTTTTTATCTTTTCCTTTTTCTTTTTTTTTTGGCTACACAAAATAGCATTTGCATATAGGTATTGTATTCTGGATTTTTGTTTTTCCTCTCATGTGTAATAATGATAGAAGTTGGTTTCCTTCAACAAGTGTCCTCGCTGCGAGTGATTTAACCCCTATGTGGCTCCATATACTCCTCCATTACTTGTTTCTGCAGGTTCCCTCTCATTAGAGAGGACCAAACGATGATGATGATATATTAAAAGCTGCAGTTTGAAGTTGATCCGGCTGCAAATTGGATCAATGAAGTCTGCCTCAGGCAAAGGCAAGCTGCCCCGCATTCTTTGCTTCCATTGCATGACATCTTTAGGTCTCATACTATTGGATCTGCTGCAAGAGTTTCAACCTTTCTGTAGCTTTTAAATCATTACAGGAATTTGGTACACATGCCCTGTTTAGATATATGCCTCTACTGTTGTCTAAAAATGCTGTGTGTACAAATTAGCGATAGCTGGAATAGGAATTTTAGATCTTGGCATAGAAGTTCCACTCCAAGAATAGTAGCCCTATAAGTTAAGAGCTACATAGGAGCAGTAAAAATCACTGCTGGTGGGGTATTGCATTCAATTTTTTAGTTGGGAAAACAAGTATAGTATGGTGGTTAATAAATGGATATGAATTGAATGTTGGAAATGTATATATACACACACACATATATATATATACACACCTTTGTGTGGTGTAGTCGTGTAGGCCTGTAGGGCAGAGAGATGATAGAAATACAATGTAGGTGTACTAAGATTATTGCTAGAAAGCGCCCAGTGGGTATTGTCATGGTCATTTATGGTTGATGCCATGCCAGCACTAGGCATGCTGGCTGGCTATTGTCGATTGTTGGTAATAGAGGATAAGGCAGCAAATGACTTTTTTAGGTAACGGCCATGTGTCATATCCCTGTCCTACCTACTTGTCCTAACAAATGAAATAAACAGCCTGTGCTGTGCGACCAACTGAACTAACTGGGCTCTTTTTCACGAACCTAGCTGTTCCTCCTACTGTGAAGGTCATGGAAGATGACAAATTATTTGTAGATAGTTCCTACTCACGCTGGAAATTAATGGCCCAAGAAAAGAAAAGATAAGAAAATGATGAATCTGGCTAATTAGACGCTGCTGCTACTAGTACTTGTAGTTGTAGGCAACAACGAAATGATGTCGTGAAGGTGAGGAGAATGTCATGTGATTTATATCTTCTAGGCTTGTCTGTTGGCCTCCCAGGCTTTTCTTGTAACGCGTACTTTCCTCGTCTTGTACAACAAAAACGCCTTGTTCTCTCTCTCTCTCTCTCTCTCTCTGCATTTTTCAAGCAAGATTTGATTCATCTTTCACAATAAAGCCCTTTGTAATTGTATGGTGATTGGACAACTAGCGGAATTAGGGCAAATGGGTTTCTTTGTGTTTCTTGTTTTGAAGTCCCATGACCTCTTCGGCACGTTATTATGCCTGAGAAGTCATCAATTAGGCCAGCCGAAGCCCCACATACTATACATGCCATGTTACTAGTTACTGTAAACTGAAAAGCTAGCTGAATGTAGAAATGGCAGACGTCAAGATTCCATAATTCACAGGAAAAATTGGTATCGATATTTACAGTATCCGCTTTCAAATTTTCTGCTCTACATATCAAACCCAACCTAGCAGGATTTAAACACTAATCAAGGTGGTTTGCAGACAATGGGAGCTTGCTAAGCTGGACTATCTTGATTTATGAATATAAGTTACATCAGATGTTCTTAATTTCTGAACCAACAGAACCTGCAAGTTTCTTCAGTAAAGGCTGCATGGTTTCTCTTACATAATCATGCTAGACTGGTTTTCTGTAAATTAGTACGTGGTTTCTGAAAAATACCTTTTCTTTTCTGACCTACAATAGTGCTCTGGGTCTCTAATTCTTTTTGTGTTCGTAACAGTATTCTGTCTCTCAATATATATATATATATATATAAGAAAAATCTGGCCCTTTTTTTTTTCAAAATAAAAATAAAAAATAACTTGCGTGCAAGTAAGGGAGGTTTAGGTTATCTGATTCAATCATGCCATCAAAGTCAAAGATATCGGTGGATTCTACAATCTAATTGAATAAACAACTTATTTTATTTTATTTTAATACATTTTTCAATAATTTAACCTTGTATTTTACGAAAATGAGGTCTGAATATGATCACTTGTGAAGAACACAAAGGAGAAAGGGCAGAACATCTGTGCTGCCATCCCCAAGCAAGTAGGGGAGTGGAGAATTTTATAAGGAGTTTCTTATCAGTTGTTCCAAAATATAAGGATGTTGTGTCGGAGTAAATTGTAGATTAATTTCTTTATTTTTTGAAAAACAATTTAATAATTCTTTTAATTCTAAAATTAATTATTTAATTCATTATTGAGTGTTGAACAAATTTAATTTAATATTATCTTATTTTTTAAAATTTCATTTTTCTCATCAAATTTTCATAATATTTTTTTACCTTTTTTGGTTTCTTGAAAAAAAAATGAAAATAAATAATTAGTTTTTAAAATGAAAAGAACTATAAAGACTAATTCGTTGAAACATACCAACGGATAAGATGAATCAATCTGAAAGACCAACGGTCCATATTTAACTTAAGTAACAACTCATAAAACGACACAAAATCCTAGTTCTATCCTCCCCTGGCCACAATATAATAATAAAATAAAATAAAAATTCCTCCTCCACAATTCAATTCAAGATGCCGGCCGGGGAGCTTCGCTTCTCATCACCGCTTCCAAACGATTCCACCTACATGGTGGTCGACGATGACGACGAGGCGGCCTGGTTGTGGACCCAGATAAAAGCAGAAGCGAGGCGCGACGCCGAGTCAGAGCCAGCTTTGGCTAGCTACCTCTATTCAACAATTCTTTCTCACTCCTCGCTGGAGAGGTCGCTCGCCTTTCATTTAGGGAACAAACTTTGCTCCTCAACGCTTCTCTCCACTCTCTTGTACGATCTCTTCCTCAACACTTTCGCTTCAGACCGTTCTCTTTGTGCCGCTGCTGTTGCTGACCTTCGCGCCGCCCGTGTTCGGGACCCTGCTTGCGTTTCTTTCGCTCACTGCCTCCTCAATTACAAGGGTTTCTTGGCTTGCCAGGTCCTAACCAACCTTTTCTCTTTTTACAATCTTCTGATACATGCTGCTTTAGTTTGACCTGTAAATTCCGGACCAATTGAATTTCGTTTTATCATCAGGCTCATCGAGTTGCCCACAAGTTGTGGACTCAGGCCCGTAGGCCACTGGCTTTGGCATTACACTCTCGAATCTCTGATGTTTTTGCCGTTGATATACACCCAGCAGCAAAGATTGGGAAGGGTGTGCTTTTTGATCATGCAACTGGTGTGGTCATCGGTGAAACAGCCGTGGTAGGAAACAATGTCTCCATTTTGCATCATGTTACACTTGGAGGAACAGGGAAAGCCTGCGGGGATCGACACCCCAAGATTGGGGACGGCGTGCTGATTGGAGCTGGCGCCACCATCTTGGGGAATGTAAACATTGGGGAAGGAGCTAAGATTGGAGCAGGTTCAGTAGTGCTAATTGATGTGCCCCCTCGAACCACAGCGGTTGGAAACCCTGCAAGGTTGGTGGGAGGAAAGGAAAAACCATCAAAGCATGAGGAATGCCCTGGAGAGTCCATGGATCATACTTCATTTATCTCTGACTGGTCAGATTATATCATTTGATTGATGATTTTAGAACTTTTCTGTTCCATACTTGTCTCATATTTATGACTAATAATGCTCCTCATGCGGTTGCCTTTGATCCGTCAATGGTCAGCGAAAGATGCCGCCTTATCAGTAGTTATGCATGTTTGTAATCAACAATTGCTATAATAGAGAACCTTATCATATTTTTATCTTTTGAGCTCTTCCATTATTTGGTGTGGTTTTAGATTAGCTATGATATATCCAGATTCTAGATCAGTGACAACTACTTGCAGGGCTCATTTGTTAACAATTATGTTCTCAAGTAGCTATGGAACAGCAGTACCAAACATGGTATGGTAAGAGTATCTCCTCCTCTATCAATCACCATGAACTCTTAACTTCTAACTTATACAGAAAGAAACTTTAAATTATCCAAAGTCTTGATCAGCTGCTTCTCTAAACATAGTATGCCAAGAGCAGGCCATTCTTTAACAATTTTCTTCTTAATGGATAAAAGTAGCTACCGACCTGCAGTATCAAATGTAGTATGTGGTTTCTTTATGATTCGAGCAGGCTCGGTGATTGCGATCACTACATTCTCTACTGAAAACCACATGTTTTTTTGCCTAAGATGGTGACTTTTGCAGTCTAACCAACTGGAGGAGAATTTATTCTGTCAGCAAGTGCAAAGAAGTTAGTTTTCTTAGTGATCTTTATTATTGGTAATTAAGATTCCTTTCTGGCTTTGATGTAGAATACCAATGCTTGTGGTTCATATGACCTGAAAATAATCATCGATCTCATTCAAACAGATGCAACAGTCTTCGAAATCTGAATGTATTGAGTGGATGGCAGAAAACATGGAATCTAATGAAGCCTAGGTTTGTTGCATCCAATGAAGATAAGACATCACTAATATTCTAGCATTATCTTTACAACCAATCATAGGATCCTAGTTGATGATCTGGTGCAAGTCTTTGAGCTTTATTGGTTGCTGTTAAATTTCCATGCTTATTGTGCAGGGGCCAAGGGTTTTTTCTTGCATATGAAACTCCTTATCACCTTACCCAGTTTAATTAGTTAGAGGGTTGATCCTCTTGAAACTGTCATAGCGAAGTTTGAATTTGAACATCCAGAGGAGGATTATGCTTTAGGATTTTATTTTTTCGAAGGTGAACGTAGAAACACAAAACTTACAATAGAAAACTGAAAATGAAAGTGAACAAACCCTTCTTGAAGCAATTACCAAGAATTGCTGTTGCTCCTGCTTGTTGAAGATCAAATCCTTTCAACTACAGAGACACACCTCCTGAACTCCATGCCAGCCTCTCTACTTGCTGCAGGGAATCTCTTCTTCAATAACATCTGAGGAAGATTGTTGCTGCTGGTTCTGGTTCTTGAATTAAGACAATGCTGCCTATATCTCTCCTGACCTCACTGCAATACTGAGGCTGACATGAACCCACTGACCTCCACATGCTGTGTAATTTAATTTTTTAATCAAAATTTTGTATTTGATAAATTATGTTTTATATTTTTCATAAATTTTTTATTAAAAAAGTATTATTTATTTATCTTTATCTACATTCTTAAATAAAAAATGTATAATAATGTAAGGGGAAAAAAATATCAAAATCAGTAGATTCTTAACTAAAAACTTATTTTGTAAATTATTTTTTTTAAAATATATTTTTACCTTAAAAGTTTTAATTGAAAAAACCAGAGCAAAAAAAGAAGAAATAAGGATCGAAGGAAGCAAAATAAAATAAAAAAATTTACAGACTAAAAAAATAATATTTTAAAAAAACTAAATTTAATATTACCAAAATTTTCAAAAAAAATGCTTTTAAAAAATTTAAAAATATTATTACATGGTGAAAATAACAATGGACAAATCTTGACAAATAATGCAAATGATTATAGTTAACACTTAACAGTATTTCAAACGGTGACAGTAAATAGTAAACAATATATATATATTTATTTATTATTATTATTTTTTTTTGGTTAATAATAAAAGCTGGTGTGCAATCTCCACACTTGATGGATTTATCTGTGTTAACTTGTCCTCTGCTGTATATTGTTCCTTTTGGAAATCCCCCATTGCCCTTCCCTACTAGCAAGATATCTTCCCTGTCTCCCTTCCATTTGATGTGAGTCCATCCGAGTCTGGCTGATGACTCCCAAGAGCTCTTATCGACGGTGTCGTTTGGCACCTCGATGTCGACTCATCACATCCTGGGGTTGAAGAAGGTCCCAAGGGTTCGTTCGGTTGTTCGCCGATTCAAGCTTCTCCTCTCTCGTTATGTTTGACGGTTAAAAACTTATCTAAAATGACATCGTTATATATATGTATAATAAAATCCAGTTTTCTGGCGGTGGTGGCTGTCATTACATATTGTGATTTGCGACCTATTTAATACAGACAACGGTTGAAGTCATTAGAATAGGAACTCCATCAATTGATCACTTGATAATAATTAAATTTATTACTACAAAGCCAAAGATGAGTTAAGCATTTTCCTTAAACAATGATTTGACAAAGAAATCTATGACTATAACAACCGAAAGAATTATTTTTTTAACTGGTCCGAAAGGTAATGAGGATGGACAGGACATGTTTTTCCATCAAATTTTCTCATTATCTAGAGTCTATGATTGTCCTTTTGGCACGTTGCCATGACGTGTCACTAGGTGTCTCTCTCAGCAAACCAGCCACTTCGACAGCCGGTCACCCAAAGCATTCGTTAGCTCATAAAAAGTCAAAAGGTAACTGAATCTAAACAAGAACTAGATTTTTGGTAACTGTTCTACTTTTTAAGCTTTCTTTTTCTTATGTGTGGCATGCAGTGGAAGAATTTTTTTAACTCTACTCGTTGCAGATATACTAGTGCTACCTTTTTTGTCCAGGTGAGATCATGTTTGTTTTATTGCTTTTAAGATTATAATGTCTGGTTTCTGTTTCCATATTGATAGATAAAGTTTTCAGCTGGTTTTAGCTTTGTTAATTGGACTGATTCGACCAACTGTCCAAGGTTGTTGGGTCATGTAACCAGTGCTCTGACATTATTATATGTTCTACACATGAAAAATGATTCTGTTTTCATTTTCTTTTTTGTTACTGGATTCTTATGTACGCTGCCAACTTCTATTTTGTTGCATGATATGTTCTTTGGGATCCAACATTGATCATTCTTCAATAATACAGACTTAAATTGGATATTTGTTTGAACCCTTTTTGAGTTTCTGTAACTTTGCTTTCAGGGCTTAATCTTCAAGGTTTTTAGGCAAGAAATTGTTATGGTAGAGATGGAGTGTTCTTGAATGCTAAAATTTTAAGGAGATTGAGATAAGAATAAGTGGAATTGGATCTCAATTAAACTGCGAATATGGCTATGGCTCCTACTGTGAAAGTAGTTCTTGGTTCAATTGCTTTTGCAATTTTCTGGGTACTGGCAGTTTTCCCTGCTGTCCCTTTTCTCCCAATTGGAAGAACTGCAGGTTCCCTTCTGGGAGCTATGCTGATGGTCGTGTTTAGAGTCCTAACCCCAGATCAAGCATATGCTGCAATTGATCTACCAATTCTTGGACTTCTCTTTGGGACGATGGTTGTCAGTGTTTATCTTGAGAAAGCAGATATGTTCAAATACTTAGGTCAGTTGCTCTCCTGGAAAAGCAAGGGAGCCAAGGACTTGCTTTGTCGAATTTCCATGATTTCTGCCGTTTCAAGTGCTCTCTTCACTAATGATACGTCTTGTGTGGTTTTGACTGAATTTGTATTGAAAATTGCAAGGCAGCATAATCTCCCACCCCATCCATTCCTACTTGCCCTTGCCTCAAGTGCAAATATCGGATCTTCAGCCACTCCAATTGGCAATCCTCAAAACCTGGTTATAGCTGTTCAGAGTAAGATTGCTTTTGGGAGTTTTGTTTTGGGAATCCTACCGGCGATGCTCGTGGGAGTTGTTGTGAATATTCTAATACTTATGTGCATGTACTGGAAGTTGTTATCTTCTCCTCAGAAAGATGAAGAAGATGCAACTGCAGAGGTTGTTGCAGATGACGATGTCATTTCTCATCGTTTTTCACCTGCCACCATGTCACATTTCACATCCTTAAACTCCCAAGAATGGAATTCTAGACTAGAATCAGCTAACATGCGAAATTCTCCCGATATGAATGGTCATGTAAACCATGTTGAGACTCTTAGAAACCGAATAAATTCAAGCGAGAGCGAAATCTGCAGTGCCACTTCTGGTGTATTTGAGTCTGCAAGGGATTCAAGTGCATCAAAAGAGGTAACAAATGATGCTTCTTTGCAGAAAGGAGAGGAAACTGTTTCTTCAGCGTGGGTGGAGTCAATGGATAGATCAAGAGATTTATCATCAATACAGTTGCCAGAAGGAGACTTTGCCACAAAATGGAAAAGGATGCTGTGGAAATCGTGCGTTTACCTTGTTACCGTAGGCATGTTGATTGCGATGCTTATGGGCCTGAATATGTCATGGACTGCACTTACTGCTGCTCTTGCTCTTGTGGTTCTTGATTTCAAAGACGCTCGGCCATGCCTTGAGAAGGTAAATTCTGAGATCAATGTGCTCTTTTCTCTTCTTGTTATTAATGGAGTTGTTTATGCTGATGTCTTGACAGACGTATATATTGATATCTGATTTGGCTCTTCTTTCACCAGGTCTCGTATTCCCTTTTAATTTTCTTTTGTGGGATGTTCATCACGGTTGATGGCTTTAACAAAACTGGAATTCCAAGTGCTTTCTGGGACTTCATGGAGCCTTATGCTCACATAGATCATGCTGCTGGAATAGTAATCCTAGCCCTTGTCATACTTGTGCTGTCCAATTTGGCTTCAAATGTACCAACTGGTATGCTAACGTTTCTGCTTCTTGATTACTCTGGATTTGTTATTTGCACCAAATAATCATGGTTCTTGGTTAGCGGTTTGAAAGTTTATTTGGTAGAATCTGCAGACAGCTTTTTTGTTGGTTTAGTAATTATAACATGCAGTTCCCTACAAATAAGTACCTCCAATAAGCAGCTAACTGCGTCTTGTTTTCAAAAGATTAGCTCGTCCAACAAAAGTTCCCACGGAATCTGTATTAGTAAATTGGCAAAAAGTAAGGCCTCGTGATATCGTGCAATGCTGGAACTGTTCAAGAACACAAATTGGTCAATAATGACCCTCGGAAACTGCTTCTTTGCCTTGTGAGATTTACCGGTCCTTAAGTTCGTACCTGCAACAATTTATGTTTTTTCTGTACATTGACATGTTCTCCTTCTGTAGGTTTAACCAAGATTTTTTCTTGTAGCATGTTTTCATGCATGAAAACCTGCTAAAACAAAAATTTTCGCATCATTTTCAAAATCCAATTTAGAGTAGCTTTTTAGTTGCTTATCTTTGAATTGTTTGTATTGTCAGTTCTCTTGCTCGGAGGACGGGTAGCAGCATCAGCCGCCGTAATTTCGGCAGCTGAAGAGAAGAAGGCCTGGCTCATCTTAGCTTGGGTGAGCACAGTAGCCGGGAACCTTTCACTGTTGGGATCAGCTGCCAACCTGATAGTCTGTGAGCAAGCTCGTCGAGCCCCACTCTTCGGTTACAACTTATCTTTTTGGAAGCATCTTAAATTCGGAGCTCCATCCACCATTATAATTACTGCCATTGGTTTAGTACTTATTAGATAGTACTTGTGTTTTTAAGCTAGAGAAGACCATATTTCATGCACAAAATTTTGGCTCAAAAGATAAAAGACCCCAAACTATATAAAGTTGGGTGTTCCTGAGAAATGTGGATCTGTAGTTTCTTTCCTTCAACATGTAGCAGCTCAAAGACATGAAAATTTTCCCCCCTTTTTTGGGGTATTTTGGAATCCCAGACCATTAATCCACACAGGATATACAGATGAAGAAATCACCAAATTTGGGGCCACTTCGTCGTCAGGGTCTTAATTTTCCACAGGATTTTGAGATCACAAACTGAAGATTATTAGCGGACTTGTTTTTTCTTACAATTATTATGCAACGTTTAATCTGACAAAACAAACTCGTTGGCTTTTCCTTCGTTCTTGCAAAAGTTTTAAAAAACCTTTCCAGTCCCATGATCTTCTCTTCAGATAAGCCTCTAAAACATGGATGCTTTTAGAAATGTTGCAAGAATTTGTTCTTGAGACAAACCCCATCTCCTAGGCACATCAAGCTTTATTTCCCATGGGATGTGTGATCATGGACCTCAGCCACATTAACAATTAACAAAAGAAACTGAAGGAAAACGAGGTTTCACTGTTTGTTCACTATTTCAAATCAAACCCTGTTCATTTTCCCCATTATATCACGAAACTAAAATTTGTGCAAAGGCAAATGCAAGAAGCCCGCATTGTGAAGTTCAAAAGAACAGACTAAACTATGGCCGCACGAGTACATTTAACCTAAGCAATGAGTTATAGAGACTATTCAAAGCAATAAAATGATGATATTTGAGACATTCAACATATAAAAGGTGTAGCAAGTCAAAAGGTTGAACCTTTGCCTCAGCTAGAGCCATTACCAATTCCTTTGGCTTATCTTTTCTTATACCAAAAAAATTAATGAAAAAAAAAAATTATGGTTCACAAATATGTGGTTAGAGAAAACATTACTATTCATAAAGTTTGCAAATATATGATTATGTATCTTATAATTTATATGATATCTCATTAAACTAGACTATTTTAAATCCACGACATTCTTAAAAAAAAAAAAAAAAAAGGACCATCTATGGTTGCTATTTATACAATATTAATTAGAAATAAGTAAAGTGTATAAACTAAAAATATTTTTTTACTATTCACACAATATTAATTTCAAATATGTTATGTTAAGTGTGAAAATTATATTTTATTTTTAATCTAAATGGTTAAAAGTAAAAAAAAATAATAATTATTAATTATTGGTTTTATTAAAAATTAATTATACATGTTCACATATAACATCAACTATTTGCTATGAATTATTTTTTTAACATTGTAGAATCATTTTTAAATAGAATAATTAAAATAATCCTAATTATTCAAATATAGTTTTTTTTATGCTAATATTATTGATTATTTTATAAAAAAAACATATATAAATCAATTGCATATACTTTTAAAAAATAATTTTCTCATCAACATTAAATAAGATTGGTTTTTCTTATTAGTTAATTTTTATAAGTTTATACATTGACTGCAATTTTAATTTTTTTTACGCATTCTTATGAAAAAATATATTTTTGAAGTATTTTTTTATTATTAATTAATATTTCAATTTAAATTATTATAATTTTTTATTTAAAAGACTGCATAAAGAACTATAAATCATATTTTTAAAGTAAAAAATTTAGAAAAACATAAAAATAAATTATAAATTTTTAAATAATTTTGTTGTGTCCCGCAGCATAGCGCGGGTAACCCTCTGGTAATTGATAAAACAAATTGACTCTTGGAAGGATGAAATCCCATCAGAGTCGCTTCTTATCTAACCTTTTTAAAAATCCTCCAGATTTGAAATCATAATGGAAGGATGAAACGAACTAGCAGAGCAGTATTCTTTTAGGGATTTCGTTGTCTCGTAAAACATCAATAATACGCGCCATGCTTTCAACATTAACATGCAGAATATAAAGAGCACGTTTGTTTTTCTAAACTGCGTCTCAAAATCCATGAGCACGTTTTATTATCTATGACACAACCACGTTTACTAGTTGGATTGAAAAGAACTTGTAACTACCAGCTCTCTCCTTTGACATGCAGTTATATATGCAAAAACAAGTGGTAGTTTTGTGTAACCAAAACGATTACGCACATGTCTAATCATTAATTAGACACCCATGATTCTGTCTGACCGTAAAGTGCGCTTTAGTTTTCAGTCCACTGCTTTGCTATCAATACAGATTTCACGAAACTAATTAAACTGTCACTGGGGTAGCATTTTTTCAGAAAAGCAGCTGACTCTTGTTTCGATCTGTCTTTAATTCTGTGTTTTGTTGATTGGAACAGCTATATATTGCTTGATGGGCGTTGTTTGGCTGAGGCATTAAGCAATTTGGAATGTTATCGAGTTCTTGTTATTAGAGGAAACGAGTTTTGGCTATCTTGTGATATATAGTTACTGATATGTGAAATCCCGTTGACATGATAGTCTTCTTCAATTTCAAGCGACAATGTCTTCGATGTGCAACAATGCAGGATAACTGAATTTTGTTATTCGCTCAAGCTTTCTAAGCTGTAAACCAAATGGCAATGGCTCCTTTAGCGAAACTGGTTCTTGGCACATTTTCCTTCGCAATATTCTGGGTGCTGGCAGTTTTCCCTTCTGTTCCATTGCTGCCCATTGGGTGGACTGCCGGGTCTCTTCTTGGGGCTACACTCATGGTTATTTTCCAAGTCATATCTCCTGCTCAAGCAAATGCTTCCATTGATCTTTCTATTCTTGGTCTTCTTTTCGGAACCATGGTTGTGAGTGTTTATCTTGAAAGAGCAGATGCATTTATGTACTTAGGCAAGCTGCTGTCATGGAAGAGCCAAGGAGCTAAGGATTTAATTTGCAGAGTCTGCTTATTATCTGCCATTTCGAGTGCTTTTTTCACTAATGACACTTCTTGTATGATCTTGACCGAATTTGTACTCAAAATTGCAAACCAACACAATCTCCCACCTCAACCTTTCTTGGTTGCTCTTGCCTCGAGTTCAAATATTGTTACAATTTCATACATGATGCATGTTATCCATTCATGAGCCGCAAGGCATTGTTACAATTTTGACTGAACTGATATACTGATACTGATACTGATACTGATACGTACACAAGATGCTTATAGTAACCATACGTAACCATCTCAGTTCTCTTACAGTGGGCACCGATGGCAGCGTCGGCGGCTTGCATTTCGCCGGATTATGTGAAGAAGTCATGGCTGATTTTGGCATGGGTGAGCACTGTGGCTGGTAATCTCTCATTATTGGGTTCAGCTGCCAACATGATAGTGTGTGAACAGGCTCGCCGTGACCCAGATCTTGGTTACAATTTATCTTTCTGGAGCCATCTCAAATTTGGAGTTCCCTCCACTATTGCAGTCACTGCTATTGGGTTGATAATCATTGGATAGTTCTTCCCATTAATGTTGTTAAGCTGAGAAATCTTCATGCTACTGTTGTTCATTCATTCTATTCTGTTATTACACGAATAAATGAGGCAATATTTTATTAGCAGGCTAAGCAACATAGACCACTGCTACGTGCTAACTATTTTAGGACACAACTGGAGAGAAAGGAATGCATTGGAGTAGGCCGATTGAAGGGTTAGGGCCTTTCAAGGAGCCCATGGGCTACACTTAAAAATAAACAAATAAATAAATAATAAAAAATAAAATGATCGGCTACTATGCACTCATTATTTGAAACACTGTTCACTCATACTCAAATACACTATTTATGAAGATTTATATGCATTATTCCTTTCATATAGTAATATTTTTGTAGTTTTCAAACATTTTAAAGACATTTATTATGAAAGTTTTCGTGACATTATACTTTAATTCTTAAAAAAAAACATTATTTTTTTAGCTTGTAAATATTTTTGTTTTATTATGATCACTTTGATCCTTTTTTTTTTTTTTTCAATTAAAAATTTTAAGGCAAAAAAAATGTTTAAAAAAATCAATTTACAAAATAAGTTTTTAACTAAAAATATATTGATTTTGATAATTTTTATATTATTATAAATTTTTTAGTTTGTCGGTAAAGATAAATAAATAATGCTTTTTAATCGAAAATTTATGAAAAATATAAAAAATAATCATTTAAATATAAAATTTTGCTTAAAAATTTTATGAAATTGAATAATTTTTTATTTAATATATTTTAATATATATATATAATATAATATTAAAAATTAAACTAAAATAATTTTATATGTTTTATCCTATTCGTGACTTTTTAGAGTTTAAAAAAACTAGTGTAAGTTAACACACCTTGAGTCTAGATCCCATTGGGGCCATACGAAAGATTTTGGGCATTTGACCCTTTTGGCATTCCGAAAGCCCAGTAATCAGACATGTGCGACAAACGGAGTAGAATGAAGAATTATAAAAATAAGTAGACTACAAATATGTGAGTAAATAGCATAATTGTCTTTGTTATAGGAATTTCTATAATTGATTTGATTTTAATTAAATATTAATTTGTTATTGATCTTTATCTTATCAATAATAAATAAATAAATAACCTACTACGTATTTTATGTGGTAGCATTAAAATTGAGGTAAATCCCAAAAGTTATAGAAAAAAAAAAATGGCTAAACAATTCAAATCTTTTCTAAAATACAAGTCATTTTATTTTCGAATTAAAAATTTATCTAATTATTTTTTATTTGAAATTAGATCTCTGTGATGTGTTTTATCAATTCTAAACTGTAAATCTAATTTCTCAACAACTAAAAATATGTCAAAATCTATGTTTTGTTTTTTTCCTAGTAGTAAAAAACAAATTTGAGTGGAAAAAACGAGAAATTTTATAATACTCAATAAGTAATTATTGTACATATATAATAATTTTTTCATAAATCTATTTTTTAGGAAAAAGACAAATGCATAAAAAAAACCACATCCGGACCCATCCAAAGTAATAAAAAAAATTTCACGTTTGCTCAATTTTTTTCTCCTATCTCTCTTTTCTTGTTGTGTTTATCTTCTTTAATGGAGCATCTTATGTTAGTTATTCCTTGAGTATTATAATTTTTTTCAAAAAAAGCCAAACATTTATAGATTTTGACATATTTTTTAGCTATTTAGAAAGTTACAAAGTCAATTATATACGAAATATGTGTATTTTTATCTTTAAAATTGATGAAAGCCTAATAAAATGACGCAATTTTAAATAAAAAATAATTAAAATGAGGTCGAATTCAAAGTAAGAAGCCGAATAACTATTTTTAAATGATTTAAAATTCAAATGAGGTTTATATAATTTAGCTAAAATAAACACTTAAATCTCGTTAAAAAGAAAGATTATATATATATTTTGCATGTCCTTATTTTCAAATACATCCTTTTGACTTTTTGACATGAAGATGTATATATATATATATATATTTTTTTTTTTTTTGGGGGGGGACTAATATCAATTATTTTTTCCTTTTTTCGCCGTCATTGTGGTTAAGCCTAGCTCGAATATCAAAAGTCAAATGGATATTTAAAGAAAAAAAGGTCAAAAATAGTGACATTTTTGTCAAGAAAACCTGAGGCATAAATTATACCATAATTACCAATCCACGAAGAGCATATGCATGCAACTAATTGACTAGCTTCATCCAATTTTGGCCAATCTCATTCTAATTTGTAAACAAACAAAACAAGAACAACAACAATTTCTAAAAAAAAAAAAAATTAATTCTTACAGCTTTATTTTATGAGGGAAAAAAATGGTGTATATATGTATTTTTTAAAACAAATACAGTATTCTGTAAATTTATTTTTTTAGTCACGCATCGATGGTTTTTAATAAAACTAGTTTATTAAAATTTGAATTCGTGATCTCTTATTATAAGAGATCATTATCATTGGGCTAGAAGCTCCTCGGGATGAAATGGGGGTGTATATTCTGATTTTCTAAAAAGACAAAAAATAAAATTGAAAAAATAGCATATAGCAAATGGCAAATTACCATTAATTTGGCAACAGCAAATTAGAAAGATGATAAGAAAGGAGCATTGGAACGTGGAAGGCTGGTGGTAAGGTTAGGGTTAAATGTTTAGGACCCCACTAATTCCCTATTCCACCCTTTGGTACATCTCCCCTTTCATGCCTTCCCTACTACCCCCATCACCATCTCCGTCTCCATCTTTCATTTTCTAGCTAATTAAGCTACTCCACCCTTTTCTCACATTCTTATTTTCATCACATTTGTCTCTCCATTTTTGTATGCTTCCTTCCTTTCATTTTAGTCACCACACTCAAGTTTTTTTCTTTTCTTTATAAAGGAAGATATTTTACAAAAATTTGTGTATGTTTGATAATACGGTACGAGTGTTTTTCTACGAAAACTATCGAATCTTTTTTAAAAAATAATTTAAAACTATCGAAATCAATACAACTAGTCTCTTTTTAGTCTATCTTGAAACAAGCTAATTAAAAAAAAAAATTCACACGTATAATATAAACATATTTAGTCTAACGATTTGTGTACTTAATAGTTTTTTTCGTAAATCAAAATCCAAATCTTAATTATTTTAATTTATTTGATAATTATGTAACGAGTAAAAGGCCTATACATATAGTTGTTGCTTCCCAAGTTTCATTATATATATATATTCATTTGTGATGTTAACTATTAATTAGCATATATTGTTGTTACGAAAATAAAAAGTAGATCCATAAATGATCCATTATTAGCAGTAAGAAAAAAGTGATTAGATGTACCCAAAAAAAAAAAAAAGGAATAATTGTTATCTGTGGAATGGAGGGTTGGAGTTTTTTGAGATTTCACCTCCCTTCTTTTTTGAAAAAGCAAACATCTAAATTCCCACTTTTGTATTAAAATAACATCAAAACCTCCCATTTGGTTCCATGCCATGCTATCCTCCCATTTGCAAAATAAATAATTTTATCTTATGCCATGCCGACCTAGGTTTTGACTTTTAAATAAACAGTAAAAAATGATTCAACGGAATTGTATTTTTTTTTTGACATATTTCGAAAAATTTTATAATACTCAATATAATTAACTAATATATATGTGTAATGAACTTACGTTTGAAAAGAAAAATGAATACATAAAAAAAAATAATTATATTTAGATCCATAAAAAATGATAAAGAAGAATTTTACTTTAGCTCAATTTTTTTTTTAATTTTCTTTCGTTATTTTCTTTTGTGTTTATTTTTTTACGGAATAACTTACATCGGTTGCTCGTTAAATATTATAAAATTTCTCGACATACTTCTACCGATATGGAGATGACTAAGGCATTCAACCACATATAATTCACGAAAATTATTCAAAGTTAAAATTTTTTTTTTAGTGTCAAGCCTTTGCCGCAAGTTATGCCTATTGTCTCCATTGTTAACTTATTTTGCTCCACATTTGTTAAATAATGATAGAAAAAATCATTACATAGAATTTTTTTTTGCTATTGAGAATCATTACATAGAGTTGAAATTAGGGCAATCTAATAAAAGTCATCCTTATCTTGCATGCTGCATTTTGACAAATTCCATCTATTTTATTCCAAAGTTGTCAACAACATACTAGAAGTCAATTTGGATCACTGACTGATACATGTTATGGGCTAACAGCTTCTATTTTACACATATGGATACATTTTTTTTATTTTTTTAATTCTCAAGGTTTTTTTTTTAACCGTTTTTTATTCATTATAATTAATCATTTTTCAATTAAGTTTTAAACAAGTGATTTAGATCCATGACTAAAATATTTATGGAGATTTATATTAGAATTTGAACTTTAAACAATAACACAAGTATGAAACTCATTTACCACATGATTGAACTTTATATACGTAATTTATATTTAAATTGTTGTATTTATATGTAAACAGATTTAGTTTAACGGTTATGTATCCAGTTAACTTTCTTAATGAAGCAATATTCGAGTTTCGATGACTCCGATTTCTTTAATGATTATGTAATGAAAAAAATATGCTCATTGCATAGCCCAATAGATCTATTGAACCTTCGATGAATAAAATAAAAAATAACTTTCTCGCAATTCTTTTTGGAGTCCTATCCCAAAATACTAATCCAAGTATAAATAAATATACCATCCAAAACAAATAAGAGCATAAAATTCCCAAATTTTAGTTGAAATAAACAAAAAAAATAAAAATTTAATCATGTGGTTCATTTTGGTAATCCATGATGTCATGACAAAAATTAGCATAAAAGAATGCTAGAAGCTGGTAAGTTTCCAAGCTCATTACAGGAATTTCCCTACTACAAGTAGAGTTTGACAAAAAGAATCAAAATCAACAAATCCACACGGTAAATAACAATAATAAAAAAAAACATCAGCAGAACTGTTATATTATAATTTATTAAATTATTAATATAGTAAAAATCAACGGACATACCAAGTTCATGTCTCAGTTCAGACAGTCTCTATCTCTCTCTCTCTCTCTCTCTGCTTTCTCTTTCTACATTTCTATCAAAATCTCTCTCTATCTAACGCGATCTCTTTTGTTCTCTTCACGAACTCTCAAATATAATATCTTTTTCTCACTTTCTCGCTTCTTAGATTCATTTTTGTATTGGGTTTCTTTTAATTTTGCTTCTTCATTCTCTAGAGTTCAAACTTTGAAGATTTGTTGCTTTAATCAATCACTTCGTCTCTTTCTCTACTTTTGCTTCAATGTTTCGTCAAGGATGTGAAAAAAGTAAGTGTTTTTCGTATACCCCATTTTTCTTTTTACCAATATTTTGAAGGAAGTGGATTTAGTTTTGATGTTTGTGGTTTGGGAGTTTAGATCTGTTTAGTAAAGTTTTCTTCTTTTTAGCAATTCGAGATCTTTGGAATCTGCTTGATTCCTGATAAAATAGGGGTGAATGAAGAGAATGGGAAAGAAACTGAGTGAAGGAACCTACTTTGTGCTTACTGCTTTCAATATTTGTTAAAAAAAAAAAAAAGTAAATTTTGAGATTAATAATGTGTTAGAGATATTAAAGGAATGATTTTGGGTTTTGTCAGTTCCTATATTTAGATTTATAAGTATTGGAATGAATTTTTTTCCTTGGAAAATTATATTTGATGTTTCTTTCCATTATTGAAGTCAAATGGGTATTCCTGGAATTAGACTTGAAGCTGTATGTTAAGCCTAAAAACCAGTCAATGATGGATTTTTGGACTGATTTTTGACTTCTTACTAGTGTTTCCAGTAGACCCATTTTGTATTTGAACTCTCATTGACTCATACACAGGAGTTATTAGAATTAAGAAGTTGAAACCACATATGTGTTTTTTTAATCTAAATTTGTTATTAGAATTAAGTTTCTGATATAATTTTAGCGGTTTATCTCTTCTAAGCTTTATAGTTTTGATTAATTCGTATTATTTTTGAAGATGCTAAGTTTCTTGAGAGAACTGAAGATGGACCTTTTTATTTATGTCTGCAGGTTTATAACATCTGAAAGTTTTCGATGCCACTTGAAACTCTCCTCATAGAATGTTAGCCTCAGTTTTCGTGCAACTCCTGCAGTGAACTTCATTGATGACCCAAGCAGTTGAACTTTCTAAGGCCTCAAGCTTTCTAGGGTGTTCATGTGGTTCATAACTTCATACATAGATGCTATGTTGAATGATTGATATCAGAATGGAATAGCTCAGTAGACATTTGCATATTGATTCTTCAAAACCAAAAAAAAAAAAAAACAAAAAATTGAGAAAAAAGATGCGTTCATGGTGGGGAAAGTCATCATCTAAAGAAGTGAAGAAGAAAACAAACAGGGAAAGTTTCATTGATACAATACACAGAAGATTTAAGGGCCCATCTGATGGTAGACGGTCTGGAGGTTCTCGAAGACGGTGCAGTGACACGGTTTCAGAGAGGGGATCTCAATCTCGAGCAGAATCACGATCACCATCACCTTCATCGAAACATGTTTCTAGGTGTCAAAGTTTTGTTGAGAGGCCCCATGCCCAACCACTTCCCCTTCCTGTTGTGCACTCTGCAAGTGTGGGGCGTACAGACTCTGGAATTGGTATGTTGACAAAACCAAGATTGGAAAAGGGTGCAAAATCACCATTGTTGTTGCCTCCCCCAAGATCAGGATGCATTCGTAATAGGCCAAATCCAACAGATTTAGATGGGGATTTGGCCACTGCTTCGGTTTCCAGTGAGAGCTCCACTGATAGTGAAGATCCTGCTGACTCCAGTCATCGTAGTCCTCTGGCAACTGACTATGACCTGGGGACCAGAACTACTGCTAGCAGCCCTTCCAGGTAAGCCTCTTGTAATATTTGTTGGAAGTTCATTATTTGTCGTTATCTGCTATCATTAATTTAACTCATCCAAATGAACTGCATTTCTCGATGAAGTGCAATGCTTAAGGATCACTGCTCTACTGTCAGCCAAATGAACTCAAGAGAGGCAAAGAAACCAGCTAACCTTTCTTTTGGTAATCATACCTCCCCTACGTCACCTAGACGGAGACCTATAAGCAGTCATGTGCCGAATATACAGGTTCCACCACACGGTGCTTTCTACAGTGCTCCAGACAGCTCCATGTCAAGTCCTTCCAGAAGTCCTATGAGAGCATTTGGCACTGAGCAAATAAACTCTGCTTTCTGGGCAGGGAAGCAATACTCGGATGTCAATTTACTAGGATCTGGCCACTGTTCCAGTCCTGGTTCAGGTTACAATTCTGGACAGAATTCAATGGGAACGGATATGTCAGGATTACTCTGGCAACAAAGCAGGGGTAGCCCTGAATGTTCCCCGATACCTAGTCCTAGAATGACTAGCCCTGGTCCCAGCTCCAGAGTCCAGAGTGGTGCTGTTACACCGATTCATCCTAGAGCGGGAGGGACAATTGAGTCCCAGTCAAGCTGGCCAGAGGATGGGAGAAAACAAAGTCATCCATTACCCCTCCCTCCTGTAACAGTTTCCAGCCCCTCTCCATTTTCTCATTCAAACTCAGCAGCAGCATCTCCTTCTGTGCCACGAAGTCCCGGAAGGGCAGAAAATCCAACAAGCCCTGGATCACGCTGGAAAAAAGGAAAGCTTCTGGGTAGAGGCACATTTGGACATGTCTATGTTGGATTTAACAGGTATAAACCCAAAATGCAGATGCTTGAGTTTGTTTGATTTAGCAATATTGCATGTAAATGCTCATGGATTCACTGTCCATAATCTACATTATGTAATTTCTATTCTGAGATGACTAGTTGTGATTGTTGTTAGTCAGTTAAGTTGTTTAGTCTTTTGTGGTTTCATTCTTATGAGAACTTAAATGATTAGATCTACTTTTTTTTTTTTAAAAAAATAACTGAATGACATTTTAAACTATTTCTTAGTTTCTGAAGGTTTGTGAAATTGAGTACTGCATATCTGATTTTAGCTTTACAATTGCTCAGTGAAAGTGGCGAAATGTGTGCAATGAAAGAGGTGACATTGTTTTCAGATGATGCCAAGTCAAAAGAAAGTGTTAAGCAATTGATGCAGGTAAGTTGATCACGCATTAGCAATGAAGTTTCTTGTGACAGCAAGATAAAGTTTGTTGCTTGCCTAAGGCTTTATTATTATTTTATTTCTGTATGGGTTTGGAAGAAGTTCTTACTTTCAATCTTTTGACAGGAAATTTCTCTTTTAAGCCGCTTACGGCACCCGAACATTGTGCAGTACTATGGATCTGAGACGGTATGTCTGTTATGTGCCATTCTTTATCTTCTGCATGTGAGTGCTATTGAATATATTCTCCTGATATTTATATTAAAACTTGTGTTATTATTGCCATAACCTTTGGCTATTAGAATCAGTTCTGTTGTGTGAGGATTGGGATAACAGTCGGCGGTCATAAAGCCTGATAGTGATATCTTTTGGGGGGAGGAAGTCATGACTTCTTCTGGTGGTTTAGGAATAAAAATTCACCAGAATGATAGATTGGGAACCCAATTAAAATACAAGAACATAATTGGCTCATTTTAAGATATAAAGACAGATTGGACACTTACCCCCATTATACAAGGACCAACTGAGTCATTTCCCCTAAAAATTACATAGGCAATATACAATAAGGAAAAATGGCTTTTCTGACATGGAGCATGACTGTATACATATACTCCACTGGGTGCATACATGACAGTCTCATGCACATTTAAATGATGACTTTAGTTTTGTGAGTACTCAGTTTTGATCTATTTAACTGCATGGCACAATTAGTTGGTATTTAGTGTTACTGTATTGTGTGCAATTTGCAATTTTAATTGACAGTTGAAATCACTATATTTCGTTAACAAAACCTTCAAATGATTTCTTGAACAGGTTGGTGACCGACTGTATATATACTTGGAGTATGTATCTGGGGGGTCCATATATAAACTTCTCCAGGAGTATGGTGAATTGGGTGAGCTAGTTATTCGCAGTTATACCCAGCAAATCTTGTCCGGACTAGCCTTTTTGCATTCTAAAAGCACTGTCCACAGGTGAGTGGACTTGCCTTTGTTTGATCTGCTAAACAAGTAGTTTGCTTAACTTTAACATTGTTAATATTCTCTTGCCTTATCTATCTATTTATGTTGGTGAATATCTTGCTTTTCATCTTCAGAGATATCAAAGGAGCAAACATACTTGTGGATCCAAATGGTCGTGTTAAATTAGCTGATTTTGGCATGGCAAAACATGTAAGTGTGGACGTTTATTTTTCACTTCAGGATGAAATGAATTTTGGATCAAACAGGAGCTGCTATATGTATATCTAGGGATGTGGAGTTAGTTGAATGTTGCAAATAACAACTTGGTAGCTTTCATAATCCTTTACCAGCAAGCCAAATTACTTTGTGAAGACTGATTTATTAAGTTTATATTATTTGGGTGCATGCACTTGGCAAAAAAGGGGGGAAAAAAAGGTTTTAGGTGTGGCTGACTACTTTTAGTATTTCTCCCCTCTCATATGGTCAAATCCTCGTTGCCGAGCTGACCTAATCTTTGCTTTGCAGATCACTGGGCAGTCGTGTCCACTGTCATTCAAAGGAAGCCCTTATTGGATGGCACCTGAGGTCAGAATCTTTTCTTGGTTGACTTTTTTGTCCTTATCATGACATTCTCCATATTATATTCAACCATCTTTTTCATTGTTTGCACAGGTTATAAAGAACTCAAATGGTTGCAATTTGGCTGTGGATATATGGAGTCTTGGATGCACTGTTTTGGAAATGGCTACTACAAAACCACCTTGGAGCCAGTTTGAAGGGGTAATTCCTATAGATGATGATATTTAACTTTATGTGTTTAAAATCTAAATAATTTAGTTGATAAAAGGATATCTATGTCAATTATTCTCATGTATCTTGACGCACATTTCGCATTTATAAAGATTTCATAGCATCTGATTCTGTTGTTTCTTCTCATTGTCTGATGTCTTCATGTTGTGGTCTTAAGGTTGCTGCCATGTTTAAAATTGGAAATAGCAAGGATCTCCCAGCAATTCCAGAGCACCTCTCAGCTGAGGGGAAGGATTTTGTAAGGAAATGTTTGCAACGCAATCCATTACAACGTCCTACAGCTTCCCAGCTTTTAGAGCATCCTTTTGTAAAATCAGCTGCACCTTTGGAAAGACCAATTCTGAGCCCTGATCCTACAGATCCACCCCCTGGGGTTACAATTGGAGTTAAAGCTGTGGTATTTCCTTTGTTCATGTTGTTCCTTTCATTTCTGCTGAGGTCAAGTTTCACATGCCATGATATTGAACTTCATTTATTTTCCGTAGTATTGTCTGTTTGTTTTAAATAGGAAATACTTCATGTTAAATTTATCTCTGATATGGTACCAAAATGCATTTGATTTTTAGTCCTTTGATTTCATATTAAATTTATGAATTGTAATGATGCCTAACAAAAAGCAGGGTAAAAAGTTTGGTTACTTGTCAAAATTGTCATCTTCTATGTTTTTGTTACAATAGTTTTGCAGTCCTGTATAGTAGAGTGCTTTCACTGGATTTGTGGAAAGAAGTTTGCTCTAGTAAGGGTACAAGCTGAACCTGTAGTAAAGAGAAGTTTGCATTGGATAGGAGGCTGTATAACTTGTAGTTTTCTTTTTTGGCTAGTATATATGTGAGAAACCTTTAGATTTCTCACATGTTAATGAAGTTGATAAGCTGATGTATGTCTGGGGTTTGGAGGTTACACAATCTGTATGCTTCTGCTTTTGTTTAGCAGTGTGACATGGGAGAAAACTTTAGATCTGTCACCCAAGGCAGGAGGAAAACCCTAACATGTTTTTATATTTAGGTAGATTGCCTTGTTCATGGAGGTGAATTGGTTATTCCCATTGATGACCTGGAGATGCACGTAATGGTCAAATGTCTCAGGACATCACTGATAGAAGAATATCTGGGATGGAGTTTTAGATAATCGTTTTTCCAATTAGATTTGGACTTCCGAACAAATCAGTATCTTTGGAACAAATTGGTGAATGTATTTTAAGGACTCCTCATGAGAGCTAATAAAATGATCTTTATGGTGTTAGAGTGCAAGACTTAAAAGGAGCAAATGACTGCTTGAAAGAAATGTGGAAATAGTTCTATATATGAGAAAAGGATTAGTCATGCTTACCTAAACGTTGGGATGAAGGTTGGGGTACATGCAGTGGCAATTCATTCTTGCTTGTAGACTGTAGTAACATTTTCCATGTTTGCGTGTTAACATATAGTAATAATGTGTCTTTATAGGTGCCTTGATTTAGGTTGGTGTGAAATCCTGTGTATGTAGTACTGTTAAGAAGGTTTAGCAACTTCTGACATATTTTGCTGCTATCTCTCTGAGATTTAAACAAGCATTTTTTAATTTCTGTTACAATCATTCCTCTTTTGGATGCCAGAAATGTTAAGTGTTGCTGTGGTTTATTCATCATGTTTCAGGGCATTAATCAAGCAAGAAATTATCCCACCTTGGATTCAGAGAGACTAGCAGTTCATTCATCTAGAGTTTCAAAAACTGGTCTACATGCCAGGTATCACTCTCTCTCATAATATCACTGCCAATACTGCAATCATCATCTTCATCTTTTGTTCTGATTTCAATTCCTGAATCTGTAGTGATTTACATATTCCGAGGAACATATCATGCCCTGTTTCTCCCATCGGAAGCCCTCTCTTGCATTCGAGGTCCCCACAACACCTAAATGGAAGAAGGTCTCCTTCACCAATAGCTAGCCCGCGGACCACTTCAGGATCGTCGACGCCTCTGACTGGTGGCACTGGTGCCATACCTTTTAATCACTTGAAACATTCAGTTTGCTTCCAAGAGAGTTTTGGAAACATGTCAAATCACTCAAATGGCATATATGTAAATGGGTTCGCTTATCATGATTCCGGTCTTGATCTTTTTCGAGGAATGCAGCCAGGTTCTCCCATCTTCTCAGAGCTGGTTCCATGTGAAAAGGATGTCATAGGAAAGCAGCTTGGAAGGGCTACTCAAGGGGAACCTTATGATGGACAGTCAGTCTTGGCTGATCGAGTTTATCGGCAGCTTTTGAGTGATCCTGGGAAAATGAAGCCGTCTCTGGATCTAAGTCCCAACTCTCCTTTACCCAGTCGAACTGGAGGTATATGATCTAATGCATTTTTGTGGACTGACAGATCAAAGCAAGCTTCCAAGATTTTGAGACTGTCATTTCGGTTCTATATGATTGTTTTATTCATCACATTAACAGCTGAGGAAACTAGCATGTTCAATAAGGGGAAGGAAATGTGGGATGAGGTTTGAGGTGCAGGGAAATGAAGTGGCTGGAGGCATTGGTCAGTGTAGTTCCAAGCTTATGCATTTGGATCCATGCATGCCAAGCATGCTTAAGGTGTTTGACAATACTCCATCCTGGCAGGATCCTTCGATGCACTAAAATGGAGCTTGCTAACTAAACTAGAAACTTGCTCTCATGGGCATTTGTGGAGACATGCCTTGCGAACTCGACTGAATTAAGGTAAGAGATTGCATCCCCCACGCAGCGTGGCCTCTGATGATCCAGTGCATGGCAGTTCCTTCAGTAAAGAAATTATTCATGGCATTGAGAACTGTATATTCCTTTAGGTCATGTTATAGAAGAAAAACAAAGATTAAGCTAGTAAGTACAATCATTACTTTTTTGGACACCCTTTTTTGGTCTGAAACTGCTGTACAGAAGATGAACTGAATTGGGGTTAGAAATTTATTTACCAAACAGATGTGGATATGACAGTCCCGCGGGTATCTGTTTTGTGCAATGGTTTATGCTGGCTCAGATCAACTGTTGTCATGTCATATGGTTGGTTCCAACTGATTTACTTGTATGTACATTACAACCAGCAACTGAAAAGAATCTAATCCAGTGATTTCTGTATTTTCTAATTCTCATCAATTTACTGAATAATAAGGTACTTCCTGTGCTCCAAATCCGATTACGAAATTACAAAGCCAATCAAGTGATATAGGCAATTTCCAGAGTTATAGTGCCTTTCATTACATGTTGACAAAATGAAATTTAGGATTCATCGTGTATATATATATATATATATTTGTATTACAAATACTTGATATTCCGTAATCTCGAAAGTAAATTATGTAGTACAATAAGCAAATGGACTAAACAATAAGTTGTAGTAGTGTTATTCTTTTCAAGAAGTCTAGAGTTTGAATTTTTTTTTGTAATAAAAACAGAACAGAACATGAAAGACATTCTAGTTGCAATCGAACCTCAGGTACTAGACAATAATTTACTCCCTGGTTAAATTTCTCAACCTTTTCATTTTTACGATCTTGCAGATTCTTTGTCGGGATTAAAAACTCGTGGGGTGTGTAGTATTTTGCCTTAGATCGACGTGTGGTTCAAGCATCAACTACTGTATTCGAAATCTTGGTTTTCGTATGCAGCAAGGAATGACTCATTATATTATATTTATCACTATCCTTCGTCATAATGTTCTCATGTAGTATGACAGAATGCGAATTAACCGAGTTTTAACACAAGAAAGCCGTTTGGACCGTCAGAGAGGAAAGGCTCAATTCTAACATGTTGAGAAAGGAGAAGCTTGTTACTCTCAGATAAGGTAAATCAGGCTACAAAAAATGTTTAACAATGCAACAACTGGTCCAACTCCAAGTATTGATTCCATATCCATGGGGAGTGTGGTTTCGTTGATAGGATTGTTTTTTTTTCTTGCTCATAAAGACAGAATGAGGAAGACGATGGAGGAGGTGAGAGAGAGAGAGAGAGAGAGAGGACATAAAAATTTGATAATTCAGTATTGTACTATTATGTTGCAATCTGAAAATATAAAATTTGTTTCTTTGTTGCGTTCTCTGATATCTCATACTAAGAGGCCAACCCCAATGAAGAGAAACGAGCCCAATTAAACTCCAATCCTTTAAAACCTAATTGAAGAGAGATCCCAACTCAATTTAAGACATACCTTCCTCTTCAAGGGCTACTGCCGCCCGTATCATTCATCCATGCAGATTCAAATTGGTGGCTTCGGTAATTGAACTTGCAATATTATCTTTGCAGGACAGAAGTTTATCATTGGATATTCAGAATCCTTTCTTGTTGAAAAAACTGATAGATGCCATTGCAATTGCTGCTCAGCAGTGATGTAAAATCTACATCTGCAGAACTGCTTGGTTTGAATTGCAGCGCATAACGATCAGTTTTATGATCTTTATGAAGGATTTGAGCCTCTGCGGACCAAATCTAAGCTGAAGTCCCACAGTTCCTTAGCCAACTCGGCATCATTTGCTTGTAAGCTTGCCTTGGCCATGTTGCTGTCAGCAAAATAGTGGCCGCTGATGCCTTTAACTTGAGGATGCAACGCTACATAGCATGTAGTTGCTGCCCCCTACATCCAGATTGATTTAAAAATAGAACATACACGATTTCAAAAGCTTGGGTAATCTACAGCAAATCCATCATTGTAAATCTATATTGTCGTGAACCCTAGAGAGAAAACGCATAAGAAAACCAGACATTTTTGTTTCCATCGAACTTTGTGGTGCAAGAAGACATGCACAAGCGCATACAGAGACAGAAGAGAGGCAAGCGTATCCAAAGACATTATGATTATAATGTTTACTTAATTGTTTTTTTATCAGTAAAGTATCATCACCTGCTGAACATTTTTTATGATGTATTTACCAACAAGACCAACAATACCTGCATCAAACCCATATCATCAACACATTAATTAATATTTCCAGGTGACTTTCATCAAGTACATTCAAGAGAAGAAGATGGGATTTTGACCTGAAAATAATGATATTACATACTAGTTAAATATTCTCTTGGTGAGGCAAATAAGGGTTTTACATGATCACCTCCTTTGCGTTATGTAAGATTATCAAACTGTGTGATTCAGAGTGACACAAAAAAAACGATTAAATTTATGAGCAAGATATAGGCAAGACATCCTCTCAAAGACAAGGTTGTGAATGTCAGTAATTCTCACTTTCCACAGATGAAGAGATTTCAGCATTATAACGCTGGCAGCTAGCAAATGACCGAAGGGGTATGATCATAATCATGGTTGAAGTTGCATTGACAATTATCTTTTGAAATATATATATTGTCCATGGAGGAAGGTTTAAAAACAAATTAAATGAGATCATTTGCCAACAGTGTTTTATTGATTAAGCCAAAGGAACAAAGCTTGTTGCCATATGCAAAAGCCAATCACAAATCTATCATGAAAAATAAGTAAAATACCTGTGACAAAGCTGTAATGCCGAAAAAGGTTGGTGGCTATCAATCCTGGATGAACTGAATTTGCAGTTACCTCCACCATATCTTCCTATCGACAAATATATCAAGAAAGTGTAGCAGCAATTTACCATTTTCATAACTAACAACTTTCTACTTTATTTGTTTATTTTGAATTACAACAATGATCATGCACATAGATGAAATCACAGGGAAAATGATCCATATAACCGCCAATGCAGCTTTCTTTGCCCAAACTTTCCTTAAAACTGGAAAATCCATGTTTATAGCAAATAAAATAATGTACAATGATATAGTTCCAAAAATATCATTGCTAGAATTCATCATTATAAAAACATTGTACTGTGCAAGTTCATTAATATGCTTGGTCAAGTAACACACCTTTAGCTGTCTTGCAAGCTCATTAGCATGCAAAATATTTGCAAGCTTTGACTGACCATATGCAGATAAACTGTTATACCTGTACAATCACATTCATTACATGTTAAGTGGAAACCTAGATTTTCTGTGATCTACGTATAATTTGGCAAAAATGACAATAAATCCAGTACAAATGATCCATAACTCCATCTAGCAATTAAGCTCAGATTATGACAAGCTTCAGTCGTCCAAAAGAGGGCAACAAGCAGCAAACTCCCTACAAATTTAGTTAATAAGAGGTAACTTTTGAACTATTCTCATTTACAAGACAGCATGAGAATATTATTTTGCAAAAGAATAATATTTTCTTTCTATCTAAATGACATCATATACTGAACACATTTGATGTTCTACACTATTGACTAGCCACAACCTGAATGATTAATAGACTGGTGTTTCACATTTTGTTCCATGCCTACCCTTAATGGGATTTGCTATACTAAACACAACTATGCTCGAAATTCAACTCACTTTTGTTAATAAATTGCAGGCATTTTCAAATTCTATGGAAAAATTATCTGTAATTATGCAGATCAGAATGCTTAGTTTATGGAAATAAAATAGATCTCCAAAAATAAGGTATGAAATTCTGTGTTGGATATAGTTGTACCCAGATGAATCATTAAGTTTAGCAAAACGAATCCCTTCTGGGTATGAGAATTGGTGCCTGCGTGATGAGACATTCACAATCCTTCCTTCTTTCCTACTTTCACGTGCTGTCTTTTTAATGGTTTCCATTAGTAAATTCGTCAAAAGAAAATGACCTGCAATAACAGTCTCAAGTAGTAAAAAAAAGTTACACGATTGCCTCCATCAAACTGATCAGTCTATTTTGTGTACATTTACAATTTGTTCTTCCTACCATGCATGCGCACACATCCCAGCAAAATAAAAATGAAGGTGGAAGCTTTTTAACCTTTAAACAATTAACAGTGACTGGCTAGAATTCCAGATAATATCGAATCGATTTGGCATGAAATTGCCTCTTTAACAAAAAGAAATGCTTCATTCAAAAGTAATGCACTCACCCACATGGTTTGTAGCAAATTGGAGTTCTATGTTGTCTTTGGAAAGCATGAATGGTGTTGCCATGATTCCTGCATTATTACTAACAAAGGTGTATCTGCTTTCAGTACATAGTTTTCACTAAGTAACAAGATTAAAAGCTGTAATGAGAAGTTTTAAGCAGAATCTAAATACTAAGCAAATTAGAATCCATCAATCATTTTTCCTTTTATCTAATTAACTTACATGAGAAGATTCAAGGGAAGATCCAAGGATTTGAAATCTGCTGTAAATTTATTTACTGATGCCATTGAGCTTAAATCCAATTCCATAGCATCAACTTTTGCAGTAGGGTTTCCCTTAACTATTGCTTCTATCACCTCCCGGCCAGCTTCCATTTTCCTCACCGCCATGATTACATGAACACCACGTAATGCAAGCACCCGAGCTGTTTCTGCTCCAATCCCACTTGATGCTCCTGCAGCATAATAGCATTAATGATAATCAAATAAAGAACTTTTTATTAACGCTTGCTTTCAAAAACTCCTTTTTTAGGGGTTTTAAGAAAAATTGACCTGTGACAATGGCAGTGAGACCAGAGCCATCAATCCCTTGTGTAACTTCTTCAGCTGTGGACGAAGCTGAGAACCCAGATGCTCCTTTTCTGCTCAAAAACCACATTCTTTCTATCTCTTATTCTCTTATCATCACCACGGCTTCTGCAGTAGCACTTTCTTTGTAGTTGTAGTTTTTCAAGGCCAGTGGATAGTGGTGGCTTATCCATTTTATTTCTGTTAGCGACTAAAGTAAAGGCCTCAGTCCAGTCCATGAAAACTTGGCCTGCCAATTAAGTTAACAGACGATCTCTCTACAAGCCAGCTCATTAAGGTTAATTATCGAACTGTTGAGATCATGTCTGATAATTTTCAGTTCTGAACAGTTAAAAGTTTGAAGGAATGTGTGTCATTACTGATTCCCTTTTCTGAAATGAAATCGAAGGAGTGGCATTCCTTAAATTCTTCTTTATTTTTCTTTTCTTTGTGAGGAAACTGTATTCTTTGAGTACATGGTCATAATAAAGTACCACAACATTGATATCAAAGACACATATTGCAAAAAGAGTACACCCTCATCTTTTTCAGAGACAAGAATCCCTCTCAAATATATTACATTATCTTGGAAATATCGAAACTTGTATGCATCATTTATTTGACATGATCTCAACAAGCTTCAATATTTATTTGATCCAATTCATGCTGAAATCCCAGAGTTTCTTTGCTAACTCTGCATCTTTAGCCTTTGAGGATGCTTTGGCCACATTACAATCCGCAAAATATTCACCACTTACGCCCTTTACTTGTGGATTCAAAGCTACATAGCATGTTGTTGCAGCACCCTACAATCAAATTCAAGAAGAAAGACTGAAATGTGAAAATGGGAACAAAGAAACTAGTATAGTTCTGTGCAAAAAAGGTATTTAGCTCAGGGGAATTTGTAAACAAACTTAGTGCTGTTGGGAGTTTTACTTTGGAAGACAGCTAGCTCACCTGCTGAACATTTTTAAGCACAAGACTGGCAAGCGATTCAAGAAAGCCTGAATTAAATCAAAAGAACTAAAGTTGAGAAGCTAGTTCGCACTTGAATTTGGGACTGACTCCAGAAGACCCAAAAGATAAAACAGTCAAAATGTAAAACCTTTTAAGGGATTGCCATCGGCAAGACTCATAGAACGGAAAAGATTGGTGGCGACTGCTCCAGGATGCAGTGAATTTGCAGTTATGTTTACTCCATCTTCCTGGTCAACGAAACAACCAACATTATACCATATTACCCTTAACATCATATCCATCCATGCACAGATATAGCGTAGGCTTGTACTCGAACTCTAAAATCTTCAATACTATCATCTATAAACAGTTGGTGGGGTATTTTTTTCAGAAGGAATGGTTCGATCTTATTGAGGCTAAGAAACTAGATTGATCCATATTCATAAAAGATGCAATTGACATCCTCTTTTCACCATCAAATACTTCCTGTGACTGTTATAAAAAAGAAGACCAGATACCTTGAATCGTCTTGTGAGCTCATTAGCATGCAGCACATTAGCAAGCTTTGATTGGCCATATGCCTGGAACTTTTTATACCTTCACAAGAGCAAGCAGAGACACAATCAAAATTCTGCATTCAAGATCGATACATAAACATAGCATGATTATACCGAATAGCAAGTAGAGAATGCAGATAGAGTTTCATTGTTTTAAAAACATAAGCATAACACTGGAAGAAGAAAGATGTGTCATGAAGGCTATTCCAATTAAAAAAAAAAAAAACACACTACATTGAACAGTTACATGTTCTGAATCACAGCATGTAGACACAAGCAACTGCCTAAAAAGTTGATATAATATAAGCTCTTTGTGATGAAATCTTCATGTTTACCAAGAAAATTTCAATCACAAATCATGAGAACTTGACAGGCCTTCAGATAAAATCATATGAAGTACGCAAAATTGTTTAAAAACTGAAAGACAGATTGAACTCTTACATGCAAAATATTCTTTATGTGTAGCACTAATTAAGAAAATTATCTTTAGTTCATTAACTTTTTTCTGCAGGTTCAGACTTCACTTCAAGACATAAGATTCATTTCATCATTTAAGCAGCATAAAATTATAAATGTGTGTTGGTCTTAAGAAAACAGAAAGACCCAAAATGCACAAGCCTATATCCCAGGAGCAGGCATGTTTACAAATAGACATATCAAATTGGGACACTGTAGTCCTGTTTGCTGACTAGTATACTTTCAGAAATAGAAATTCGTGCAATTCTGAATGATTATAGTGTTACCCTGACTGATCATTGATTTTATCAAAACGAATTCCTTCGGGATATGGGTAACGGTGAAGCTCTGAGGAGACATTTACAATTCTTCCTTCTCTGCTACTTTTTCTTGCCGATTTCTTCATGGTATCCAACAAAAGATTTGTCAAAAGAAAATGTCCTGTTAAGAGAAAATAACTTAGTCTACTCATGGTTTTGGATCAGGAATCATTAAATTAGTATTTTTTTAAAAAGATGATTACCAAGGTAATTTGTTGCAAACTGTAGTTCTATGTTGTCTTTGGAGAGCATGAATGGTGTCGCCATAATTCCTGCATTGTTACTTACAATAAAGAAGATAAAATCATTCCTTTATCTATAATTCAGTAAACTGAGCATGCTCAGGAGACGCTATGAAACCAATGCATACATGGACATAGACCAAATCGTTCAATCATTAAGGTTCTTTATTTTCCCTTACATTAAGAGGTTCAATGGACGACCCGAGGAATTGAAATCTGATGCAAATTTCCTCACGGATGTCAGTGAACTGAGGTCCAATTCCATGGCATCAACTTTGGCTGAGGGTATTTCCCTAACTATTGCTTCTTTGACATCTCTCCCAGCAGCCATATTCCTTACCCCCATAATAACACGGACACCACGCAATGCAAGAACTCGTGCAGTCTCAGTTCCAATACCGCTAGATGCTCCTAAAATCACAGTATCCAGAAGAGAAATAAAAATGCTTGTCAATTCATAGTACAGATACAAATTATCAGATTTCTTGAACGCACAAAATCTGTGCAATACTTGCACAGTCAGCAATTTCATCCTAATAAATCTTATTGAAATTCTACAAAATTAGCCCAAATTTGCGCCAGTGCTACATGAATTAACATCATAAATCACAAATAGGACAGCCTAGAAGAGAAGTAAAACTTGAGAGTGATTCTTAAGCTGACAATCCTTCACCAAGAAGTCCGATATCACCATAGAAAGATGAAAATGCCCATCAAACATGGAGAAACTAGTCAGCTATTACATCACTGTCTCTTTCATCTATCGAAATGGGTTCTGCATGTACTAAATTTACCTAATAAATTCAGGTAAGACAAAACATATATAAATGCTGAAAAATCACTGAAATTTCCATTAGAAAGCACAAAGAAAAACCAATCTATCCCTTTTTCTTTTTGCATTCGTATGTACATACAACTGTATCAAGAAATAAAGATATCCATAAAACACAAATTTAAGATCTCATGTTGTGCACGAGAAATTAAAACAATCATAATTCAAACAGAAAAAAAACACCATGTATGACCTGTGACAATGGCAGTGAGGCCAGAGGCATCAATCCCATGAGTGACTTCCTCAGCTGTGGAAGATGAAGAGAACCCAGATGGTCCTTTCCTGTGAAATAACCACATGATGAAACGATCTAAATTCAGTCAAAGTGGCAGAGGATGCAATGACAGGAAAGCAGCAATCTTTCTTGACTGGTCGTGGAGCAAAGCAAGTCCATGGCCATGCTGATGCCAAGTCCATCACCCTTTCTTTATCTGCCACCACCCAATGTCTAGCTTCCTTACGTTGTCGTTTCTTCTTAATTGGTAATTAAGGTATTTTTGCAACATTTTTGGTCGTGAGTTTTAAGTCATTAACCATTTATGTAAATTTTCGTTTTCATTAACGTTAATCGATCCATTTTCTTTCTTGGCTTAAAAAGATTATCTATGTAATTAATTAATTAATTAATTATAATCCATAAAATAAAAGAGAAAAAATAAATTGTAAAATTACGAGGGTATTATTGGTAATGTGACGATGGACCGGCCGGTGGAGGTAAACCCAACGGCCAACAGAAATAAGGTTGTTAGTGTGTTGAAAGTTGTACGGTAAAAAAAGTTAAAAAACAAAAAAGAATAGAAATGAAAATGAAGAGAGGAAGGAAAAAGAAACATAAAACTTGAAACTCAAAACCCTAAGGAACAGAGAGAGAGGGAGGCACGTGGGAGGCAGACCGTCTTCTTGATAGAAGTCACGTGCACAACTGAACACACAGCACACCATATCGCAAACATTACAGAGAGAGAAAGAAAGAGAAAACAAACACCAGAAAAATATTACAAAAAAAGAAGGAAAATATTTACTATAAATACCAAAAAAAAAAAAAAATTTGCTACTTTTCAATTCATCTTTTTGAATTCTCAAGGTAAGCAGCAAGCTTCTCTCTCTCTATATTTCTCGTTTACATCTCAATGTATTGATTAATTTTGAATTTAATGAATCAGTGAATGTTAATGGTTTCCAATTGTAATTGATGCTTATTTTGATTGAATTCTTGAATTTGCTTTCTTTGTTTATTTGTTCTTTTTATCCATTTTTTAGCATTGGAGCTGAAAACAAATTGGGAAAAGGAATTTTTTATTTCTTTCATTCACCCGTTTTGCTGTTAATTTGGTGTGTATTATTATTAGGTTATGTTGAGGTTATTAACAGATACTGAAGTTTCTTTTTTTATATTTAAGTGAATGAAAGAAAAGAATGCAACTTTTTTGTTTTTTTTTAATTATTTATGCAATTATTAAATATGAAATTGAATGATTAGTAGCTCTGGTTTTAGAAAATCCTCTTCTCTTTTTTTTCTATACGTTTTCCAGAAAGCTTGTATGCTTAATTCTTTAAGAAAAATGGTGGAGTGGATGCATTGTTATTACTGAATGTAAGGGAAGTTTTCATTTTATAAGGTCCTTGCCTGTTCTAGATGAGCTTAGATAATAATTTCTTTTTTGGTGAAGACTTGGTTATCTTTATAATAAAGATCTTAAGGTTAAGAAATTGGAGAGAAAATTGATTTTTAGTAAAAAAATTATATATTTATTTATACTGCCATTTGGTTATTAAGATAACATCTCATGGTGCTCGCTTTGGCTTTTTTTTGTTTTTTTTAATGATTCAAGGAAGTTTTGTTGACGAGAATGCCGTTATACGAGCCATTGGGATTCAAAAAAGTGTCATTTTGGGGAGCATTGATAGAAAGTCTATGTGCATCTGAAGAAGTTAACATATTGACGAGGATGCAGCTTTTATTTCCTTCGCTACTTTCTTGTTTTTAAAACTACAAGAGCAATTTTGTCCGCTTTCAGTTAGTATTAGTAAGTTTTTACAGTTTTCGTCAGATGTCAGAAGCTGGAATGGCTGTAGTGAAACCTGAGGTATGTCTGTAGTTGTGTAAATGGTTTTTTTTTTTTTTTTTCTGTTTTTGTTTTAATTAGCTTCATTTCGGGTTCCTTTTAAATTGATTTGTCTAGATGTAGACCAGATTTCTCCTTCTTGAACTGGCTTGTTGTTGGTAGCATATGTTTCTCTATTGGCAATTTGTTTGTTGGATGAATAATTTTGCAGTAGGTTAAATATTGGAAAACCTTTAGGGTATAGAACTATGATTGGATAAAGATTGTTTGGTAGGTGACGTTTGTTTACGGGTGAAAGTGGAACTGCTCGAATTTTAATTTCTGAATATGGAGTACTTGCATCAAGCTGTGATGTGATGCCTTTTATTTTGTTTTTTTCTTTTTCTGTCATTTGTTCATTTTAGCCTTAATTTGCCTTTTTATTTTGTTCTTTCTTACATTTTGTTGGGGTTTTCTGTATGAAGATGAAGTCTTACATTTGGCTACAAACTGCTGATGGTTCAATCCAACAAGTAGAAGAAGAGGTTGCCATGTTTTGTCCCATGATATGCCGAGAAATTATTCAAACAGGCATGGGATCATCCAAGAATTATGCTATATCACTTCCTCAACGGGTGAATCCTGCCATTTTGGGCTTAATTCTTGATTACTGCCGGTTTCATCAAGTACCAGGTCGCTCTAATAAGGTCTGAATCTTTTTTTTTTTTTCAATTTTCTTGTCTTCTTTTTCAGCTCCTGTAATTCTTCTGCTTTGTTAGACGCTATCACTTCACAGAACTCTAATAGAGAACACTAAAATTTAGGGATTAGAGAAATGCCATCATCTCATGTTGGATTTTTTTTTTTTTTTTTTTGGTGTGGTTATGGGTGTTTGTATTGGTGGTCAGGGCGGGGGGACGGACAAGCATAGCTTGTGGATGACCAAGTTGAATACTAATGTTATTTTTACTTGCTCATTCTTGTTCTAGGAGCGAAAATTTTTTGATGAAAAGTTCATTCGGATGGATACAAAAAGATTATGCGAGTTGACATCAGCTGCAGACAGCCTCCAATTAAAACCTTTGGTTGATCTTACCAGCCGTGCGCTTGCTCGAATTATTGAAGGGAAAACTCCTGAGGAGATACGTGAAACATTTCATTTGCCCGATGATCTAACAGAGGTGTGTTGCCAATAATAAGTCAATGCTTTCTTCCTTTATCCTGCATAAGTGTTTTTTCATGTAGATTTGGTTTTCTTCAGGAGGAAAAATTGGAGCCTCTTAGAAACATAACCGATGATCCACGAATCCGGCTTCTAAATCGATTATATGCAAGAAAGCGGAAAGAATTAAAAGAGAGAGAAAAATTGAAGGTTGTTACCTTTTTTTTTATTTTGTGTTAGTAGCTTTTCTTTGGACACTATTTTATTTATGTCGGTTGATTTTGTTTCTGTTGATGCATATCTTAATTGTCTGATTTTGATTGCTCTACAATCATTATAGTATTCAATTCCTCACACCTGCAAATGCATCTAGTAATTATGGCAAATGGATTTTTCGCATGTTCCAGAATGTTGAGGTTGAGGAGGAGCGTGTGGATGACCGGTCAGTTGAGGATCTTCTCTCATTTATAAATGGTCCAGATGGAGGTACGTGTGTGAATGTTTCTTCATCATCCTGCTGAAGATGGTTAGCATCATCTTCTTACCAAATTGATAGCACTTGATAACAGCAGGCTTCTTATTCGCTTCAGACCTTTTAATGATATTCAATGTTCTATATATGGCTTATAGGAATGTTTGACTGGATCAGCACATAAATAGTAATGTTTGACTGGATCAGTACATAAATAGTTATCTTTTAAAGTTTCTTCTGTCTTTGGAAACTTATCAAATGTGCTTCCATTTGAAGATTCAAAGGGGGTAGAACTAGCAAGAATAAAAAGAAAAATCGGAGAAGAAAAGATCAATCAAAAGACTCCTCTTCAAACAATTCAAATGAAAACCAAAAGAAGGTTTCAACCTCTTTCTTAATCTTCTCTATCGTATTTCCTGGCTTTATGGAATTGCTTTGCATTATCTAGTTTTGCACGTGGTTAATATCTTACTGGCACAGTGAAGGGTGCTTTTCTCTCATTCTACTTTGCTTTTGTTGGTTGATGTCTTAGGAGTCGGACTCTCTCTCTTCTGCTTGCCCTAATGATGAGGGTAACGATATTTTGGCAGCCTCTCCCAGTAGAACTTCAAATTGTCAAGATTTTGATGATGCTGATATTGATGATGATTTAGATCCTGCAAAAATGGAGGAACTTGACAGGTTAATTAATATGCTTGATTATCTTCAATGAGTTCAATTTGTATATTGTTATTAGCAGGATTTCATGTAGAATTTTGGCATGGTTGAAACAGCATTATATTTTAGACTGCAAAAGTTTGTGAAACTATATATTTTTTTTAAGGGAGAGAGAGAGAGAGAGTTCTTAGGCTATCTGATTCAGATTTACAACTTCTCTTTTAATTTTCTATAATACAGGGAGGTTGAGGACTTTGCTCGTAGATTAAATTCGGGTTGGCCAGAGAGGATGCAGGAAATATTGTCTCTGAGCCCAGATAGAGGGCTTGTACCATTATCTATGAACGGCAATGGATCTTTACGTAGATATTCAGGTTCTTTCCTACAATGCTTTGTTTTGTCTTTTTCTCTTGTTTGGGCTTCTTCTGGGCATTCACTTTGGTAGTTTGGCAGCCTGGTGGGTGGGGTTCTGTTAAGTTGTCAGAGATGCTCGAGTTTGTTAAGAATCAATGGCTTTGCAATCCTGAAATCATTAGCACAGTGAAAATTTTTCTGAGTCCCCACGGAATGGAGTAGCGTACATGAATCTTTTGTGCCATGATGTATTGTATCCATTGATAGATTTTGTAATGTAATGAATGCAATATTTGATGTGTATGGCAGGTTTGGACCGGAGATAATGTAGGGATACTTTACCTTCTTTAAAAATCTTCAGCAGCATGAGTATTTTGAAGAAGATACTGCTCGGGGTTTGCTGCTGTCAGATGCTGGAAGAATTGAGGCTGTTATTTGGTGTGTATCGCTTGTGAGTATATTGTTTGTTTGACCCACCAAAAATGCAACAATCTCTCTGGGCATCCTTGTATGTTCGAAAAGCTTAGAAAATAGAAATAAAAGGAACTCAGAGTGGACAATCTGAGCACAATTTGCTCAGTTGTCTATATTTTTCTATTATTGGCTTTGTTTGCGACCTTCAGCTGTTATCACTGGCTAGCTCCTGTACCTCTGAAACATATTGCTTCCACAAAATTTTTTCTTCCATTCAAATTTTTTTCCTCATTTACAGAATGCTTCCTATCGGCTTCTTCATGAAGATCTCTAACCTATAGAAAAAGACCTGACGATATATAGTTGCTTATTTAACGAATCCTTCGATACTCTGCTCGTTCTGAGATGTTGTCTTGTCTGGTGATACAAGAGGAAGTGAACTTTAATAGATGAAATGTCGTTTTAGTTTTTCAGTATGTGGTATGTAATCATGTAAAACTCTCTCAAAGCATATTTAGTTTTCGTTCGAAGGTATGTGGGGGCTCTACTTTATGTAGTGAGCAGAAGCTGCATTCTCCTTCAATGCATAGAATGTTTTGATTTTTTTCTCTTGTTGTTGCCTGTCACCTCTGTAATAAAGAGATCATCTACAGCAGCTTCATGATTTCTTATGTGCTCGTTTGTTTTGTGGTCCTTGGATATTATTTATGATGCTTTCAAGTCGTTGAGAAGAAAGGAAAATGGAGTTAGTCCTTGACTAATGCACTCATTTGTGTTGATCTATGTTGGGCAATTGAAGAAGAGGGTGAGAGTGTGGTATATTGGAATATTGTTAAATTAAAGAAAAGCAGCTACGGGAAATAATGCTATAAAATACATTTAGTTGCCAAAGTTTGAGCTTTATGGCAATTTGGTCCTTGTTGAAGAAAAAGTTTAATTGCATGGTAAATCATTTATTTATTTATTTATTTTTTTGACCCAAGTGACAGAAATGGTTAAAACTTAAAGCGTGTTGCCTACACGACCTGAAAGTGAATTAAGTCCAAGGATTTCTTTAATCCTAAAATCAAAAAACAAAGATTGCTTCTTTGATCTCTATTCCTTTCTTATGGCAAGTTAAATTTGGAAAGGTTATACATGATAAAAAAAAATGAAAAACTTGATTGATTATCAATAACTTATTTTAGCAACATGTTATTACAACAACAATGAAAATGCAAACTTATGTGTTAGAGCTTTATGACAGAGGAGATTGGGAAAAAAAACAAAAGAAAGTAATATCAAACTTACATGCAGCATATGAAGCTGCAGAAATTAAGATTTTTATTATTATTATTTTTTTTACTCCATCCTAATGAACTATGAAACAAGAAGAAGGCAGGCTTAATCCTTGACCTTGAATCCAGAGTAGTACTTCTTGAAGGCTCTAGGGATATAAACAGGCAACAAGAAGCCAAAAAGATTGAAGCACCAAAAAGCCAGGTTAGCCACAGCAAGAGCTCTACCAATATGGAGCCTCCAAGTAGACCCTCCATAATCCTGCTCCGCCTTTGAGATCTCATCCCTGAACCAATCCACAAGCGTGAAAATCCTCCTTGAATTATAAAACACAGGCACAAACACACGAATTGGGATCGAAAACCTGTCTGAAAATGCCAGTCCTTCCATGAAAACCTGAGCTGCTAGGAGAAAAACATGTGGTGCTGCTGCCTTGATCCCTTCTTTATCTCCCTCGAAAATGCCTTCAAAGATATAAACTATGGGGAGAAAGAGGCCGATGATAGCACCAACAAACACGTATAGGCCAAGAATCTTGTTTTTCGGATCAAAAACTACCGAGTCTCTTGGAGGGTTGATGGTGGGGAAAGCAACTTTGGAGAAAAAATACATGTAAACAATGGAAAAGACAACAAAAGCAAAGTCTTCAGGGCTTACCATGCCACTTGCAGCAAACACAGTCATAACAGCAAGAACATTTAGTTGTTGAAAGCTCAAGAAACCAGCTTTCTTTGAGGTGGTACTGCTTTTAGGGTTTTTCAAGGAAGCAAGATCTTCTTGGAGTTTCTGTTCTTGTTCTCTTTCATTTGGAAGGCTTATGTCATTCCCTGTTGGACCAACACCACCTGACATCTTGATCTATTTTTTTTTCTTTTCTACAATACTGAAAAGAGGAAAGGAAATGGAGAGAAGGATTAGGGGAGAGAAACAGAGAGTGGAGATCTGATCTTCAAGTAGGAAGGTACGAGGCAAGGAGAGTGTACACGTGGCAGTTTGTGAGGAGTTTGAGGTAGACAAGTATAAAACGTGGTTTCTATTGGTGTGGTTTTATCTTCTTGGTCAACAAGTTAGCAATTTTTAAGGCTGTAGATTTGGGCTTTGTCACTGTTTCAGTTATTGGTTCTTACCCACCTAGGTTTCAGTGCTTGTCAGGGTTTTTTGTTTTATGTTGTGCTGCAGCTGGAGAAAACCCTAAAAAATAAATGTAAGAGATGTAGTTCAGCCATGGATGATATATATCTAGAATTTGATCCAAAACATCTTTACTCTTAAAATCAAAATAAAAGGAATTCTTTTTATCAGAAAATATAAGGATGAATCCATGTCTACTTTGATTTTAATAGAGATTAACAGAGCATGAAGCCTGCATCCCCACCCCCCCCCCCCCCCCCCCCAACAAAGTTCATTTTCCTTCTTGCGAAATTAGAAAAAAATCGAAGCTTCATGCAGTAACAATTTCGTGGGACTAATTAATTCATTTTTTAAATTAAAGGGACTAATTTATGATTTATCACCAGATTGATGAACTTAAAACTTAACCTCAGTGAGCACTGCAGGGATGATTGGCAAATATACATAAAGAATGAGCCATACGAAAGAAAATTCTCAACATGTTAACAAGTCGGTTTGTAATTTGCCCAATTTGATTTAGAAAAGCCCTATTCCACCAGTTTCAAGGATACAAAGTGAAGTAATACACCAAAAATCACCTTGATCAAAGCCTATATCAACTAATGACCAGTGGCCAAAAATGAATAAAAAGCTATGTTCGCTAATCCACATTTAGGCTCCATTTTCTGCTGAATGGATGCCCTAGCCACCAAAAGAAGAACCCCTAAGGAGGAAATTTGCAATACCAAGAAAACCAAATTTATTACACAAAAATTGGACTATTACTCCAAAAATACCTAAGTAGAATATCCTACGACGAAGTAAAAAAAAATGGCGGAATAGCTAAAAGGACTTTCCGGCAAAACCTTTCTTCAATTTTCTGACAGAAGACCATAAGTAAAACTGGAACCTCTGCTAAGAATATAACGATGATTAAACTGTGCACCTCTGTAAAATTAAAAACAAAAAAACCCATCTCTCTTCTCCAATCTTATATTAAGTGATGGTTCATTGTTTCGGTATATACTTTAACTTGACACCCTTATCAGGCTTTGTTTTAAACTTGGGTTTACCGGCTCCAGTAGTTGAAGACTCCTGTGCCTCCACATCAACCAACTGATTTTCTGCACAGCCAATGACGTCTTGCTTTCTAATATCCGATGAACGATTTGCAGCAACTTGGTACTCTGGAGATAGAGCCAATTTCACATGTTCAGCAGCAATGGCCTCCTTCCACCCTACATGAGATATATAGTCAATCAGACTCTGTGAGAAGAACCAAGCAAATTAAGCTATGAACATATAATAGCAGAATGGTAACACATTATGGTGGGAAAAGGACTATAACACATGCAACTGCAAACAATGTTGAACTTACTCTCTGCAAGAAAAACCTTTGCTTCATGGCTCGAGAACTGCAAGCCTCCTGGGCAAAGATCCCCCAGTAGAGAACCATTTTCCATCCCACCAAAACTATCATCCATGGCACATGATCTTACAGAGCTGTCATTGCACAAGATCTGATCCTCACCCTTGCCACCAATGATGTCGAGTTGGCATTCTCTATGGCCATTTTCAGCTAGCATTAGACTTTTCGTTCCATTTCTACTAACAGGCCTCCAAAGCTTTACTGTTGGCCGATTTGTGCCACATTGAACAGAATCAGGTCTGTTGTGCTTCTCCTGCACATTGTTCTTCTTTGGGATTTCATGCTCTACCAGGGAATCATCCTGGGCTCCATCCAAATTGTTACTTTCATCATGGCTACAATTTCCAAGTGTGACAGATATAGAACCAATCAGAACCTCCCCCTTCTTATCATGATCTGGCTCGGTTATTGCTTCCTTTTGTACTATAGCTTCCAAACTCTCCCCATTAGATTCTGGTTTAGGTTTTCGGCTCCACTTTCTGTTGCCATAGACTATGGGCCCTGGCTTAAAATCCCTTTGAATTCCATGTTTCTGCATGGTCCCAGGTTTTGGAGCTTGAGAATTTTGACTAGCATGGAAACCATTTGACAGATGATTCCGTTGTGATTTTGAAGAAGCATGCCATCGAGCAACAACTATATGACTGTGACTACTTCCTTGTAACATTGAATGTCCCCCACCATGCCCGATCTGATTTTCTAAATCAACATCTTCATCTGTTCTAGGTAGCTGAAACGGTTCAAGAGATGAGGGAACATCATCTGGCAGAGTCTCTGAACCAAGCGTATCAGAATCAGATATAGGCAAAGGACAGGATTGTTCAGCTTGAGGCACAGCCTCTAATGTGTCATCAATACGCTCCTTAACATCAACCTTCTCGTCTTGCCTTTGCTCCTTTGCTTTCAGTTCTTTGTGCCTCAGTTTTTTCTGCCTCTTCCTTTCCAAGAGTTCAGCTTGCCTACAAAATTTGAGAAATAAAATGAATAAAATATGTTCAGGCAAGCAAATTCAAGAATCAAGTTTTTGAAACCCCAAAGAAAAACACACAGCAAAAGTCAAAGTTTTGGCTAAATAGGATATCTATAATTCCAATATATTGAAGAGGCCCTTCTGAAGGTGTCAAGTGGTAACAAGGAAGATTAGGCGGTGTGATGTCTGAGCAACACTCTGATGGTTGAATATCTGAATCTTAAAACCTTAATAGTTCAACGAACAGTCCACTTTTCAGAACATTAGTTTTGAGAGCTTAATAGAAACTAAGGGAACAGCATATCCAAGCAAACAAAATTCCTGATGAGACAAAAGTGCTCCTATCATGTCTGTTTCTACTTTCTGCTGCATTTCCTGCAATGGTGCAGTTCGATATTCTTTTACTTGTAATAATTAGTCATGTTTCCAATGCATTGTCAATATTCAACATAATTTCCATTAAACATAAACTATGAGTTGGTCCAATCGTAAATGTCAAGTTCATTAAGAGAAGGGGCACTGACTCTCGAATAATCAAAACTATAGAAACATCAGGAAAGATTCATTGTCTCTCAAATGATCAAAAATATCTAACAAGAAAGAACAAAACATGCATCTCCTCATGAGCTTTTCTCTGATTAACTTAATTCTTGCCTTCCATCTTAATATTTCCCTTCCTATATGATATCGTCAGTGGCTCCTCCTAGACTATGATGGGATTTTAATGACTATCTAAACTTGAAATAAAGATAAGACATAAAGAGGCATCAACGTAGAAGTGTGAACATAGAGTTCACCTTCTTTGGGCGGCTTCCTCCTCCTCCACAAGCAGTTTTTGGCACCTCAAAGCTTCTGCATCCTGGTCTGCAAGCCATGCTTTAATCTGAATACCAAGAATCACAAATGGCAAGAGCAAAGTGGATCAGCAAACATCTTGGTGCGACGGTGTATAAGGAACAGCTTTGGCACATGCAACACCAAAGCACTGGTATAGTTAATGATAATTGAAACATTGGAAGTAATTCAGTCCAAATGAATGAAAAGAAAGGAAAGAAAGATACCAATTTCTGTTCCACCACAAAGCTTGTGCAAGCAACTATATTCTTTGTTTCAAGCCCAATCTTCCCAGCTCCCCCATCAAAAATATATTTTTGTATTAATACAGCTGGTCCACACAAAAACGTTTTTTCACTTGCATCATCAAGAATACTGAATAGTTGCCCAGAAGGCAAAGGAAACCTGGAGGGCCTCCCTTGGACAAGATCCTATCAAGAATGAGGATATATCACATTTTTAGGATAAAAAATATGGCAGATGAAAACTAAATAAAATCCATAGGAAAAACAATGACAAGGAAAGGATGCCCCCTTACCAAAAGGGCAGAACCAGCTCTCCAACAAGATTGAGTAAGAGAAGAAATCCCTGGTTTCCGAATAACTGCCGTCAATGACTTTATAATTGAAGACCCTGGAACTTCCTAGTAAGTAATTAAAAAAAGGGGAGAAAAATGTTTACAAAATAATCATAGAATGAAAATGAACATTATATTGAAAAGAAAAGGAAAATATCCCTATTCCAGATGCTTGTTAGTCAACATATAAAAATATGGAACAAATAAAGACACTCAGAAGCTAATATAACTGAATTAAATGAAATCCAAATTCACCATCATCTCTGCAAGCTACATTAAAAAATCCAAATAAACTGAAGAAATTAATCTCAACAAAACAAACAGGAAAAAGGTCTTTAAATAATTTGTTATTTGGCAACAGAATAATTTTTTTGAAGAACCATTTTTTTTAATGACATCTGACCATTTTTGCAACATCAAATAACTAAAATTGAGAACTAGACTCTCTATGTGTGGTACATATCAAGCATAGAATTGTACTGTGTATGTTTCAGACAGCATGTAGCATGTTGCCAACAATAGATAATCAAGCTAAAAATTGAAAGCACACCAGCTTTTATTCTATAAAGGACCAACAGAATTCTTTATAGACATTTCATGTTTATAGAACAGTAAAATATATCCATTCAAACAGACAGATAAGAATACCTCCAAAGTCACATCCTTGAATGATAAGATTTCCTTTGCCTTGTCCTCAGAAAGCTGAAAAAAAATTGAAAGATTTTAAATTCTGTAAAAAAAAAAAAAAAAAAAAAGATGAGTTCAGCCAAACCTCCCTAAGGAGAGGAGAATACTTTACCTTATCCCAAAATGCTCCTAACGAGTCCTTATTGTTGGCAGAATCCTACAAGGTGAAATAAAACATCTTTCAGAGATGTTCATAGCAAGTAAATTAACACAGAATAACTATAAACTACAGTAACTTATTCTATAGGCAAAATCAACATTGATAGCACTGAAAACCAAGCAGACATCATACTACAAGGTGCACCAGATTCTCAAGTTTCAAAATGTAGCAAAAAAGTTGAAGCAGCTGTGCACAGACAAAAGAACCGAGCATTTCTGCAAGAGAAATGAATTAAACCTTATCCAGTCTTTTCAACCGATGGTGAACCCGCAAGTGTCTTCTATAGTTAATGGAAGAACAAAATTCTCGAGAACACTTGCTGCACTTTTGCATCTGCACCTTCAGAGGAGTGAGCAAAGGCCAACCTGGATAATCTGCAAAAACAAAAACCAAGGAAATCAACTACATGGCTTCAAAGTCATGTGAGGGCATATGCCAATCTCAACCCAAAAATCTACCGACTGTATGAAAATACATTCTTTTTCACTTACGATTTATTTAAGACAGTAACTAGTACCTGGCTGATCGAGAGCATGGAGTAATTGGATCCACTGAACAGGGTTATCATTTGGCCTTGAAAAAGAAAGAAGAGGCTGTTTTCCAATGGCATCCTTGATGACTGTATCTAGGGAAGAATCATTCCCCTCCTCCGGTCTCATCACATCAGTAATACTGTTCACAGGTTTCACAGCTGGCATTTATATATGCAAACAGCCACGCCAGAAAGGCTAAAACCAAATCACCTAACAATCAACAGGAAGCCACTGCACAAAGAAATTAAGAACTGATTCAAAATCGTCAATTTACCAAACTAAAAAGGAAATGGGCTCTCCTAATAATACTTTCTATTGATCTCAAATCAGAAAAATGGAAAGATAAACAATTTCAAAACTTCCATTTCAATAACATCAATAATAAACTTTCCATAGAAACACAAAGATTAAAACTTTTCCAAACCACAAGAGACAATTAAATTCTAGAACAGAAATAAATAAAGAATTACTGCTAAACAAGCCAAAATCAATATATATTCAGTACTAGATCACCATAAAAATTATAAAAACGAAAGGGCAGCATAGAAAATTCAAAAAATGAAGCTTTATATCTGCATTTTTGAAGAAAACCCACAATTCGGAATTCAGTTTTTTTAACAGCTAAACGGAATAACAGCAATTAAACACACACACACAAAACAAAAACAAAATAAACTTTTTTTCCTTTAAAAAAGTAACATGTCTTATGTGATCTGTGATGGGTTGTTGATGGTGACGTACCCAGTAAAAGAGTGAGACGGAGAGAGATCAGAGAGATTTGGATTCGCCGGGAGCGAGGATAGAAAAGTTGATGAAGATGATGATCGGCCGATAAAACAAGAAAACAAAGATGAAAAAAGAGTGAGAGGGATTCTCGAGGGAGATAATTGCAAGTGTGAAAACCCACCTATGTCTCTCTCTCTCTCTCCCTACGTATATATATATGACGCAAAATTGTAACCCCTTTTTCTTTTCTTTTTAAGCAAGCACCCCCAAGCAGCAAAAATATAAATAATAATTAATAATTAATTAATTGAATCGAATTGAATTCCTTTCCCAAATTTAAATCAATTTTTATGTTTGTAATGTTTCTGAGGATGCATATTTAAATTTCAAATTCCAAATGATATTCAATTTATTAAATTTGTACAAGAATACCCTCTTCTTTGTTACAATACATTACTTAAAAATTAAGTCATAATATTTATTCAAAAAATAATTTACAAGCTAACCCACAAGCCTATAGTTACGAATTTATTTTGAGAAAACAGATAGATATAAATTATAAAAAAAAACACACACATCCAAATCTATCAAAAATGATAAAAATATTTTTATCTATCTTAAAAAAACTCTATTATTTTTTCATTTTCGTATCTAACTTTCTATAGAGTAAATATTGTTAATTATTATTCGAATAATATAAATTTTTTCCACAAAACTCATCTTTCACACCTTTAATGATTCTTTTCTTTTCCAACTAAAAAATTCAACAATTTGAATAAATTCTTCTTGTCTTCTTTTCTTTCGAATCTTAAAGTACCCATTGTATTTTTTTTTTCCTAAATAGAAGGATCAATGCTTAAAAAAAAAAAAAAACTCATTTATGATAAACAATAAGATTTTTGGCTCCTATATATTGATTAATATTTCACTTATGCTTCTATAGTTTAACATTTTTCACATCAAATTAAAAATATTATGACATTCAAGCTAATAAAAATTTTAAGATATTTTTACGAGTAAAACTAATTTAGAATACAAATATAATTTCTCTAAAAAAAAATTAGTAGTGATACTCGAATTTAAAACATTTATGATAATTGTGTTTTCTTAAAATATTTATGAAATACTACCATATGCACAAAAAGAAGAGATAAAAGGGAGGGAAAGGTTGCTTTTTCATTAGATTTCATTACTTATTAAGTGGTTGGGGGCGCATTTGCAATTTTCTAACTCTAGGGATAATATAAGAGTAGAAATAGAATACTGATAAAGTTATAAGGACGAAAACGAAGTTTGCCCATTAACATACGACATGACCGCGACAGCTCAAACTTTCCATGTCACGTGGGGAAGGGAGAAGAATGACGTCACGTAGTGGAAGGGCCCAATAAGCCCTTTCCCATGTTAAATATTCGGGCTTTTAAATATTAGGCTGTCATTAGTTTTAACGCTTTTTCAATAAAATATTGATTTTTTTTTTCAGAATATATCGATTTTTTTGAAACTACTAATTAAATTATTTTTCTGTTACTTGCTAATATATTTTTTTTACATCAGATCAATAAATTATTATTTTTGTTTTTTTAAGATAAAAAAGATAGAAAAAATGTCTCAAGGGGTACTTGATTGATAATTTTTTCAAATAATTAAAGAAATAACAAAAGTTAGACGGTAAGTTCTTGATTGATAATTTTTTTAAAATTTATTAAAAAAAAATTAAAATTCATGTATTTGATTGAAAATAAAAAATAAAAAATTGTGTACTTATAGTCCGTTTTCAAACAAGAGAGAACAAATATGCATTAAAATTTAGCATTTAATCACTTCACTTCTTCTATATTTGTGACGGTATGTATGTTCTTGTTCTATACATCAGGAAGGTCCATAAAAGTTGAGCCTTTCTGTCAAAAACTTTCAGTGGCTATCAACAAGTATAGTGCAGTGTAGCGATGAAGAGCTACCAAAATTTATATATATATGCATGCATGTATGTATGTCTGTCTTGTATGATGTATCCAATCAATTCACATACGTTGCTTCCACTCAAGAATCGCCTGATGAAGGGCATGGTTAGGGAGTAGATTGCTGTGCTCAAGTTTAAGATTTGTCATTGGTGAAGTATCGTGCCCGCTTTTCAGCCATCCTCTAATGGCCTCCGCATCATATGTGAAGCCATCTGCAGCAATCTGCGGATCATCCATGACTTCCTGCAAATCCAACGGAATAGCAAGATAACTAAATTGCTAAAACGAGTGCGGTGGGATTTGCTTAGGTTCCATGTTAAAAATATGCACGAATACGGAAGAACAGTGATCAAAGAGAAGGAGCATGTTCAGTATACACCAATCCATGGATGTGATTATTACCTGAAGAATGGGACAGACAAAATTAGACGGAGCCCGACGTGGCTCCTTGGGTCCCGAATCGAAACATGAAGTCTTCATTGGCTCAAGCACTCTCAAGATTAACACAAGATCTGGTCGGTCAAGTCGGTTCTTTTCGCAGCACCTCAAGGCCAAGTTAGCTAACTGTAGGGCTTCCTCAAATGGCCAGTCCCCACCAGAACAGTCCAACAGTGCTTTGAAGTTCTCTTTTTCTATTGCAAATTTCACATCTTTCACTATGTCCAAAGCTGCTCTCCCAGTCAAAAGCTGTAACAGTATAATTCCAAATGAGTACACATCTGACTCTGGCGTAGGCATCCCACTCTCAAGATATTCTGGATCAACGTACAAAGAGGTGAAATTGGAGGTGGATTTATTACACAATCCAGTTGAGTTTGAAGTGCTTTCACTTCGTGGGATTAAATGAAATATGCCAAAGTCAGTAAGTTTACTGACAAAGTTAGCATCAAGGAGAACCTTGGATGGTTTTAAATTCCCATGGATGATACAAGGCTTGTTGGAGTGTAGGAACGTGAGGGAAGAGCATATCTGGACAGCAATTCGTATCCGAGTTTGCCATGGAAGTGGAGGCTTCTTATCTTTGCAGGAAAGGTGATCTTCAAGGCTTCCATTTCGGACATACTCGTAGACAAGTGACCTAGACTCTGGACAAGTTCCAACTAAAGTTACAAGGTTTGGGTGCCTCACTCTACTCAAAATCTCTACCTGAAACTCAACAAACAAGAAAATTCATGGTCAAAAAGCTTTCTGATTGCATTTTACAACCCACCATTTTCATACTGCAATGACAGGAATTGCAGGAGCAATTAAACCCATGCATAATTTTACACACACACACAATCTGTCTATAACTCTAGCAGGATACATGATCTGTTTACAAACCTAGCAACTGTGGATACATATTGGCCCCTCATTCGTTCGTTCCTACACAAAAGGTTTTAGATTCAATAGCTCTCATACTGGTTTGACATAAAAATTGAACAGATATTTGAAAGAATGTTGAAGATGTATATCCAATCTACATAAAGATTGGAGTAGCAGATTAAGAAAGAATCTCAAGGCAACCAGAGGGAAAACCTTGAGGAAGTAAGAGATTAGCAAGGTTAATTTTATTTCTTAACACGTAGGCCTTAACTTTAATCTCTCGATATTATGATCTCATTTCTCACCCATTGACGCAATAATAAACTTCTAGCACAACCATCAATTGTTTCAAACTATGATTCAGCTAGTGGGCGAATAAATTGATGGCATTATAGAGATGGGAAAACATGATTACCCCATTCTGAAAGTCCAAGAGGCATTGAGAGCTGTAAGATGAAAACATTTTGATGGCGACAAAGAGATGGCGAAGGAGCCCTTTGTAGACACTTCCATATCTTCCTTCACCAATTTTTCGGGATGGATCAAAATTGTGAGTTGCCTCATTGATCTCCATAAAAGACAATTCAAGGAGTTCTGACTTCCAGCCTGCAGCTGCTGCTTTAGCTGATATGTTTAGCCTTCTAACTTCCTGTATTGCATTTTCATACTCCACCCTTGCTGCATCCCGCCTTTCCTTAAAGCTTATCAGGAGTTGCACAGCTGAGATAATCTTCTCCTCCAACTCCTCCACCATATGCTGGGACTCTGCAATTTGGCTCTCAAGTGCGCACTTATCCTCCTTGACCATCTGGAGTTCTTTTAAAAATTCATCACGCTGATTCTTTGTCTTTTCCACTTCTTGCTTTTTTCTATCCAAGGCTTCCTCCGTTTCTTTTCTTAGGCTAATCTCCTTAACGCATAAGTTTTCTAATGCTTTGGCCTGTAAGAAATAAGATGACAAAAAGTTAATGTTGGAAAAAAGTTGATTTGACAATGTAGTGAGACTATTTTGCCTGTATGAATATTCTAGAACAGGGAGGCTGTAGGTTCCGTTTTATAATTTGGAACTTTTCTTTTCCTAGCGGCAACAGAAGTGCAGAATTTAATTGAATCTGAACAATAATTTACGAACTCAAAAGCATCAGCAAGTCAATAGCAACAAATGAAAAAAAGAAAAGAATGAAAGTTTTGCCTTGCATTTGGCCTCCATGGCATTGTCTTCCTCTTTCCATCGGTTTAGTGCCTCCACAAGTGCCTTTTTCTTTGAATCATTAGCATCCATAATTGCCTTTTCCAATCTAGAACATGTTTCTTCAGTTGTTCGCATTTGAGTTTTTTCTTCCTGCAAAAGCCATGAAGCATTACAACCACATTGGGTAATTCAAACTAGAATCACTTCAACAATTGGCTTTAATGACATCTATAATGACTACATGCACATAGACAATGTAGTTTTGAGATACTTCGTAGTATAATCCTCAAAAAGATGACCTCAAATTCAGCCTCATCATGTCAAATTTCCTGGAATTCAACAAAGTCTGACAGTAGCTCATTTGACCTTCATAGTACAGATAATAACATAAGAGATGTTTTTTTTAACGAAAAAGAAGATTTTATCTGAAAGAAGTATATGAAAGATTATTAGAGAATAGGACATCTTCCAATCCAACAAAAGCCCAAAGGACAAAATCAATATAAAAGGGCATTCTAATTCCTTTGAATATCTGTGAGATAAATGTTAGTGCCACGGGAAAGAAAGAAAACATGTGAGATAAAATGGTTCACTGTATCAAGACCTCTTGCCATACCATGAAAAACAAAATCACAGACGAAGAGAAAAACATCTCACAACTTTGAACAAAGGCAAAGAGCAGGGAAACAGTTTCTCTAACCTCATCTGCCAACAATGGGATGAACTTGGAATTGCTAAGTATTGTGTTGGTTGATTGACAAGAATGAACTGGATACCGATCAAATCTTCCCAAAATTCCTCCCAAGTCATCAGCAACTTCCTCTGCATCTGCACAGCTCTGCAACAAAGTTATTCCTCTAGCACTCCTTAAGAAAACAAGTCTTTGAACTATCTACATGAGAAGCAAACTCAATAGATTTGATCATGAAAGGCAATCACTGTGTTGGTCAGTAAACTTACCGAGAGACCTATCTAGTTGTGTAAGAGATTCTGATCTCAAGATCCTAAGTTGCTCAGTATCTGAATCTGAACTTGGCAGGAGCAGTGGAAGAGAAACCTCCGCTTCAGATCTGTAATATCTACCTTCCCTGTTATCCCATGATCCACATATGAGCAGCAATGAGGTGAATCATAATGGATGAATTGAAGTAATAGTGACAAAAGAATAAATTCCAGCAGAGGAGATGCTCAACACTGGCCAAGCCTTCAATTGCTGAAATGCTAGTAAATTTCAGTTTGTTTCTCATTTAATTTGAATCTCTGTGGAAACTACAATTGCTGCTTTGCTAGTAAATTTCAGGCTTCAAGTGAATGCAATTCAATAGTGCCCTCGTACATATGTGAATGCGACGAGTCTCATGGATAGATTCTCTAACCATGATTAGACTGATCCAATGATCTAAAGTTCTTGATCAAAACAGCACTCTAGCCCAAGATTTAATATTCAACAGTACTAACTCAGTAGGCCATCAACTATAACCAAAGGATCAACAAAAGAAAATGATCTGCTAGTTCTATAAGCATGTTAAACAAAACAATAGAAAACTTTATAAAGTCAAATGCACCTTGTGTAGATAAGGCAGCCCCTGCAAACAAACCAGATATGACAGAAAGTTGGAGCTTGCTGGCACACAAATATTGCTTTCTTGGACTTTAGCTCTCCCAGTTTCCTGCAACAGCAATACACTCAAAATTAACAGGGAGTGGGCCAAGTGGGATGAGCTGATTATATCCGCTACTCTGCACAAAGAAATCTATTAAGAAGAACCTAAACATTGTTCCTTAACATTAATGCAGCATCATTACAATAGTGAACAGGAACAATTGCATTAAAAGGTTCATACTTTGAATAATATTTATCAGCTGCTGCTCCCATGACAAGCCACCTAATGTTGCATTGAGAAATAATTTCAACAATTCCCTTCTCTATATTGTCCATCTCAATCCATACTTTATCCGCTTGTACCTATGGATATAAGCCAGTTTATCAATAAACTGTTCTGAATGTCAGCAAATGTATCAACCAGGCTTCCAAAATTATTCGAGTAAATGACATTTGGATAAAGGAAGATATATTTTTTTTCTTACAATTTCATACAATTCAAAGTATTATGTTTAAAGTGTGGGACTCAAACTTCAATTCCAAAGCTGACACTTTAATTCATAGTGACTAGTTAGGAATGAACAAAGAATCAGAAAATTACCCCTTCTTGAGCAAGAATGAGACAGTATTGATCTAAGACATCATGCATCGTTTTTGTTTCAAATCCTTGGAATGCCTTGACAGCATCTTCCTTTAGTTCATTAACAGCAAGTTTTCTGTCTGCTGCATGTATTCCAAGAAGACCAAAACAATTACATTAGGCCAGCCACAACAAAATTAAAATGCAGAAACAGAAAGCATTCCATAAGCATGCGATCTCCTTTCAAGAACCCAGTTAATTAAGATTCTCAAAACATTCACATCCTTTGATAATTCGATTACATTCAGATTCAGTATCAAATAATCAGGAACATATTACATTGTGAATTGCTTTCTATTTGTGAGCTCTAATAAAACAAAAGCAAGCAGACAAAGAAACAAACAGAAAGCTCTGCCGACTAAAAAACAACTAATCAACCATCAAGCTTATAGAACACTGATATCTTATCCCTGAATAGCATAAACCACACAAAAACATGGTTTATATATATATAAAGAATTGCCTTTAAAATTCAATTTCCCTTCCTTATCCTGCATTTTCTGAGGGACCAAAAATGGCATTAATAGAAACTAATAGCAACATTGAGCTGGATTAAACTTAACGAGGGGGAAAAAAAGGAAGGGCAAGAAAACTAACTCAAAGAAACAACATTAGCAGGCTGGTGAACATAGAGGAGACATATCTTCTTGCCTGCAAAACTCTGCAATACCCAAAAAAGCAACCTTCTACTCTTCTCTACATTCTTGCCCACAGCAACAAATATAGTCTCCTCCAAATCAAACGCTCTCTCTGCCTCAAACCCATCAACATCCCCCATCCCTTATACAATTTGATCACCCCCTGCGTCTGTATTTGATTGGAGCCTAGTGAGTGAGTCAGTGAGCAGTCTCCTCGAGTTGTAAACTGGGTTGCTAAAAAGGATCAACCTTTACTTTTCTAGAGTGTCTTTTGCGTCGTGGGGCTATTGTAGCTTGCCCACCTTTTAAACAAAAAAAATATATATTTTTTTTTTGCATCAGAGTCTGTGAAAGCGAGTTTCTTCTGCAAGTCTTGAACCATACGTCTAGACAAAAAGATGCTACAATGAGCATCTAGAAGACAAGTGGAACATCCACCTGGCAATTTGGCTTTTTGATAAAAAAAGAAAGTTTTGATTTTGTATACAGCCTATTGTTTAGCTAATCTACTGTTGACCTTTTCAAACAGCTAATCAATTTTCTTACATGACAAATTCAAGTTAACTTCTTGATAGTTTCTTTGAGTTCAGACACAAACGTAAGATTTTTCAGACCCAAAAACAACTTGCAAGTTGGGGCGGGGATGCCAATTCCTCGGAATTATGATGATGTTGACTTTCTTGTTTTGTTGTCAATAATAATGTTTAGGTTTTTTTTTTTTCCTTTGGGAAATAGGAGGACATTTGACTTAATTTCTCATTTATAGTCACTAAGTTAGAATTATTAAATCCCATAATAACACACTTAAAAGATTATTATTATTATTTTATTCTTTAAACAAATCTTTAAAGCCGAATTAGTTCATTTATGAAAACAAAATTGTCATTTAGCTTTTCCTAAGATTCAATTCCGGAATATACATTAAAAAAAAAAAAATCAGTTCTGGGATAATAAGTTGAGAAAGTAACAAAAAAAACTAAACCAAAGCATTAATTTACTATTTATTGACACTGTTTTAAACATTATTCATCTACACACATATATACTCTTCACAAATACTTATATGCATTATTACTCTCACTATATAGTGTATTTTTTTTTTAATTTTTTAAAAAATTTAAAATATTTATTATAAAAGTTTTCGTGATATTATATTATGATTCCTTTTTTTAAAATATTATTTTTTTAGTCCATAAATTTTTTTGTTTTATTTTGATCATTCTTTTTTGTTTCATTTTAGTCACTTTGATCCTTGCTCTTTTTTTTTTTCAATTAAAAAATTTAAGGCAAAAAGATGTTTAGAAAAAATAATTTATAAAATAAATTTCTAGCTAAAAATGTAGATAGAGATAAATAAAAAAATATATTTTAATAAAAAAATTTATGAAAATATAAAGAATAATTAGTCAAATACAAAATTTTGATTAAAGGATTAAAAAACGAATGAATTTTTATTCAGTTTTGATTTAGTATATTTTAGTAGATGTACAATATGACACGAAAACATTAAACCGAAATAATTTTATGTGTTTTATCCATTGCAGGTAAAAAAACTAGTAAACTTACTAATTACAAGGACTAAACCTCTAAAAATAGATTCAATAATTTTATACTAATGAGAAATCCACATGCTTTGAAACTAATATTGTTGTTTTAAATTTTAATAACGGTTAGAAAAACCCTTATTGTTTGCTAAAATTGTATTTATTAGATAAACTTAGATTATGTAATTTTGTAACATATTTCAATTATGTTATATCTTTTCAATAAAATATCATCATAAACTCGAACAAGTAAGTCTTTATTATTATTAGTATTATTATTAAGGTTAACGAGTTCAATTTATTTTTATATAATACAATAATTTTTTAATGATATTCTTATATTTTTAATTGAATCTTTATTTTTTTAATATATATTAATTTTCTATTTTTTTTTCAAAATTTTCAAATCAAACCATCAAAATTAATTTGAAATGATTTGCATATGATTAATTTTTGTTCTCAAAATACCTTGCGTCCAATAAAAAGTTCTTGTCTTTTTTTAGTAAATTTGTGTGACTAATTTTGATAATTTACCCTGAAAATCTCATGAGAAATATAAATTAATCACTTAATATATATTGAATAATAAAATTTATTATGACCATTAAGATTCTGAGGCTTGGCCCAACTTGCCAAAACAAGGATGATATCGTTAGCTTGACCCATCAGAAATAGTTCTTCTTGCCCGCCAAAACCCACCACCAGACTCAAACTGGCACACTTCTACAGTGTTACTTCTACCACCACCTGGCCTTTTTTCGTTCCCTAATATTCCTTTTGACTGTTAGGTTTCAACGTTTATCTAAAACTCTAATCTTTCTCCTCTAACAAAACTTTCTTTTCTTCCTCATCAAACACACATATCTTTAATGAATGGACTATGGAATCAACCACAGAAAACCCTCCTCGGCCCGACATCAGTGACGTCGCTGATTCCCCGACCAATACCAACGTTGACATCTCTGACCACAATGATCTCCTATCTCAGCTTCAATCTCTCCAGCAGTCTTTTGACACCATTCAAAGCAAATCCTCATTGATGGAGGAAAATCTACTCCTCCTACAACAAGAAAGGGACGATGCGCTCAACAACAACTCCCAGCTCAATTTAGTCATCCAAGAGGTTTCAAACGAAAGAGACTCTCTTCGTGACCAAGTTAACCAACTTATGGCCTCTTTCCAGGAAAAGGAAGATGGGTTTGTGAAAAGGATCGATGAGGCATATTTGACAGTGGAAAAACTTGACAAAGAAGTGGAATTCGTCACAGAGAGGAATGATAAGTTGGAACTTGAGATAAAAGAGACTAGGGAGAAAAATGGGTTGTTGTTAAAGATCACTATGGATTCAGTAAAGCCTGTGAAGGATTCTTTGGTGAAAGTAAAAGAGTGTCTGGACGATGAGAAGGTGGTCGAGAGAGTTGATGATGAAGACGAGAGAGAAGAGTTGGAACTAGATGATGAATTGAGGGCTGTTGGGGAGGAATGCAAGGCAATTACAAGGCTGGCAAGCGAGGCAGAATCAAAAGCAAATGAGTTGAAAGAGATGAAGAAGAAGGAGATAAGGGAATTGGAGAACAGTGTGGTGAGTTTGACAGAGGAGAATCGCGATATCAACAGCTTGTTAAGGGTTGCTTTGGTGGAGAAGGAGGCAGTGGAGAGGAGTTTGAATAAGCTGAAAGGGAACAATGAGCAGAAGAGAGTGCCTTTATTGCAGAGAGTAGGATTTGGGTTCATAATGGGAAGTGGGAGTACTGAACAATCCATGGAGAGTTCAGGAGCTGCTAGTAATACCACCAATGCTTCTGCTTCTGCTTCTGCAAGTACTAAATCAGACACTAGTGAATGTGAAGAGGAGGGTGTCAGTTTGGTATGTTTGAATTCACTTTCTGCAGACATAAAATTTTCGACTATTCTTGTAATCTATCTCATTTGTAATGGGGACATGACAGCTTTTAGCGAAAACTTCTGTCTTAAGTGAGGATTGTCTTGATGATTGCACCTGCTTGGAATGCTGGATATCCTGTGTTGTGTCCATTAACAAATGTATATGAAAACACTTCTTACACATTTCTGACAACTGCACATATTCTTTTCAGGCCTCAACTGTGGAGCGAATCATGAAGAAGTTGAGGCTCGAAAACAGTCAACTGAGGAGATCTCTGGAAGAATCTAGGTATTTTATTTTTGAATTCCTATGCCTGCATATTTCTTTGAATAGAAATGGATGAAAATGGTGGAACTTAGGTGGAGAAAAAATGGCCACAGGACAGCATATTTCTTAGACCACCTTATGGTTCCTGTGAATAAACATGATTGGTTTTGCTTGCTTGTGATTTACTAATTGGTTTTTACATGTCAGGTCAGACACTGAGCGATTACAAAGTCTTACGCAAAAACAAGCTCAAGAAATTGCAGAAAACATACTATACATAAAAGAGTTGGAAGATAGAGAGAGGGTGCTAACTCAAAATGTAATCATTGGTTTGGTTCAGATGGAATGACTGTGTTCTGTGCATTCATAAAGGAAGCTCCTTTCGTCGCTGACTTCAATTCTTTTGTTTCTTTTTCCACGATAAAGGTTGAGGAACTTCTGGCAGAAATAAAAGAAACTGAGGCAGAAGTTACGAGATGGAGAGAAGCTTGCGAGTTGGAAGTGCAAGCTGCGAAAAAAGCAATCGACGAAAGCGAGAAATTGGTAAAAGTTTGTTTCTGTTTAGCATAACCTACTTCCATATCGTTTCTTCTCTTCCCTGGTTTTAAGATAAAAATTTGTTGGATTTGGGTTTGAGAGGCAAATGCCATGTTTACCAGTACGCACTGCTCTTGTATTCCAATGCTAAATTCCAGTTTGTTGTTAAGAGAGATGCTGAACTGTTATTGTGTTATTAGGTCGTTATCTTGAAGCAAGAACTGGAGAAAGCAAAGTCTAATTTAGAGATATCGAATGGCAAGTTAAAGCTGAAGGATGAACTAGCAGCTGCTGCAATGGCTGCCCAGGCAGCAGCAGAGAGGTCTCTGCAGCTAGCTGATAGCAGGGCTGCAGGACTTTGTCAGCGAATTGAGGAGCTAACAAGACAAGTAGAAGAAGCAGAGAGCAAAGAGCGGAAACGCCATAAAGTTAGGCATATATGTTGGCCATGGCGAGCCATCAAAGCGAGTGCCGGTAATAATGCAAGTAATAGAGTTCAGAACGTTAGACGAATGCTGCCAGAAATGCAAGCCTTGCTTCATTACAATGTCTAACATTCATGTGAGCTTGATAAGTGTTATATCAGCTGTCTTGTGATCGCTATAATCCAATTGGGATGTCTGTCCAATTTTAGACAGAACAAAATCTCGTACCAAGTACCACCCCCAAGTAAATAAATCTGCCATTTTTTGGATCTTTAGAGTTTTTCGAAAGCAATACCATATTTCTCTTGTATATTTATATTGTGGTTAAATAGACATGCATAAGTTGCATGCATTTACAGGAGTAGATTACAAATCGAAAGGATGAATAATGCATGCCAAATGTATATATCGTAACCACTTTACAAGCAATTCTAATGAAGTTTCAAAGCAACTTTCGGCTGCCGAAAGGAAATAATCTTCTGCCCATGCTAATCAAAGAGTCCTCCAACTTCCTTTTTAAGCCATGTTTTTACCTGCACACCAAACAAATATCAATGATAAATATACATTGCAGCATTGGTTTTTAGTAGAAGTATTAATAAAAGTATTTGATGATCAGGCCGAAAAAGCGATATAAGAACAGATCTTAAGGAATGAAAGATAGAACCTGCTTGGCTGAGAGTCCGATGTCTTTCAAGTCATCAAGCTGTTGACAAATAATGATTCTTAATAATCATTAAATAAATTGTAAAAGAAATTGATCGGCAATGGCACTGTTCAGCGGAGAATGTTTCTCCAAAAATGCTTACATTTTTGAAAGGCTCAGGAGAATCTTGTCGAATTTCAAGGATATAGGTAGCTCTCTTTTCTCCAATCCCCTACATGAAGCATCAAATCTAATTCATATGATATGCCATCAACAAGACAACACATACTGATATTTACAAATTCAGAAATACTAATCACCTTCAATTTCTTCAATTCTTCTCTGTTAACAACAAGAGAGAGCACCAAAGTTTAGTTTGTCCAATGAAGATAGAAACATTAATACATAGATATTAGCATACTAAAATAAAACTATGAGTGATTGCTATAAAATCTTAGTTATGGTAGCCTGCAAGTGTTATGTCACAATAAAGAAACTGCTTGGCAGCCTTCACGATATGTGTATATAGTGAACTTTCTATCAAAATAGAAGTCAGATTAAAGTTGAAGTACCTAAACAGAAGCAAACAAGAATTAAAAGTAGGACAAACATGCATAATCAAAATTGCCAGTTTACTTACTTGTCAGCTGTGTTCAACACCTTAAGATAATCTTGAACAAGTGAATTCTACAACAGAGTGCAAGGTTGATGTTAGAAATCGCAGACAAGAATTTGAAGAGAGAAGATTAAGGAAACAGAAATGGAGATTTAACCTTCATCCCAGTGCTGCGGGTGTTGAATGTTTCCCAAGGACTACAAAAGCTTTTAATGTCCTTATTAGTTACTCTCATACTTGTGTTGGGAGTTGTGGGTTCCACAATATCAGTTGAAGTTTGAACATGAAATGCATCATTCTTTGGTGTCACCTCTATGCACGATGGGGTTGAGGAACACAGCAACTTCAAACTTTTTGATAGTTCTTGCAATTGTGCGCTAATTGGTGGAGATCCACCTTGATTCACGATTGAACTGTTGTTTTCCTTGTCTGTCTTTTTACCTGGTAAAATAAGAAGACTACATAAGAGATCGACATTATTGTATATTAAATCATTAGTATTTTGTATTTTGTTTTATACCTTCATCAAACGCAGCTAACTCTCCCGTGTAGGGTGCAATTTTGTTGTGATCATCCTCAGTCTGCACAAATAGATTGTACCATACCATAAAAGATCTGTTACTGTTAACTACAAGTTTTGAAAAGCATCTAGATCACAAACAAGGAACCATAAACAATTGTGGTTTTCTCCATGTCTACGCCTCATCTAGTAAGTAGCTAATCACCTTATCAAGTATTGTAATTTCACAAGTACTGGAAATAGCAACTGGGGAAGCTTCCTGAGAAGGAATTGGAATTAGATTTGCATTTTTCTAAACAATATTAACAGAAATGACTAGGGCTCATCAATTAAGTAGCTACTCACCTTATCAAGCATTCTTGTTTCACAAGTACTAGAAACTGCTGCTGCAGGGGAAGCTTCCTGAGAAGGAATTGGAAATAGATTTGCATTTTTCTAAACAATATTAACAGAAATGATTAGGGCTCATCAAGTAAGTAGCTACTCACCTTATCAAGCATTCTTGTTTCACAAGTACTAGAAACTGCTGCTGCAGGGGAAGCTTCCTGAGAAGGAATTGGAAATAGATTTGCATTTTTCTAAACAATATTAACAGAAAAGATTAGGGTTCATCAAGTAAGTAGCTATTCACCTTATCAAGCATTGTGGTTTCACAAGTACTAGAAACTGCTGTTACAGTGGGAACTTCCTGAGAAGGAATTGAAACTTTTAGATGTGCATTTTTCTAAACAACATTAACTGTGAAATTCAGATAGTCATGGCCTGTACCCACCACTGAAACAGAATTTGCATCATCTTGAGGTAATGATAATACACCTTCCTGTATAAGATATTAACGGCTTAGACATTTGCAAGATTTTATAATCTAAAAAAGACATGAACATAATAAAAAATGGTTGAGGGAAAACTTTACAACTTCCAAAGATGTTGTTTCTTCAGCAACATCTGAAGTGAGCTGGTCCTGTACAAAACAAAGCTTTATTCAGCAAATGTTATGAAAGTACCAAATGCATTCCTTCGATAGATAATGTCAGGGAAAATCTAGAGAAACCATACCTCTTCCTGCATAGAAGATTCAACTGTTGAAACATTGTCTGAGGAACTTGGCTGCACAGTAATCTAGAGAGGCTTATCATAAACTAAAACCATATTTATTTTCTTGTATAACATGACCATTCATTGTAGCTGTACAATAATTACTTCCCCTGACAAACAAAGTCTCACATCCTAATACGTAAACTCAATAGATTATTCTAGGTAAAGCTAGAAATACCCTACAAAGTCCTGCACAAAACATTCGACTATTGAAAGATTTTGAGGAACTTGCCTGCGTTGAAATCTAAAGAGGTTGATTACAAGTTATAACCGTATTTATTTCTTGCATGGCCATTTATTTTAGCTTTACAACAATAGCACAATAAATGTTCGTATGCTTCCAGTGGCATAAACATTTGTCAAAAACAAACTCTCACAGCCTAATACATGAACCAAACAGAATAGTCCGAGCGTTTTTTTTTCCCGTTTATCTAAACACTTTAATTGATTTTTTATTTTGTTTTGCTTTCTTTATTATTATTTCTTCTTTTTCACAAAGTAGTAGACTAAGAACAAAGTAGTAAGAAACAAAGTACCTTCTGAGATTTCAAATCACTTGGTTCATCAAACAGTTTCCTTCAACAGAAAAAAAAATCAATTGGAAAACAGTTCGAGAACAAAATGCGGTGTAATTTCATTTTAGAAGATACGTGTATAAAATACCTAGCTTTCAGTGCGGAAGTTGTAGAGTTTGCTTTTTTTCCAGAAATGTGCATTCCAGACACAGTTTGTTTCTTCACGGAAGAGGAAATACTACCAAGCATCCGGCTCTTATGTGAAGAAACCAGCATTGGTCTTGCTGAGCCATTGGTTTGTTTCGTGGAGTCCATGATAGTCCGAGTAGTTTGTTTCGTGAAGTCCATGATAGTCCGAGTAGTTCCTTGACAAGAACGAGATGCTAATTTCACCATGTAAATAGAGTCTTGGCAAAAAGACGGGTTCTGCATTCAAGGGTGAGAAATAGAACAATTGAAAACAAGCTTCACAAAACCATGACTTGAAAAACTCCCCTGGATAAGCCAAAAACTTACTATGCAAGTGACCATCAAAATTCTGCAAGCCCCTCCCAGTGAATCTTGCAGCATGTTAGTGATCTTACTTTCTCGGTATGGCACATGAGTTTCATTTGCTTTCAGAGAATAAACAACATTATGAATGGCATGAATGGACTTATTAATATTCCTTGTGCTCTCAACCAAGTTATTTCCATCAATACCCTTCCTTCTAGCATCCTCATAACCTAATAAACACAGCAGAAGTAGGAACCAAGAACTCAAACTCTAACCATTTAACAAAAAATAAAAATAAAAACTGAAATATCTAATATGCATTAAGAGTTTGGTTTAGACCTGCCAAGTCAACAAAATTCAACTTGCTGACAGGAACATTATCCAACTTTTCACCACCATGAGAGGATACATATACTATCAGCCCTTTATGGCTTCTCTTTGGAAGTTCAGTCACTGCTTTCTGAATCAATTTACGCGAATTAGACTCACCACCATGTAACTTCTGAAATTCGGAAACGGATGTCACTGGAACCTGAAACAAAAGATTAAAACAATAATTCAACTGCATCACACAAAACCATCATCAATACTATCTCAGACCAAAATCAAACTCTAAACCCCATATATATTGTTGTACCTGAGAAAGTCCTTTCAATCGGGTTTTTCCTTGAGCATCCTTCAATACAATAACTTGTTGTCGATTTGGATCCAACAAGTCTTTCACATGATCATGATCAACCTCATAAAATGACACTGCAATCGACTTCCCACTATCCGCAGCCAATTGAACCATTTCAGCCACAGCCAACGCTGCGAAACCTAGTTCATCTTCCGTACCCTTGAAAAAAAAATCAAACCCACTCCTCTCACATTTCAGGAAGAAGAAAAAAACTAATTTTCAACAAAATAAATTCAGGAAAAACAGAAATAAGACCTGAATAAGGTAGGATTTTCCACTCCCTCTTGCTCCACAAGCAATAATGGTCGCATTACGCCCATCAAAAACTTCATTAATGAAAGGCTTAACTTCTCTTTCAAAAACCAAATCATTTTTCTCAGTTTGGTCGTAGCAAAAATCCACCTCATATGCCTCCTTCCTACTACAACAACAGCCGCAACAGCAGCAGAAACTCAATAAAATAAAATAAAAACAATAATTCTTAATCAAGAAGTTCTAACCTAAACAGCCAAACAGACCAAAAATTCCGCTAATAACCAATCAATCACCTGGCTGCAACTCCTTGGTCTCCAAAAGTGAGAGAGTGAGAAGCATGTCCGTCACGTTTGGTAACGGAAATCCAGGATTTTGAAACTCCGTCAAGATCTGGGGAGCCTCTTATTTTGGCAATAACCCGAACCTTCCCGTTGAGGTTCGGTCCTCTGATCCTCGGTCTCGTTCGGTCCGGATTATTTTCCGGCGTCGGTACGGAACTCATCTTTACAGAGAAGAGAGAGAGAGAGAGAGAGAGAGAGAGAGAGAGATTGAATTTGTAGGCAGAGAAGGAGATTTGAGAATAAAGAAGGAAAGAAAGAGAGACGTTAGAAGAAGAGACCGCTTAGGCTGTTTCTGTTCTGTTTTTTTGTTTTTCAAAATTTTGATTATTCTCACTGCCGCTCCTGAGTAAATTACAAACTAGTTCCTCTATGTTTTAAAAATGAATTAATTAGTCTCTTTTATTTAAAAACTAATTATTTAAATGGATAAAATAATTAGTTTTTGAAATGAAAGAGACTAATAAGTTATTTTTCAAAACTATAGGGACTAGTTTATAATTTACTCTTCGCTACTCAGTCCTCACCCGTTCCCGAGAAAGAGTGTTCCGTACACAATTCAATTCTACTAAACGCTGCGTTTTGTATTAGATTATGATGTGCAGCAGTGTCACCCTTCTTTTAAAAAGACCGAATAAATTAGCGTCGCGTGTTCCTTTTGCTTTTGTTTTTAAAAAGGTCGAGAGAGAGAGAGAGAGAGAGAGAGAGAGAGAGGAGGATTGGAAGAAGAAAATGGGGGAGAGTATGGGTGTGAAGAAGGTGATGTCGCCGTGTGATGTGGCGGCGTTGAAGAAATGTTTGGAGGATAACAAAGGGGATTTCGTGAAGTGTCAGTCCCAGATTGAGGCCTTCAAGTCTTCTTGTTCTATCAACAAGCCTTCTTCTTCTTCTACTACTACTCTGGAACCTCAAACAAAGACAGCTTGAGCTTCAAGCTTTTTCTGCTGTTTTAATTTCAACTATTATTTCTGGATTAAGAGAAGAAGCTTCTTCTTGGATTTTGATGGTGACCCTTCGTCCGATGGCTCCATTGTTTAAGTGTTGGGCATATATTCTTCTGTTTTACAATAAAAGAAGCGAAGCCCAGTTCATCAATTTTGTGTACGCATTTGCCAACTTGATGGAATGAAATTGCTTATGCTATGATTAATATATTCTCATGTTGAATCCTTAATTTGTTCAAAATACACTGTTTGAATGCTCATCTGGCTTTCTGTTTCCTTGAGTGATATAAGTTTTTGTAGGGTTTCTTTTCTCTTAACCTTATTATTGAAGAACATTGTAGAGACAATAACTATGAAGAGTTTCATGATGGAATAAATCAATGAATGAATGTACTATATTAAAACCTTATTATTTTCAAAACTACTAAAAAATTATCAGCAGGAAACTGCAGAATATTTTAGCTAATTAATGAAGGAAAAAGGTTTGAGTTTGCCTTTCAACAAGCATTACAACTCTTCCTACATGTCCCATAGTAATCAGGGGAACCAACCATAAATACAGGGTTCTTCTCGCATTCTCCGAGAGCAGCCCAGCTCGGACAATTTTCATCTTCATCGGTGCATTCACTTCTGTCTGCATCAGACAACACCTTAACGGCTCTTGAATGAAACGTTTTCGTTGCGTACCACATTTCACCCTCAAGGACAGGGCATCTGGAATGAGAGCTGCCCGTGTCTGGAGATGTATTAGGATGCACTGTGAAAAACAGAATTGCATTCCCTTTAACTGGTCTAAGGGCATGGCTTGTCTTTGTACAATCAGACCAAATCTTGCTTTCAACCTGTAATATTGGTGTTACTTAGGGGGATGAATTGAAAACCTCGTTTATGAAAGAACCCAGAGATGATGTCTAACCAACCTCTGACTTAGGGAAGCGTATCTCACCACCTCGGGTGACATTTGAGAGATAAAAAACCAGAGTTGCCATCAACGGCTCGCTGGAAATGATTACGGATTTGTTACCATAATAATCAAAATTGTGTTTGCCGTCTTCAATTCCATAATGCATGATCTGCATGGGCTTGCTGTTCTCTGAAGTGCAATACAAGTCATGCAACAACATGAAATACCAGATCAGATGCATAATTCACAGAACAAAATAGTCGTTCTAAGAAGACAGGAGCCCGGGTGACCAAACATGCCTTTGGGAAGGAGAGTCCAAGCTGAAATTCTTTCTTCAATCCTTGAAAGTATTTTGTCCTGAAAAGCCAAAAGACAGGTCCTATTCAAAGTTGTCAAAGTAGCATGAGTTTCAATAACAATTTTGAATCTCTCTTCATCACAGGATGTAAGATCTACACTTCAACATCAACGCTAGTAATTTTCGGCAATTTTTTATTTTTCAAAGTAATACTGAAGTGGCCTGTAACTGAGCACCTCCAGGTTGGAACTTTTTAGCTCAATCCATCAGGGTTGCCCCTTGGAAACATCATTTGACAATTATAAAACCAAAGACAAGCATCAAACTATTTTTCAAGTGAAACTCAGAATCAGAAAGAGAAATAATAATGGCAACTAGAAGATCTCTCGTGGAAAAAGAAGAATGAGTTCCTCTTGAATATAAAGTCACAACTCAGTTTATCTAGTGACTTAAAAAATCTACAAAAACCGCACAGAACGATAAATAAATATGCCAGCTAACAACCACCATATGATATAAAAGGAAAAAAAAAAAATCAAAGGTGCAATAACCGTACCAAAATATAAAAGCACACTATGATCTACAATGCAAGCATATGTATAACTAAGTGCACAAGGTTGTAAAAGTAGAATCATACAGAAACTCACATCCATGTTTAAAAGAGAACCTGAGCTTGTAAGCAGCCTGCTAGTCACAATTCCTACTGAATCATCATCCTTTCTTTCAGAAGTCTCTTTTGTAACCTGTGCCTAAGCCCAAAAATAAGCATTTCAAATGATTTCCAACATAGTAAATCGATAAAACAAAATAAGAGTACAAGACAAGGGTATACCAAAGAAATAAGATGATCACATTCCTCATCTGTTAGAAAGCCTTTATACAAGAACACCCTAATGCAAGGAAAAGCAAGTCATATTTTTTAGTAACTGAACCATTGCGCACAACAGTATTCAGTGTGTCCTTCTATAATTCAAAGATGAACGTTTGACCTGAAATACTTATTTTAATAACCTTAATACTTAACACAACCACCAACAATTCCCAATTAACTAAATTGCAGATTTTATTGGGCCATAGCAAATGCATTATCCACCGCAACATACAAAAAACAACCTTAACAACAAGTTAAGCAGGTCAGAGTACCGGACCTTGGTCGCCAAGAGAGCGTGACAACTCTTGAAGGGTCAACTCTGTTGGTCTGAATTGAGCTTCCAGATTGTATTACAGTTTCAAGGGGGTCCTCCTTATTCCTCAATTCCTTTCGGCTACTGAAGCAGAAAATGGCAAAAAGTCGTGGTTATTGCTGTATATAACAAAAATCCGACCAAAGAAAACCACCAACATAGCACGAGCCATTATTCCCTATAAAACTATACACAATATATCTAGCCAAGTGTGAAGAAAGATCATTCCTTTATGGATCAGAAGCTACAAAGAATCAAGAAGCTACAAATCCCACTATACACAAGGTGTTATAACAAAAACCCAGATCAAGAACAGCACGAAACTCAGCTGTATAATTAAACCAGAGCTAAAAAAGTGAGAAGTGATTGTTTATTAGTGAATTTTAATTGATAGAGTAAGCTAAAAAAAACAAACTTGATCCTTCAATGGAAATGGGTTTCTTTACCTCTTTCCGAAACAGTGGGAGAATTGGCCTGTAAATGTAAGCACCATGAAGAGAAGAAGGTAATTAAAGGAAGCCATGGATTGGAGATCAAGATCAATCTCCAAAGAGAAGCAATGCCTGGATTCTTTATTTAGCCTCCGTTGCTGCTTTATAAAATCTCTGCTCGCTTGAGTGGTACCTTTTTTCTGTTAGCGTACTACTTCTCCAAGCCAGTGGCTAGAAATCTCTTACGTTATACGACCCGCTTCCCAGCCAAATCAGAGATGCAGCTTTGGTGGTTTTTGGACGACATGTCTTGAAGGCAAAAACTAGTTGCGACCTGTCGTTTGAAACATGGGAGCAGAATGAACAAACTAACCAACTTGTCAGCCATAGATCATGACATCAAATGATAAGAACCCCAAGTTTATTAATAGTAATTTAAACCAATTAGTAGAGAGAGATGTTTCTATCAAAATGAGTTGATAAGTATATTTAATGTTTAATTTCAAGCTTGCAGCTAAGCTTCATAAACTGGGCTCTTTCTATTCTAGAAGTTAAGAAGAAACAACTTCCCTGCTAGTAGGTATAATTTCTTTCGTTTTTTCCTAGGTCTGTTTCTTAAGTTGTCTGCAAGACTCCTGCAAACAAGTTCCCTATTGTTTTGCCCCTACAAGGAGGAGCCTTTTGGCTTTAGCTGCTTAGCACAAAGCTGTCCCTTGGGGCTGTCACCAATTCACCATCCTTATATGTGCTTTTTGCTACTCCAGACAGGCACCGGATTCGGCAACATTGTTCCAATTCTCAAATGTTTTGATTTTTACAGAATCCTGCATTTACCATTCCATTAACTCAAGAATCAATGACACATAATTTGATTTTTAACATGGAGAATATAGTACAAACGAATAATGGATTCATGTCTTTTGCCGCAAACAAAAAATGATCAATCATCCCTGTGTGATTTCTTGAGAACTATGTGACCGGATTCATCTTTGTCAAAAAGGCGTTCGATCAACTCATCCCAGTTCTCTCTTGTCTTGCTTGTCTTTGGAGAACTAAAAGAAGATTCTCCACTCGATCTGTGCGAATCCTCTCCTTCCTCCACCTCATCGAAAGTTCCATACTTAGAAGGTGAATACGCATGGGGAACTGAGAGCGTAACAGCTCTATGTAGTGCAGCCCTGTACTCCTCGCTATGTTCTCGGGCCAAAGTCTCCTGCCGTTCCATCCTTTGCTTTGCTGGGATCTCCATGATTCGATCTTTCTCAACCAGTATCTGAGTTACGGAGAGCAGGATGCCATTGTCAAGATTTAAAGCAAAGTTTAAGGAAACTTTAAGGTGCAGTGCAGCTGAAGCTCATTTAAATAACAAGAAGAGAATACCCATACCAACTCACATCCCCTATCTCAAGCTATCAATGATTTGTACTCAAGAAAATGACATCACCAAGATTTTAAGCCTTCTAAGTTTTAGGTAAATCAGCTACGCGAGTTAAAACCTACATAGTTATTGTCACCACTGGAATGAATTCAAGCGATTACAAAAGATTATAGAAAACAACTGTTGTGCACCTTCAAATGATTGGACCTCATTCGTTTCAGTTGGATTGCTGTAGATTTACAAGTCACTGAACTTAAAAAGTATGGACATGAAGATCAAGTTATGGAAGATAGGTTATGGAAGTTCAAGCATTCATCCCCCGACCCTCTCAACAAACTCGCAGAGGAAGAAAAGGTACTAGATAGTCCAGAATTTTGGCATCTTGTTTCTGACTAATAAGAGTTCACCATTGTCAGAGCAGCAAATAGACCCTCTCAACAACCAACATGCCAGCAAAATAAAACAACTATTGCCTAGAAAACTTACATCCAGAGCCCTCCGGGCTTCTCTCTCTATCCAAATGATTGCATGATCAGAAGTAGCATTACAAGAAAGAACTATATGCTCAAACCGTCCATCTACTGGTACTGCTGTCCTCACAACTGGGGGGAATCTTCCACATCTGCAAACCACATACAACATCCAATTGTCAAGAACGTTTTCTCCAGCCAAAAGTGACTAGAATATCTACTGACACAAAAACTGGTTTCAAGGCGACAGAGGCCATGAACACTGGATACTAATTTATAATTCTTTTGTTCTCCAATTTCAATTGTTTATTGATATAAAAAGACATTATCACTAGCCTACCCAGACTATAATAACTTGTAGCGATATGCTCCACTTCGCTAACTATATGACATAACTAAGCTCATTAGGCCTAAGTAGTACCTGAAAGGCTTTCTTTCAACAATGTGATAGAGGCGACCAGGTGCATACAGTCTCCTTGGATCTTTGATCATTGTCTCTTCCGATATACATGTATCCCTCATGCACCTTAAACATAGTAAGCAGGGCAAACTGTTGAAGAATAAAACTAGCAGAATCAGTGAGCTGGAATTATACTGGACAACACATTGGATAAAAATTTAAAAAGAAAAAGGGAAGTTCATAGTCTTTAGAGTATCTAATAATTAATGCCATTGCCTAGCTACATTCTTAAATAAAAGATATCCCTTTGCTAAAACAAGTGCAAGCACTTTGTTCTACAAGCCTCCCTTTGCTAACATAAATTTAGTCATGTTGTGCCTCAAAAAGAGCCTTGCAAGCAGTTGATGCAGATATGGTCTAGCTTTTTCAACAAGACCAGGAAAAAATTTAATAACCTTATAAGCTGTGAAAAAATATGTAATTGAAAAACATAATCTTTACCAGAAAAGTGACTTGAAAATGTCTTCCAAGGGGGTGGCTGTCCGTGGTAAGAAATCATCCTGGTTCAATGAAATAATCCACGCATTTAGCAACTTCATCAGAGGTTCTTCAGGTAAAATCCCAATGACAAACAGAGGCAAGTATATCTATGAGCACTAATGCTCTCCAAACCGCAACCCATGGATATATTCTTTACTCAAGGTTCTTAACGGCAAAAAAGTATATTCAAGTGAATGAGTAAATCAAATATTTCAACCCTTTCATTGCGATAAAACTCAAGTCATTTTGCAGCAACAGTTCATGAACGTGCGACTACTAAAAATCTTATTCTCTTGCCTAAAACGAGGAAATAAAAGCTTCAAATCAGGGGAGCACCATACACTGGGTCTCCCTGTGAATAACAGTTTTCTAAAAGTTGAAACAAGGAAACTTTAGGAACATTTTCTTGGATATTGATCGGTTATGAAATAAGAAGAAGCTATAGCCAAGAGAACCTTTTTATAGAAAGGAAGGTAAAATGTAATATCACAGATATATAATGCAGGGTATCAGCAAAGCAAAAGGAGTGTAAAATTTGTTAAGGTTTCTTTAGATGCCTATCTTCTGATTGTTTTCCATATATATGACATGGATAAAAACTTGCCTGAAGCACTACAGAATTGATAACATCTGCATATCTGACAGCCAAATTAAGTGACATACATCTTGCAGGTGCAACGGCATAGCATCTGATCCTCCTTCTTTCAATGTTTCCCAATTTATCTTTATGAAGCACTACCACTAGCGCCAACATTGCTGCTACACCTGACCCTAGAGAATGACCTGTAAAAGTCAGTGTGTAATTCGGATACTTCTCCACTAATTCCTTCAAAACAACACACTCCGCTTCCAAAACCCAACCAGCAGCCTTCAATAGCCCGTTGTGGACATACCCACCATCAATTTTCCTTTTCCCTAGCTTATTATCCAAAAGTACAGCATAGTCACTCTCCTTTGCCAAATTAAGGCCCCTAATGGCTAGAACTATATCAGCATGATCATGATCAAGATACAACATATATGGTGGCGCCATTCCATGAGTATCTTCATAAGTTCTTTTCAGGATTAACCAATCTGGGTTTATTCCGTACCCTCCAGGAGGTTCCCAAAGAGGGTGCCGAAGATCATCTTCATAAACCGCTAGTATATAGCGGCAAAGGCGAGGAACTGGCTCAAATTCTTCTGCAGTTGCAAGACCCCAACTCTCACTGTCACGACCTCCAGTGTGGAGACATCGTTTCCATGCCCAGCGAGCGCAAGCTAGACAATACACACACTCAAGGAGAGGTAGGCCACATAAGATTGACATTGGTGCCTAGAGTCTAATCTCACTAACATAGATCAAGGGGCATGGATTTAGCAGGAAAATGAATAAAGAACCTGGGGAAATAATATCAAAATAGATGGATGATTCAAAATGTGCCTCACTGTCAGAGGAAAGAACTCAATAGGGGTACTAGAAATTGATTCAAAACATGAGGTAAGGTTTCAAAGGAGCGTTGAAATGGCGAGAATTTCAGTATTTAATAATGTGTTCTAAAATCTATTGAACTATAAAATGAGTAAGATGAGTGGCAAAAAGACCAAGTCCACAAAAACTCAATGGGCTAATAACATCGAAAATATTACGAGCAGTAGAAACAGAATCACACCCCAGAAGCTTCCTTCCAAAAACAAAATGGCATACAAGAAAGGATCTCAATTCTCAAATCAAACAAGAATAGAGTGACAGAAATGGAAATTGTAGAAAACAATACAAACAAGAAGTGACCGAGAGAAATTTGACAGCATCAATGAATAATGTGCACAGGAGTGGAAACACCACTCACCCAAAGCTTGAAACTTTACAAATTAATGGGGAGCCCAGAAGTTGACTTTTTGAAACAAAAACTGATCTGGGTCTCCACTACTAAGCTTTTGGTTCTCGAGTAAAAAATAAAAAGGATAGAAAGAGGGACAAAAGTAAGAGATACCCGTGATCAGAATTTTGTTGAGCTGTGAAAGATCAAAACTTGAGAGGGCAACATTCATGGAAAACATAGAAGGATTTCATTCCATCCAAATAACTTGAAGCATGTGCTTTCTTACTCTGTCAAGAAGACGACAGTTCTCTTCTTCTTCGTATCTTCTTCTGGGTGCGTGAGACCCGCAAATATAAGGAGTTTGACCCTGTAGACTTGCGGGGGGTGGTGATGGTATTACCTAGTTGTAATAATTAACAAAAATTGGCAGGAAATTAAGTACAGTGAATTAATTCATTGATTATCCAATAAAAAAAAGACACAAAATTTAAAGGGCTACCACTTTGTTTTAACTACAAGTCAAACAGAGGTTAGAGGGGGAAACTGCAAAGGAAGTTGTTGAAACGTGAAGACTTAATGATTTGTACTCCTTCGTATAGGAATAAGAGGGCAGAACATGGACACGGACAAATGAAACATGATTCGAAAAAGGTTGATTTGCTTCGGTCACAGCCAGGTAGTGGTCTCTTTTTTTTTCCCTTTAAAAAATGGTTAATTTATTAAAAAAAAATTATAATACTTTATTCTTTATATTTTTTTTATTATTATTATAAAATTTGGTAGCCCATGTCGGTTGCGAACTGAATTAATCATCCTTACAAAAATAAAAAACTACTCACTGCTATGATTTTTTCTTATAATAAATATTTTTTTAAGTTTAAATATTCTTTTTTTGGTAATTTTTTTAAGTAAAAAAATTCAAATCGTGAATTTTTATAAGTGTAACAAACTCATTATTATTAGATTAGAAGCTTATTGGTTTATATTTTGATTAGTTTTTATTTTGTATTATTAATTGAATTTTTTTCAATATTTTACTATGAAGATGTCGAACTCATTAAAAATAATAAAAAAAAACATTAATTTAATGTGTCTTTTAACTAAACATTCTCGTAAAAACACATTGATGACATAGCAAGTACACATAAATCCATATGAATGTTAAACTTTTATGATAACTTTGTTTGACAAAAGAATTTACAATTTTCTAATTTCAAAAAAGATACTTGATAAGAATTTTCATTATTTATTTATTTATTTATTATTATTATGCAGTAGATATTGTATTTCAGACGTTATTTTGTGACCAGATAATTGTATGGTCTTGGGACGTTTCGCCTCGAGGTTTAAGACACATGTCCTAAGGACAAATATTCCTCACAATTTCACGTTTCCTTTGTACATGATGAGGAAACTTTGCCTGCTTTTCTGAAAAATATATGGTCAGTTTCCAAAGGGAAAAACTTTATTTCGTCCATTTCGCTAATCAATGACCTTATAAATTTTATAATGTTCAAAAAATAATTAGTGATATATATAATATTTATTTTATAAATTTATTTTGAGAAAAAAATAAACACATCGAATCACATACGGACGCACTAAAAGTGATAAAAAAAATTATACATTCATTTATTTTTTTATTTTCTCTCTTCTTTCTTTTTTTTTTTTTTTATTTACTTATCTATTCAAAATGGATCTATGAAGTAACTATTATATATGTCGTTATTTATTTTTTAAATATTATAAAATTTCTCATGGACATCTATCAAGTAACTTGTAACCTAATGATATAAGAGATCACAAATTTAAATTTTAAGAGACTAACGATAGCTAACAAATGCAATGTTATTTTGTCAACCGAAAACAAAATATATATAATGAAAAGTCATTCTAAATACATATGAATGTATAGAACATGATTGTTTTTTAAGTTAAAAATATAGTTCGTAAATTGTGATTATTTATTAGACTTTCAATAAAAGAACGTTAATCTTCTTAGGCAATCAAGGTTCACTGAGCTTTAAATGAAGATTGAAGAAGGGGCAAACATCAAAGATGCCCTTAAATTGTATTTCAAATTTCAATTAGGTTTTAAAATTCTCAAAAACTATCAATTAAGTCTTTAATCCAAACTCTCCCGATTTATTAACAAAAAATATCGAGCTTCATATGAAATAATAATTATTATTTTTTTGCACTTAAATTATAATCTGAAAAAACGAATTTTTTTAACGTTGTTGGATGATTAAAAAGGATGGAATTGAATTACTAACTTCAAACATGCCCACAAACTATAACTCAAGTTTTTTCCATACATTTTCAAGAATTCTCAATTTAAAATTTTTTAATATAAAAAATTCACATTTTTTTTTTAAAAAAGAGAGAATTCTTGTATCCAGGTTTGTCAAAAAAAAAAAAAAAAAGTGCTACTGTTAGCTTCTGACCGAATTGGGCTAATAATTTTATTTGGGCTAAGCCCATTTATAAAGGAAAGAAAGCCCTTCATTAATCCGCTGAAAGACTAAATTACCCCTCCGCTTTCCCTGCAAACTATATATAAAGCAGGAGATTGATAAACCCTAGTTTCTCTGCTTCTGCTCATACTTGCCGCTGCTACTGACCTGAGCTGAGGTACCATCACAAATCCATTCTCCTCTCTCGTTGAGCAGTATTGAGTTTAATCTATTCATATAGTTTTTAAGCTAGGTTCTGTAAATTTCGTTTCTTTCTTGATATTAAACTTGTTTTAGGTTGTAAAAGAAACGGAAACTTTAGATCAATCTGTCTGTTGGTTACCTTGTTATTCATATCAGAGCTTCTTCTTCTTCTTCTTCTTTTGCTACAGTTTTGAAACCCATTTATGGTTTCTTATGATTTGTGGTATGGAGTCTTTTGTTAGTCTTTGTTCCGTGCTGGATAGGTTGGAATGTAGTTGGAGTGAAATGAGCTAAAATGTGGTGTGACTGAGTACTTGGATATTGAATGGTTTGAATCTGATTTATTTAACACGATGATGCTGGTTTGTTTGTGCGCTGAATTAATCTTTTCTGTTTCAGCAATGGCTCCAAAACAGCCGAACACCGGTCTCTTTGTTGGTTTGAACAAGGGGCACATAGTTACGAAGAAGGAATTAGCTCCACGACCTTCTGATCGCAAAGGGGTAAGTAACTTTTTACCAAGCAAGTTCCTTTTGTTCGTTTTGCTTAATCTGATTTTGTACCCTTGAAAGGTGACTGTGTCTATGTTGATACAGTTTGTAATAGATAAGTAGTAACTTAGAATCTTTTTGCTGTAGGCATTACATTACTGTTCTTCCTTGGATTTATCTGTGGACATTTTAGGCCATTTGAGATTAACAACTTGTTCAACAAGACTATTATTGTTTTTGTATAATAAATTGCTAATATTTTGATATGGTCTCTTACCCATGTATGTGTTGATTGCAGAAATCTAGCAAAAGGGTTCTCTTTATCAGGAGTTTGATCAGGGAAGTTGCTGGCTTTGCACCTTATGAGAAGAGGATCACTGAGCTTCTCAAGGTTGGCAAGGACAAGCGTGCTTTGAAGGTGGCTAAGAGAAAGCTTGGGACACACAAAAGAGCCAAGAAGAAGCGTGAGGAGATGTCCAGTGTTCTCCGTAAGATGAGGTACATTTCTAGGAAATCCAGTTTTCCTTCAATTGTTTTAGCTAATGTGGTTGGTAGATTTGCAAATGTACTTTAAGTCCAAGTTTTATGCTATGTGATGGTTTCTTATTGCCTGTTGTGGTAATGTTTCCTGCAGGGCTGCTGGTGGTGGTGAGAAGAAGAAGTGATTTGATTTGAAGTCTCTTGCTATTAGATGCTAGTTAGAGGAACCTTTTTGTTCAGAGAAACAATGCCCGGAAACTTGTTTGTTTTAATTTTCAGCAAATTGTGTTGCTTTTTAATCAAGAACTAAATGTTATGTACCTCATTTGTGATCTGAATTGGTTCAAATTAATTGCTGCTATTTGAAAGGGTGATTTTTTTAATTAAACTTTTCTTCTTTCGGGGGACTAAGAGTGAACATTTGAGAACTCAAATGTTGATGCTTGCTTCAGTAGCTAGTGCTTTTAAGATAACTCAAATAGCGTTTCTTGCCTAAACGGATTCTGGTACTGCTGATCTGCCTGTGGCTTCCTGACGCATGTGAATATTGGGAAGGGTTTTTTGAGGCATGAATAAAACCCTTTCATGGTATCTCATGCTGTTCTGTTGCCTTCAACCCTTTCTATAAGCCTGGCACAGGTAGGTTTGCAGTGGCGCAGGTTATTGACTGATGCATGTGCTTAAGCTATCAATCTTTCGTTTTAGGCTGCGAGAATGGTGTAGATTCATGGTGCAATTTATTAGAAGTGGAATCTTCATGATTGAACATGGAAAGCTAATGAATCTTAGCAAGACGTAACTGAGCAGAGTTTCCTTTTGAACTGTCAGACACTGTTTCTTATTTGTTTGGCAGTATAATCAAGAGGCTGTGCAATATTCTCTTCACTCAAATGATAGCTATCCACACAAATCTCATGAGAGCCGAAATCATTTCCACTTCACACGAATTAAAATACTGAGCTACATTTTCTTTGAGATTGTAAATTGTGTCGACACCCAATGAACATTTTTCAAAGGTGGGTGGAGCTAATGAAAATTGATACAATGAAATTTTACACCACTAATTTCTCGGTGATGGTTGCCTGCAAAATTTATTACTGGTACATTAAGAAGAAACAGGAGGATGGAGATGGTTCATGATTTGAACTTCTGTGTGAGTTTCTCTACTCCTTCCCTGCAATCTTCTGCCACCCGCTTTGTGCTTTCCTTGACAGCCGAACTAAATTCTGTAGTATGTTTCTGCAACTCTTGCATTGATCCTACTGCCTTCTCCTTGATGGCAAAACTAAATTCAGTTGTGTTCTGCTGCAACTCTTGCATCGATGCCCGTGTCTTTGAGATGGTGGCTTCTTTAAGTTCTGTGGTCCGTACACATGCCTCTGTGATCCACTCCCTCAGAACTGAGATTAAGACCTGTATCTTCTGTATGATTTTATCAATTACTACTCGAGATTTACCTCTAACGCTATCTGCCATTAGCTTGAGCCTGTTCACCAAGTTCTCAGCCCTGTTAACAGTTCCTTCAATAGAAGTGACTTGCTTTGCAGCAGTCAGCCATGTAACTCCAATAGAACTCTCTTCATTAAGATCGCTGTCAACGACCACCTTGATGCCATGCTTCTCCCACCGATATCTAGCCTCTTCAAGGGCTTTTGCCTGCTCTCTTGCTCTTTTTGCCTCATCTTCAGCCCAAGCCCTGAAGATAGATGAGAGCCGGTTGTAATTAGTTATAGTCATGGTTTTCGCTGTGGGGCAATCCATTACATAACTAAAAGTTGAGGACCACGTGCATTACAGGTTTATATTGGCCAGTCATGCAATAGACAATTATTGCTTTCTTACCTGGCAATAGACAAGGCTTTCCGCTCAACCTCTAGGTCATGCTGTAAGCTAGAGATCTCCTGCTTTTCATTCTCTGCTTCTTTTTGAAGTTTGCTAATCCTTTCCTTTTCATAAGATATCTCCACCTTGTTGCTCAAAAGGTTTTGCAACTGCTCCTCCAATTCACGCCTTAACTTGGAAAGAACTTCCATTTCAGATTCAATAGCAGCGTGCTCCTTCATCAATGCAATACCATCCTTCTCCCTCTCAGCTCTTAACCTTTCTAATTCACACCTTGCCTCTTCAGCCATTTTCTCTACAGCATTAATCTTTTCCCTCTCCATTGAAAGCTCCTTCTCAAAACTTGCATTTATATCCTGTTCGACTTGAGCTACTAAAGCATTGTGTGCAGAAACTGCATTTTCTGCCACAGATTCTGCTTCAATACGTGCAAGCTCCTCACTAACTAGGTCAGAAGCCTCACCAGTTGCAATAGCAACAGCAGCTTGCGCCTTTGTGACAGGTTTATTGGGCTGAAACAATCTTGTGCAACCTTTAGGGAGACAAAGGAGGCAGTTGGTGGCTTAGGCATCTCAATTATCCAATTCAACTCAAAATTAAGAAAATATGGTTGGAGGCTAACATGACTCACCAAATGCAAGTGATATAATTCCTTGATCTCCTGCAGACAAGTCAGCCACAAGTGCAGGCCAAGCATCTGGGTTTATCTTGTCAATGTCTCTAAACCCAGAAAGCTCGTACAGCATCTGTAATTGATTGCAATGGAAGATTAACACTCACCGATAACATTTTGACTGCATGTAAACAGTAGCAAAAGAGAGATTAAGAAAGAAAAAAAAGAGTGACGTTGTGACCTTTTTATCAGCTTCTGGAAGTTGACTTTTATCAAGGGCCATCTTCCAACTTACAAGGTCCTGGCGTGATAAAGGGCTGCAGTGGTAAATCTTGATGAGTACAATAACAAAGAGACGAATCACAAAATCATAAAAAATAATACTGCAGCACATCTTGGAAACAGAAGACAGGGAGATCCCAAAAGAAGAGTATTGAGCAAATTCTTCCATGGTTAATTCAGAAGGATAGAACAAATAAAGGATGGTGAGGGTGAATTTAGCCATGGGAGAATTTACACCAGTGTCTCTACATAAAACCATAATGCTAAGGCTAGGTAGCATCTTCATATATGATGCATCAATACTAAGTAAAGTACAATTGGAAGATAACATAGGGGCTCCAAATTCTAGAAAGGACAAAAACCAGTCCAATTGTGAGATAACATAGGAATCTTAATTCATTAAGAATTAAACAAGGTGTCAAAATCAGTACAGTTAATATTGCAGGGAAACTGTTATCACCTTTCAGCAGCAAAGTAAAATGGACCTTGGCTTTCAACTGAAGAAGAAAGCAAATCACGACTTGAAAGCTTGCTTGAGATAAGTCCTGCTTCAGCTAAGCCTGAAAAAGATATGGCTCAGTTAAAACCATAATGCAGTGGAATAAAGGCTTGCTGCTAAAATTACAATTGAAGATCTTAATTGCAGTTCAAACCTTGAATGGATGAAAAATCAGGGTCATCAGGTGTGATATCATCAAATGCAAGTTCAGTGACATTCTCTATGTACATCGCAGGATATACTTTTGACACCGTGCTCCTTCAAGTAATCAGAAGGCAGTCAAAACACATAGTCTAAGATTCTGATGAGCACTTTGCATTGCTAGTTGGATGCTAATCCTCGAGCTCAGTGCTAGATGAGTCATACTAACAAGAAAGATGCATACCTTGAAAGAGCACTGCTAGCAGCCACTAACCAACGAGCATATTCACGGCGTGTACATAGATCACCAGGTTGAACATCAGCCTCAATAACCTGGAATTATTATTATTTATTTATTTTTTAAAAAAAAAAAGAATTTCAAATTGGTTGTCCCCCTTTATCTATACAGGTTATACATGCAGGTTGCCACATCATCACTCTAAAATATTGGTAAGCAAAAACAATAGCAAAGATGTACCTTCAAAACTTGCAGTGCAGCTAACGCCTGCCCCTGAAGCTGATCAACAACTGCAGGAACTAGAACCTTTCCAGGAAGCACCTGCAAGGCTGCAGAGACTGCACATGGAGCAGGTATACCAGCAGAGGAGAAAGAAATTTCAGGAGTTGATGGTTCAAAAAATGGCTTGCTTTCCTTCATCTCATTATTGGCAATTTCTTTTTTGTTTGCAAATGGATTGACTGAAGCTGACTCAGACACTGTTTCCAAGGAATCACTTTCAGCTACATAATTCACTTCCAGGGAAGAACTATTTCTCTCAGCTTTGTCCTGAGTTGTATTGCTCAGATCAAGATTTTCTTTGGTTACAAGTGAGGCTACAGTCTCAATATCATCTTTGGGAACAATTTGAGGTTCTGAACTTGTATCCATGGGTGAACTGTCTGAAATATTCACACCCACAGGCTCACTGGGTTCACGACTGGTGGGAGTAGAAGAATTCAATGAAGGATCAAAGTTCTCATTTACCTTTGACACAGGCAATTCACTCTGGTGGTCTGTGTTAAGATTTGTTATATCTGATACGTTGCTAGGATCTACACTTACAGGGTCTTGTTCTATTTCAAAAGTTGATACAGCGGAACTTGCATCAATTTCAGAACTGGGCAAATTCTCTGAGCTGGGTGTTGTTTCAGGAGCAACAGACTTATCATCAGAACTTGATTCATATTGCAAATCTTCTTGAACATAATCATTATTACCAGTATCACTGACCCTAGTAGCATAATCGACATTGTCTACAGTTGAGGTCTCTTTATTGTCACCAAGTTTATTTTCACTGGGTTCTTCATTAAGTTCTGTAGATGAAGAAAGATCCGTTTGTCTACCTGTCTTGCTTTCCAGATCACTATCATTGCTTTCCTCATTTTTACTCTCTTCAACTTTATCATCCTCCTTGTCAGAGGCCAATGAAACTTCCTGCTGACTTGTGAATGACTCCATCTGTTGTTTTGGTCCTGTATGCAGGATTACAATAAAGCATTGGTACAGTTGGACACCAAGGAGAAGAGAAATTCAAAAGCTAAAAACATTTTAGTTAAGCCTAGTTGTTTATCAAACACAGGACACTCAAACCGAAAGATTAGGCAACAGCAATCAGAAGACTGTGTTAGATTCAATTGAGCATCTTTTCTTTATTTCATTTCACTATTTATTATTATTATTTTGTTGAGCAGGAAAAATAACACCAGATAGCCTATAGTTTTGATATTTTTATATCAGTTGGCCATATAATTCTTCTAAGAATAGAGGCAGCCACTTACTGGAAGTGCTCCGCTTGCTTAATGACAATGCTGCAAAGGTAAGCCCTGCAAATAGGAGAACCCCAGCTACTCCAGCTCCCACAATCCCTGAAAGCAAACTACTTCCAAAGTGTAACTATTCCATTAAAAACACAAAAATGAAACCTTTAAAACCATTCTCACATTAACACGAAAATGCAGTAATAATAATCCAACAAAAGAATTCATATACAAAACAAGTATGACACGAATTAACAGCAACAAAGTTAATACCTATGTTCAAGTTAGTCAATATCATTCACTCATGTGATTATAGTTAAAACCAACAATTACAGATTCTATATCTAAAAAAACCATATCCATATTTCATTTCTCAAAACTGCCACAAAATCGACAATAAAAATGGAACTTTTTGCCTCCTTTTATGCCAAATTTTCTCATTCGCAGTTAAACGTTGACAAGCACAGATTCTAAATAAGGAAGAAAAAATCTCAAAAGCACACAAACTACTTGAGAGAGCTACATTTTGCATTACAAGCTAAACAAATAAAAACCCATCATTCATTTCTCAAAATTAACTAAAAAAAAGCCAAAAATCGAAACTTTTAATTTCATTACCTTCAAGCCATTTCTTCCTCTGATGCTCAGTAGACTGATCACTACCATTATCCGAATCAGACCATCCAGCAAAGCTATCCGCAGACGAACTTGACCCGACCCACGAACCTCCATTACGACGCCGTTCATTTTGAGCCAGAAAGAGTAAGCGAAGGGTACTATCTACCTCCTTCTTCCTCATCCAAGGCCGTGTTAGCGTTGCAGGTGATTTTCTACAGTTATGGCAAGCCATGGCTAACCGAAGCTGGAGAGAGGTTGGAGAACACGTGGCAGCCATTGAAGATACCATCTGGGTTTGGGTTTGATTTGGATTTTATGGAGTCAAAATTTGAAATTGGGGATAGGAAAGAGGTGAATCGAGATTGAATTTGGAAGAAGCTTTTAGGGTTTTTGATTGTTTTTCTTATCTATCTATTTATTCCAAAGGGGCTTGTGCTAAGAGAGTGAAGGAGTGTGAGTGTGTGTGTGTGTGCGTTTTTGTTTTTCTGTTTTTTTCACTGTTTTTTTTTTTTTTTAAAGTAGAAAGAAATGTAATTTCAATTTCCTTTTGGCACCTTCTATGTTTAACCTACTCAATTTCCATATATATATATATATATATATATATATATATATATATATATATATATATTTTAGTCAAGCAATTTCAAGTTTTAATAATTCGCATTATCTAGTTTAAGAACTTATATTTTCTAATTAATTAATTTATCAACAAAAAAAAATACCTTGTAAGCTATTTCATAAGCAAGTAAATTTGGATATTAAAAAAAATTATTATAAAAAAATTCTTAAAAAAACTAAGAAAAATCAACTATCTTGTAATTTTTTAAGTATACGAAGAAGGTAATATATATAGTACAATTAAATATGAAGTTTAAAAATTAAATTACAAAAGTGTTATGAGCATTAAAAGATTAACATAAAACTTAATGGTAATTTGATTTTTAGAAATGACCTTATATGTAATTTTCTTCTAAGCATCGTGAACTTGTCATTTTAAATTGATATGAATTATTCACATGATTTACTTGTTTGTAAATCAAATTCTTAAAAATTTTAAACAATTGTTTTAAGTTTTGCATTTACATAGATGAATTAGAAGAGATTTTGTGTTCAATAAACTCTTTTTTTATTAAAGTTATTGCTCATAGTGAGTAAGTGGAAAACAATAAATACCATAAATTAATTAATAAAAATTTGCATTACCAAATATTTATTAAATAATTGTTTTCAATTATAATAATTTTAGAAACAATTTGAAATATTGGAAGAAACTCAAATAGTGTCATCTTTCATCATCCATAACTCAAAATATTTATTTCTTGATTATTTTCTTTTCTTGATTTTGTAGGGTTTTTTTTTTTCTTTTTTCCCTTTTTTCTCGCGGACTCGGTCGATGACTACTAGTCAAATTCTATCGTTTGCTAAGGATTTAAGTTGTTTTAAGTTCGTACGCTACTTCGTCATCGCGAGAACACTTGTGTGTTGCTCATCCAAAGCAGATTTTGAAGAAGAAGTAGCCATTTGCAACAAAATTAAAATTAAAATAAAGATAGATGATTCAATACTTCGTTTTCTTTTAGTTTTAATCAATTTTAGTTTTTATTATTTCTTAAATTTTAAATATTTTTTATTCTTTTAGTTTTAAAATTTCTTTAGTTTTTAGTATTTCTTGATTCTTTTAGTTTTAAGCAACTTTAGTTTTTTAATATTTCTTGATTATTTTCTTTTCTTGATTTTGTACGTATTTATGTACATATGTATTCTTAATTTATATTCGTGTTACATATAATTGAAAAGAATTGGTTTAAATTAAAAACGGAGAAAACCTATCGATATACCTCATATATTTTACAATTTATCAATCATATCTTTCTATAAAACTAATCAATCAGTTGTAACTCCATGATTAATAAATATTGTAATACAAACGGACACACTGATAGATTCTCCTTAAAAATGGTATGTAATGATATAATGTTAGAAAAAAAAAATAATTATCATTTTAAAGAGTATATATATATATATATCTTATCTATTAATGTTAAAATTTTGAAAGACCATAACCTCATAATAATTGGGATATTGATCCAGATCCTTCCATACATACCTAGTGAATACTATTTTCATACTTTTTTTCCATGGCAATTTCCTCTGTCATGTTTCCTTATGCAAATTATTACCATCCAGCCATAGTTTAAAATCGCATACGGTTGAAGAAACGATAACAATCGTCATCACAACTTGTTATAATACTAAAATAACAATAACGATATGCTTTAAAATCGTTACATAACGACCGCTGTATAACGTAACGACCATTATTTAAAACTAAATTTACCACTATTATCCCTGTCCTCCTCTTCCTCCCTCATCGTTGTCATCACAATTGCCACTAGTGTCCCTGTCCTCCTCCCCATCATTGTCGCTACAGTCCCCATCCTCCTCATTGTTGCACCGTCATAATTACATTAATAGTAACGGAAGGAAGGTGGATAATTGCATGCGAGAACAGACTCAGAAGGGAGATAACCATGTTTTAGTCGACAGTTATCAACCAACCATGAGAAGAGCCACAACATCTTGTAGCGCAAGGTACTGACAATTGGAATTCAGAAACTTTTTTGATCTCTCAAGCTATACAAACCCCGTTTATCCTCATTCATCTTCGGTTGCGATTGTTGCTGATGTAGAATGTCAGACCTATTTTTCAACCCTTCGTCCTGAAAGTGCCCTATCGCAATAGAAAGCCATTGCTTACACACCAAATATGGGAATGAGAACCAACTTGTTCATAATGCAACACAAGAGGTCATCAGGAAGCCAGGCCAAAGACTCAGGGGTTAGAGATAGAAGCCATAGCCAATGGCTGACTATCGAACGAGATGATCAAGGAGAATAAGGATTGTTAAACTATAAGAAGAAAGAAGAAAATAAGTGACAAATACATTGAAAAACATAGAGCGCAGAGCCATTGCCCAAAAATTTGCAAAAATTAAATAAAAAAGAAAAAAGTGTAACCTCAGCTAAACTTTGGAAGTGGATGACCTAAAGTTGTTCATTCAAGGATTGGCTTACAGATACAAATACAAAGAATTGTACAACAAAATTATGATTAAAATAAAAAAACATTTACAACATTTAATTTCAATTACAGCAAATAAAACTGTGAATATAGATACTCGCGTATCTTATAATAATCTTCACATAAAGGACCTTCAATGATAATTTGTTGAGTGCCAGAAGCCCCACCCTACATAAAATTCAAAAAAAAAAAAACAGTCGATGAGTAAAAAGGAATACTCTCTTTTCATTCACAAAGCAGAAGTAATGGCTGACCTTTTGGCTTGGATTCCCAACTTTGCGCAACGTCACGTACTCTCCACATCGCAATGCCCCACCAGCAAATTCTACCTGTAAAGATTATCACTCATGAATCTTTGTTTATAAATACTCATTGATGTGCTCCGTGCAAAGTTTTCTTGTAAAACAGAAATGGGAAAAAAGAGTAACCTGAACGCCCTTGCTGGCCAGAAACTGTTTGAAATCTGCCATTTTCAGATCACCAACAAGAACAGATTTATGTGGAGGGGGTGGAGATGAGAGGGGCAGTAATGACAGCATGTCATTCTCCGTCTTCCCTACTTCAGCATCAACCCAGGCTACTTCATAGTCTCCTAACTGAAATTGCAGAATACGTTAGACACAATGAGTAGTGCATGCAGATAATTTAAAATTGTTGAACATCATAAATGTTGGTATGTGGAGATGATTACCTTTTTAAATAGCACATTGCTCATCAGCTTCTCTGAAAGTTGTACCTGTGTATCACAATAGATCGAAAAATAAATCCTGGTTGCTGAAAATAACTTGCCTCATAGAAATCAAAGTTTTCCTGCTTTTGTACCTTGTATGCACACAAATCAGAGGTAACATCAACTGTCTCGTCAATTTGGGGAGCATAAACCTGGACAGTCTTTATACTCAAGAAATGCTGCTTCAAGTGTTCTGTGGCCTCAGCTGATCCATGCACCAAAACCTTCAAGCAAAAGAGATAAAGAAAATGTGGTTAATTATTTCAGTAAGGTTTTCATATATATATATATATAACTCACACACCCAAGGCTCTAAACAAAACTAGTCTACTAGGATTTGAACTCGTGACCTCTTATTACAAGAGATCACTACCACTAGGCTATAAGCTCTTTGGTAAACGGAAGCTAATTATTTCAGTAAGGTCTCCTCCACATAGATTGCCTAAAAGTGCCAAGCTTTGTGCATAATAAGCATCATGGAGTTGATCCACCCATATCAATGGACATTAAACAGACACATCCTACTTGAAGGGCATTTTGAAGCTCACTGACTTTTGAGCTTCAACCGAACAGGCAAAAAAAGAACACCCTCGACCTGGTGACTTTTCTAATGCTTCAGAAAAAGTGCTGTCCATCCACTTTGAATAACACTACGGCTGTTATGCTTATGAATGCATATTGTGCCAAATAAGGGCAATAAAACCGCATGCAAACAACCCAAGAAAAATTCCTATTGCTAAGCAACTTGCTACAACAAAGACTATAGCACCAAGGAACGGAATTTCCAGCTGTTATTATAAATCTTATAATGAACATGTTAAATTATATGAGTTGCCAAGCACAAAAGGTTTTCTTACAAGCTTCAAGGGAGCCACGTGGGTAAGAATTGATTTAATTGAGCGTCCATCAGAACGCCCTTCATAGTCCATGTAAATCAATGAACATTTCACTTGCACCTGATCACCATTGAAGAACAAAGATTCAGTAATATGATACCCTTTCCTCACCCTATCAAAAAGAACCGATCAAACTTATTCACACAAAGCTCCAGCCATATTCAACTTACAGTCAGTTCATTAGACACAACTTTTGAAGGCTTGGTATCAAGTATCAAACTAGCAGACTCTTCATCAAGTTTTCCGTCAATATCTCCACCAACCTGCAACGAAAGATGAAGTATATGATAATATTGCAACCATATATAAGGAAGGAGATAAAAGATAGAAGTCAAACTATCAACTTCACCAAAATGAGGACATTCCATCGCTGAATATCACAGATAAAGCAACCAAGAAAGCAGATGTTTCACACAGAAAACTTACATGCATAGTTGTTTGGTCCATGTCTTCATCATGAAGTACATAATCATCAGGATTTATGACTTCGCCAAATTCATCCCACTCTGAGCTATTCTCATAGACTGGAAACATTGGTGCAGCACTGGTGGACGGAGGAACAAATCCATCAATTAATATGTCTCGGTATCCAGTCCCATGTGAACCAACAGCTGCAAGGTACAGTCATAAGGATTTAGTGGTACACAAGATAATGGAGCAATTAAAGGAAATCACAGCAGTGGTTTATCATAAAATGGAAGAAAATACCATCTAGCGGAGCATGCGTGTTGCTAGAATCAACGACCATTGGATCACTCAAATTGTTATCAGGCCCATGAGACACTTTTGATTCCTCCTCTTTGATCAGACTAGCTTTTAGTTCCTCTTCCTTCTTTAACCGCTTTTGCTCTTCTTCATAAGCAATTAACTCATCCCCAACCAGGGGAACCCTCTTTGAGATGGTCATTTTCACAGCCTTTGGAGGTGGATCTGCCTGAAGCATGCGAGCTAACGTGCCAAACTACATGTACACAGGCAGATCTCAGGATATGCATTGTAACCCCCGTAAAAAGAAATCTATTGCCGTAAAGCGACACGTACTAAAATATTTATATGTAAGCATATATTAAGTGTAAGTATAATTCTCATTACATTATGAGAAATTATTGACTGAAATGAATGAATTATGTTAAATTAAAGTTATTGTGCTTGAGATTAATGATTTAATTAATAAAGAAATTAAGTATGCAAAATCGATGTTTTGATGCTTACATTCTGTCTGAAATTTTGTGTGATTTATTTGAGAACCTTGGAGTGATTTTTGATTAAAACTCAAAGAATGAAAGTTGTTCCTCTATGTCTCTAATATCTCTCTATAAAATTTCATAATTTTTAGACCAATACATTAAGAGTTATATCCATTATGGTGAGGGTTGTTTCGAAATGCATTCTGCTGAAATTCGGAAGAAGAATCGCCCGAATCTTGTGGAATTTATTTGATGCGTTAAATTGATTTTTGAGAAAAACTTAAAGAATAAAAGTTTATGTGTCTAGTATCTCTATATAAAATTTTTTGATTTTTAGATTTATATATAAAAAGTTATAACCGTATTAGTACATATCATTCTAGACACAATCCTCGTTGGACAAATTTATCCTTATACTTTAAAAATTCATTGTGAGTCGTATGTTGACCTAAATTTTGAATGTGTTACCTTGATACGTCTAGTTTCTCATATAAAAATCATAGGATTTAATGGTGTCTATAAGTGGAACGTTTCGTTGGAGAAGAGGTCTGTCATGTAAGATAGCTTCTCCAAACAAACTTGAGATGTATGTGTGTAATTGGGACCAAACAAATTTAGAGACTTAATTAGCTTAATTAATATATGAAATAAGATACTATAAGCGTTTATTTAGCTTAATTAAAAGGGTGAGACACCTAGCAATTTCATTAAATGCCCTAAGACAACTCACCATGCCAGCTCACTTGTAGCTGTTATGCAAATCCGTCCATTGCTTCATGAAATATCCATTTACTTTACACCTTACCAAATAAATTTAAGCCACATGTATTTATACTTAGGGAAAGGAAATGGGAGGTATATCTATATAGAAATAGTGGAAGTTGGCTGAAGGTTTAGGCAAAAAGAAAAGAAACTCGTAACACACGAGAGAAAAACGTGATAGTGAGGAGAGAAAGAAAAGGAAGAGAAAGGAAAGGAAAGAAAGAAGGGGAGAACCTAAACAACATTAAGGAAACTAAAGCAAAGTAAGTAGGTTTATTTTCATGCCTTTAGTCCTCTTTTTAAGGTATTTAAGATATGGGTTGGTTGTATTATAAGCTTGGTTTTGTTGGTGGATTTGTGATATATTGTTTTCATCTATGTGTGGATGTTGTGTTTGTGATGTTTTATGATAATTATAATATTTTATGAATGTCCAAGTATGTGGTGATGAGTTTGATTGGACTTGGACTAAATTTAATTGGACTAAAACATGGTTAATGTGGGGTTGGAATGTATGGTTAAACTAGGGTTAGTGATGAGTAATTTCTGTCCGCATTTGGTATTGCCTATTCAAAGACTTTAGAATGATTTCTAGGTGAACCTCAAAGAATAAAACCAAGCTTATAATACAACCAATAATACAATCAACCCACATCTTAAATACCTTAAAAAGAGGACTAAAGGCATGAAAATAAACCTACTTACTTTGCTTTAGTTTCCTTAAGGTTGTTTAGGTTCTCCCCTTCTTTCTTTCCTTTCCTTTCTCTTCCTTTTCTTTCCTTTTTCTTTCTCTCCTCACTATCACGTTTTTCTCTCTTATGTGCTACGGGTTTCTTTCCTTTTTGCTTAAACTTTCAGCCAACTTCCACTCTTTCTATATATATATACCTCCCATTACCTTTCCCTAAGTTTAGATACATGTGGCTTAAATTTATTCGGTAAAGTGTAAAGTAAATGAATATTTCATGAAGCAATGGACGGATTTGCATGACAGCTACAAGTGAGCTGGCATGGTGAGTTGTCTTAGGGCATTTAATGAAATTGTTAGGTGTCTCACCCTTTTAATTAAGCTAAATAAACGCTTATAGTATCTTATTTCATGTATTAATTAACCTAATTAAGTCTCTAAATTCGTTTGATCCCAATTAAACACACACATCTCAAGTCTGTTTGGAGAAGCTATCTTACAGGACAGCCTCTTCTCCAACAAAAACGTTCCACTTATAGACACCATTAAATCCTATGATTTTTATATGAGAAACTAGACATATCAAGGTAACACATATCTAAAATTTAGGTCAAAATACCCAACATACGACTCACAATGAATTTTTAAAGTTTAAGGATAAATCGCCCTTAGGGCTTCTTGGGGGTAGCCAGGTTACTATCGGAGATTTGTAGAAGACTTCTCTAAGATAGCTAGGTCTCTTACTAATTTGATGAAAAAGAGCATTAAGTTCCAATGGACGGATGCTCGTGAGAAGAGCTTCCAAGAGCTGAAACGAAAGTTAGTTACTGCCCGGTACTAACCATTCCATCCGAAAATGAAAACTTTGTGGTGTATAGTGATGCTTCCAAGAATGGGTTAGGAGCGGTGCTAATGCAAAATGGAAAGGTGGTAGCCTATGCTTCACGACAATTGAAAGATTACGAGCGAGAATTATCCAACGCATGAACTGGAATTAACAACGGTTGTCTTTGCTTTAAAGATTTGCCAACATTATTTGTATGGAGCCCAATGTGAGATATATACGGACCATAAGAGTTTACGATATATATTCAACTAACTACCTATAAAATATTTTTATCATTAAACTTATGTATAAAAAGTTATTTCCTTTTTAGTACGGTACTGTTCGGGAGGAACTACTGCTGGACATATTGCTTCTTAAGTTTCAAAATTATGTTACAAATTGTATGCTTCGTATCTAAATATAATTTTTGGATATGTTATGAATCAATATGTCTAGTTTCTAACAAAAAAAATAGAATTTAATCATGCTCATAAATTGGTACGTTACCTACTTGAGTTAGAGGTCGCCTTGTAATAAACCCTAAACCGTGGGGATTGGATTCCCATCCTTCAATTCCATAATTGATGGTTTAAGTATACCCTAATAAGTATAAGAGGACATTTAGATAGGAAAAGTTGCTAGGTAAACCTAGAAGGAACAAATTGGAAAGAGAAAGAAAGATAAATTTTTCTAGGGTTTTCCTAAAGAGACTTTCGACCTAACCCTAAAGATTGGGGTTTTTGGGTTCCATCTAATGAATTAGATTATTAATACTTCAAATAGACCTAAATAAGAACAAAATGAAGTTTAGAGAGGTACGAAAAAAATATGTTATACCTCGTGTGGGTTGGATTTGGAAACCACCGTGTGGGTTGGATTATGAAATCTCGTACAGATTGGAGGAATGAAAGCGTAGGGTATAGTATCCATGATTGATTGAATGTAATGAATGTGTTAGCATGAACTATATGCATCACGTGTATCAAAGGGATGTTATGACACGAGAAAAATCATTGAGTCATGAGAAAAATGCGATTTGGTTACTGAATTGGTCGGATGGGTTAGCAACATGAACCATGTGCGTGCTCTATTACTAACACCGTTAACGAGGAATAATTCCATTAACCGTGTGCCACAATGAGGGATAATTCCGTTATGAGTGGTAGGTGATAATGAGATCACCGAGAGAGAGTAATAGAGCGGTAGGTGATAACACGATCACCGAGAGATGGAATGCACGGTCTTGCTTGTACCTAGGGTACCCGAATTAAAATTGATGGGCGGAATGGGAAACAGAACTGCATTGCATATCACTTGCATCACCCTACTTATCGAGCTTTGGCTCATTCCGTTATTGTTTTCATTCTATGACGGGAACAAGTCAAAACAATAAGGATGCTACCGGAACCTCCAAAAATGCTCACATGTGACACAAGCGTGCCGAAATTTCTCTCGATTAAAAAAAAATCTTAGGGTTGGGGGTCGATATATATTTTGATAGTGTTATTGTAAATAAATCTTGAAATTTCTTTCACTCGTTTTGTTAACATTATGTAAAGTATTTTTACATGTTTCATTATATAATAAATTCTTAATGTATGAGCACATACGTGTAAATTCGGAAATTGGTTATGTCGGCGTGACGCGCTCCTTGCCTAATTACTCCTATTTGGGTAATAGAGAGTGGTTTAGGGAGGGGGAGTCACATGCACTCTATGCAGAAACTAGAATATCAACTAAACATATATTGTACTTGAGCCTCAGAAACAGAATTGAAGCAGACTAGTATGCACAACAAATAATGAAAACACTGACATTCACCACGATTGCAACATTCATGGACGTCAAGAACATTCATACCTGACCCCTTTCCGTAAAGAGCACAAGATTCTTGACATCAGCCGCCCATTCAGCAAATATATCATGAGAAAAACCTGCTTCCAAACTAGCCACAGATGCTAGAACAACCTAATTGAGGTGATCCAAGTCAATATCAGGAAAAATAATGGGATGAAGCATAAATATCATCTATTCTTCAAGCTACTGTATGTCTAATCTAACCTTTGGACCAGTTGGAGCGTTATCCAGTTCATTCTTACTTATCAGAAGTGTCACATGCCTGCAAATTTTGGTCATAGAGTCACCTAAGATGAATAGTTAATAAACTATACCACAGTGAGATAAGCCAGTGGAGAGCCAGATATATTATTAACAACACTTAATTTGCAAAATAGAGGTGAAAATCGAGGACAAAGTGGAAAATAAATATGATTAGGTCCTGGTTTGAAGAGATAAGACTATTCTAAACAAACCACTTACTTTAGAAGAAAAGCATTATCACGTGAAGTTTCGAAAGACTTTGCAATTGAATCACTCATCCACTCCAAGAAACTCTTGATGTAATCAACGGTGCTTGATGAAACATACGTGAGAAAGAATATGGGATAGTTCAAAAACCGCTGTCCCCAGAACTGCAATTTACGTTAAGACTCAATCTTTATGACTGTAATATATTTAGCTATAACAAAACCAATACCAGTCGTTATTCTCCTTACTGACCTGTTCCAATATTAGTAGAAGTTCCAAAACTCGGCCAGCAGTATCAACTGGTAGTAATACATTTCCACCAGCTTCTAGAGTCTTTAAAATAGTCTCTAAGTCAATAACAGAAAACAAGCATAAGGATAGGTGCAGAACCTATATGCAAATGCTAGTGTACCTGCAACCAAGTGTAGGAACGCATGCCAATATTTGTTTATTTTTATTTTGATACATAATTGAGAAAATATTCAATCAATGGTTGGAAAAAATTAATTATGGTCATGAAGAATAAAGTTTTAACACACCAGAAAGATAAAAATACCTAGAAATTGTTTGTCTCTTTGCTGTCTAGAAGGCTGACTATTTAAAGCATTATAAGCATCGCTTATAAGAACAGCAGGCCGGTAGAACGACTCCAAAACAGTTCCATTCAAATGCCTGATAATCAACAACCACACCGAAAATCACCTTCCTTTTTCCATCAATTCATCCACATAACAGCCAACAAATTTGCAGCATACCTACCTTTCTTTTCGATGATTGAAATCAACAGCATAAACAACATCCTCTCCATCTTTCGTTATCTTCCACACAGTTCCTCCCAGTACATGTCCCGCCACATGCGGTGCAATAACAATCCCCTCTCCCTTCCCTAAAACCATAAAAAATACACACGTTATTACATAAATTAATCAAAATTTCCACCATTTCAAATAAATAAAAAATCATCAAAAACAAGATTGCAAAAAACAATTCAGAAATTCCATTAAAAATTAGAAAAAATAAACGCACCAGAAAGATGATGATTTTGAGAGTAAGTAAGCCTAGTGAAATTCTGGAAAGCAGAATCAATATCATCTAAACTAAACAAATCAAACTCCGAAACAGCCTGCAATTAAAATGAAATTAGCAACAAATACAGTTAATAGAGTAGCAAAAATAAAAAATAAAAATCTCAAAATGACTAAACTGACCTTGCGAGAGAGAAGCTGATCGTACATAGTGAGAAGACCTAATCGATAAACAGGTTCAGTAGAAAAAACAGGAGCATTAAGTCCAAATTGCTTCATAGCAAAAGGCAATGCTCCTAAATGAAGCGTATCGCCATAAGATATCAAGACTGCATCGATTTTTGAAGCTACTTTAGAGAGAGGTTGAATAAGAGAGGGATCGAAGTGATCGTTCCAACCGCAGTCCATTAAGAAATTGAAACCGTCGATGGAGACTAAGTAAGAGAGTGGATTTTCATTGTATACACCGCTTAGTGGTGTCACCTGCACTGATGTTCCCATTCTCCGCTGCTGCTCCTCCTCCTCCTCCTCCTTCTGTGAAAGGGAAAAGCTGGATTCGAGGGTTTTAGAGGGTGTTAGGCCTCTTCTGTTAAGCGGGTTGGGTTGAGGACTTGGGATTTGAGGAGGGAGAGAAGCAACGAGACGGCGTCGCTTTTTAAAAATATTTGTCTTCTTTTTACTTATTAAGCATACTTTTTTTATGATAATTTAAATTCGAAATAAAAATAATACTCTTTAGTTAGATTGTCTCAATTAATCTTTTTTCCATTCTTTTTATAAAAAAACAAAATATAAAGCAATTGATATATATATATATATATATATATATATATATATATATGAGAGAGAGAGAGAGAGAGAGAGAGAGAGAGAGAGAGAGAGAGAGAAGAAAAGAAAAGTTAAGTTATTGGGTCAGATTAGGTTATTTTTTCAAAAACGTAAAAAAAAAAAAAAAAAAAGAAGGGAGGAAAAACTATTTTTTTTCATGTTATTAGTGCCACATCAGCACTCAATATTCATGATACAGGTGTCACCTTGTTATTATAATAAATGACACCTCAGCAATTTTTTAATACCATACATGCCAGCTCTTTAAATTTTAACTTCATTGTCACCGTTTTAAATTCCACACATCCATTTGAAAAATAAAAATAAAAAAAATAAACCGTGACAAACTCAATTGTAAAAATTCTCAAAGTAAACATATTTATTATATTATTATCTCACTGGATTATTATAATTAACCGAAAAACACTATTTAAGTTGTAAAGAACATTTTTAATTTGTAACCAATTGCTTTCAACTATCATTTAAAATATTGGAAGAAACTTAAACAACAAATGTTAAAAACTTACATATAATTGAATAAATAATTTTTTTTACTTAATTTTGATGAGAACATCGGTTTTTGAAAAAAAAAGTGAATTTAATTTTTATATATTTATTTATAAAAGAAAGAATAATATGAAAATAAAAAATATATTAATTTAAATCATTGAGTGGTTAAGTCAAAATATTATTTTAATTATTTAATTCAAAAACAAATAAATAATAAATGCTTAGTGTAGAAAAATAATATTATTATAATATGATCATAATATTAATAACATATGACTATATTATAAAAAATGACAAATTAAAGTAGTAAATTTTAAATAATAAAAATAATTAAAAGAAAACACTAAAATAAAATAGGATCAAATCGCAATACAATTAAAGTTTGACATTGAAAAAAAAATATAGAAAAATTGAGGACCAAAGTACTAAAAAAAATTACATGAATAATGAGAAGAATAATAATTTGTGAGTATGTGAATAATATTTCAAATAGTAAAAATAAATAGAAAAATCATGTTTTATTTTAATTTTTTTAGTAATTTGTCATGGTCAACAACTCCCATTACTTACGATTCCAGCGACCAAGAATGAGAATGATGAAAGATGTGGGTTATGTATTGTTGCTTGGTCATAAAGCTTACCAACATAAGTTGTATTTTCCGTACGGTATAAGATGTTTTGGATCTTCTCATGGCTGGTTGATTGTTGATTACCTCGTTTATGTTTTTAGTGGATTGAGCTTTTAGGAGAATTTACATCTTCCAACCGACCGTACAAACATGGTTGTGTCAAACCACAAAGGTTGTATCAAACAACAATTAGTTAAAAAAAATTATTTGTCTTAATTGTTAACTTAAATAAAAGAGAAAATAAAAAATATTAAACAAGAAAAGAAATATTTTATCCTTGTATTATTTATTGTTCTCAATTTATTTTCTTAATTCCAAAGCTATGTCATCATCTAATGTTATAACCTTCGAAGTAGGTCATGATCGATGCAAAAAACGAAGGAGTTATGAGATCCATCTCGACTTAAGCAAGCCTCGAATGCTTTAATCTTAATTATTAAATCTATGGTAAATCAAATATCATTTTTCAAAATAAAATTCTTAATTAATATTATAACACAAGTCTCATCAATTCACAATATCATATCCTAATTTAATCAATACTTCTTGCATTTGATTTCTACTTATAACTCAACAATCAACAACCTAATTAGTCCATATCACATCCAAATTTATAATATTACGATCCAACCTATTAATTAGAGATTGGTTGTCTAGAAAATTAATGAACTTCACATGAATAATTTTATTACACCAATTTCATATGAATAAAATTCATTTTTGATAAAAAGCATGATTAGGAGGCTCAAGAATCACATGATAAAAATACTCAGTGCTATTATTTGAAAAAATCAAATAGTTGTTTCACCCTTATGTCGCGGTGGCTTCCTTGTAACTTAGAATAGCTAATTAAATGTTATGCCATTCATTATACACAACTTAAAAGCATTAATTAGATTGTACACATATTTATTTAGACTAAAAGAGTGACAATTTAAAACATAATGTTAAAAAAAAAAAAAAACCTATAACATATTTAGGTTAAAAAACAACAAAACAAAACATAGCAAAGGATTTCTTAAAAAAAAAAAAAAAGTTAACAATAATTCAACATTAAAAACATCAAATATAAAATATTTATCATATTATACTTCTTTAACCTTCACTTTTGATCCAAAATTTTTAAAAAATATGTTCAAAATCTCATATTTTATCTTGCACGACTAATTCGGAGATCAAAAGTTCTAAGGAAAAATTTTGAAAGAGATAGAGGGGGAAAAAAAAGACAAATAACCTAAAAGAAGTGATTTTAATTTGTTAAGCCATGAACTTTTTTCTTTTCAAATAAAATAGGCGTGTCCGATATTTTTCTAAATGAATATGTGAATAGATTTGGATATGAGAGAGAGGATTAAGTTCTAGCTTCTTTTTTCCCAAAATATCGTAAACCCAAACTAATCTCTTGTTGTTTTATTGAGCGTACAAAATAAACAGAACTACTCAAAAAAATTTTTACATATACAAATATTCGAATTCGAAATTACTTATTTAAAACAACTAAAAGCTCTTACACTCAAATCAATTCTCTTAGGTATTAAGTTCTAGTTTTTTAAGTTAGAGGAGGGCATTCTTATTTATTAAGGAAATTTTTATACTAATTTAAAGCAAGATCATTATGTTTTCTATACAAGGTAAAAAATGCTAGTAAAATGGAGGGAAAAAAAATTATATCCCTAAAAGTAACCTCCTGTAGGGCTCATGACTCATCTATGGTTGAAGAAGACAATGTAGCTTCTTTCATGCCGAACGGATTAGGGATGGCAATGGGGCGGGACGAGGTTCACCATCCCCGTCACCGCCCCAAACGAGGACAAGGATCCTCGCGGGGCAAACAAGGCAAATTTTTTTTTTTTCATCTCTTTTTATCCCATTCTACTATCAAATTTCAAACTATAGCAAAAAAAAATGATAGGTTATATAGAAAATAAACCTTAAAAGTCACTAATCATAGATTTTATATAAGACATAATTATAATTTTAATTAAAAAAATGAGGCAAAAATGGGCCAAACGGGGCAAGACGGGCAAATCCCATCCCCGCCCCGTCCCCGCTCGTGGAGCGCCCCAACCTGCCTCGTTCCCCCGATCAATGTGGGGAATCGCCGCGTTTGCGAGAAAAATCAAAACGGGACTCTGTCGGGACGGGGCAAATTATCATCCGTAGAACGAGACTAGAAAAAAGACAAATATAATCACACTCATTTTATAAGATTTTATAAGATCAATTAGATAGACAAATTTCTAGTCCCAATACTTGAACCAAAATCTAAGTTAGTTTTACATCCATTTGAAAACTTTTCTTTTCCTCTATTGCTTGTAAAAGGACATCAAGATGATAAATTTCCTTCTTTCATTTCTGACATGTAAATGAGTGGGGCGAAAAGTCAGATACAACTAAATAAAAACATCAAATTGTTGATTATCTTGTTTAACTCTTTAATGGATTGAAGTTCCATGAGAATTTACAGTTTCCAACTGGTCCTGCAAACCCCGTGGTGTCAAACCACAAAGGTCGGGTCAAACTTCTATTTGACGTGCTTTGTCATTGCCATTAGACATGCTTCCTTCCCACAACTCAGGCAGATCCCTCCTAATCCAAGAGACGACGATAACAGGTCCGAGTGTAGAAGGCACCTACATCCACCATCAAAAAACAAAAACTCAGAGAAATATAAATGTTTTGAAACCACGAGGTATATAATGAGGCAAGTGAAAAAAGAAACTAATTGAAAGTTGCAAGTTCAGCAGATCAGGAAGTTCTTTGCATGGTATTTATAACATCTTATGACACCCCAAAAAAAAAAAAAAAAGCAACACAATCCTACATTCAAGCATAAGGCACGCATATTCCAACTATAGTCTTCAATAAATAAATACATTGCCAATAAAAGTACCAGATAGAGAAGTGCAGGTTGGGGTGAGTGAGTCAGAACACCAGCAGCTAAAGCGGTTACCAATCCAATGGCGTATCCAGGAAGAGCATACCATATATATCTATGTCCCTTGGAAGAATGTAAATCTAAGAGATTCACGGGATCTCTGCCCTTTCGGTAGTCAAAACAAAGGACTAGTGCTAGAAGCATAGCAGGGATAGCCTGCAAGAACAACATTATTGAAATAAAATGTAACATCTTTCAATATTTTCTCTGGAAAAGTAAAAGGTGCCAAAACCATATTCTCCATGTAAAAAGCATCCAGTAAAATTTTGGTGTGCAATTAATTTAACAAATATCTTTACCAAAATCAAGTTGCAAAGAATGCATATCATCATATATCATAGGGCAACTTCATTTTCCAAGCATGCATGGAAGTAAAATCATCAGTCATAACAGCTTAGCTTTTAGTTACTACCCAAAAAAAAAAGCCTATAATATTATTGCTCCAATGGAGGGTTTGAGCTAATACTATACATAATGCACCTGATACTTCGCATTATTGCTCAATGAATCAGCATCTTTGAAAAAAGAATGCCTAACAAAGATGGGGAAGGGGAGGAGGATTGTTGGGGCTAATACCATACAGATGCCCCAGGTCATTGTTTTCAAACAGAACAGGAAATATTGCCCCAAAATATTACGTAAGTCCATTTGCGAAAACTTTAAGCACATACTTTGATGTCAAACCATCACTGCATTTTGGGTGGTGGACAGCATGTCTTATAGACTCGAGAAATACTATGCAAGACCACTAACAAAGAAAAAAATGCTAACATACCATGTCCCCAAGACCAAGCATCATGAAATCTGCAGCCTTTCCTCCTGAAGCTGCACTACCCAACAAATTTCTGGGAAATACTATTTTCACTGGCAACTCAAGCTTCTTTGTGATCAATTGCAAACCTGGAAGACTCAAACTATTAGCCACCGTATGAACAGGATTTGATGCTTGTTGCGTTGCCACTGACACCATGACATTGGCACCAAAAAATCTCTCTGAGAAGAATACCCAGAATATGTCATATACAAACAAGCATGCAAGGAGCATTGCACATATTTTGATGTTCGGAAGGCGTACATGACTCACAAATGCAATGCAAATTGAAATACCCAACAGATTGTTCAATATCCAATGCCCAGAAACAAGCCAAGCTGCAACGGTAAGAAAGCATGACACCAACAATAACCCTTGGATTCGTGTAAATGACTTTGCACAGCAACGGGACACAAACGGGTCTGCCAAACCATAATGTGACTTTATATAGGTAGCAAAAGGAGAGAGGCAGAAGAAAAGGGATGAAACAGAGGCAACGGCTGTGAATGCAGTAAGGAGTTGTGAGACAGACGAAAACAGGTAAAACATCAATAGCAAACTGCAAGAACTCATTATTGGGATCATTAGTGCTTGGGACCTATCCAAAGTAATGGATGCTTCCGACAAGTCACGGTTCCTCTCCATTTCTTTCCCATAATTTAAAGCTCGAAAAGCAGATCCAAACGTTACAGCTACTGCTGTCACTATGAGGGTAACAGGAGCAGGTTCCAGCAAATATAAAAGCTTCCACAAGGCCTCCATGACAAAGAACCAAAATATTTCAAACCAATTGTCTCAAACCAGTCTTTCGTACGTATAAAAAAACAAGAAAGCCTGGCCACCAATTTTGCATTCAATGTTGCATCCTTCGTCCCATGAATGCTTGAACAAGGATATCCATGGAACCTGCTAAACAGTCCGGTTCAGTAAAAAGAAATGTAAGTGAACAGAGAAATAGAGAACAATTCAAGTTTCTGTGGCATGTATCAACAAATTCCGATTTTCCAGAACGTAAATATGGACATAAAAATGCAGAAACTGTGGTTCTATATTCCACATTTTTCATCCCATACAGAATTACAGAACACAACTAAAATACAACATTCATAAAAACATAAGAGAAATGAATAATTCCCACTTTATTTCTCTTCCCCAGCTTATATTCTCATCGTAGAAAAATGTCAACTAACATGAAATAACTCTCATCCAAATCAAAATCAAGCAAGCACATTTCTTATCAAACAAGACCAAAACTTCACAAGTTCCGAATCCTAATTTATTTCCTAAAACAACCAACACAACAACAGCCTCTACTTAACTGAGCCAAGCACAATTATGCCGCCTAATTTAAGTTCAAATTTTCATTTTTCTAAAAACCCATTTGAAACAAACAAAAAGACTCAAAACTTTTTTGTTATCTCAAAAAATTAACAAATTCCAAACAAAAAATTTTCTCAGTAACCAAACTACAGGCTGTTAACTCAGAACCACTAACATGTAGAGCTTACAAGCAAAGGAAAAAAAGTACATAGAATCAAATAGGTATAAAATTTACAACTAAAGATCTGAAACTAAAAGAAAAAAAAAAGAAATTTCAAAATGGGAAATCACAACTTTGAGACAAAGGACTAACCTTGGAATTTTTGAAGAGTCTGAAGACACTCTCTCTCACTCTATCATCAACCAAGTTTTCTGCCTGCCTCTAAGAGCTGCCTGAAAACGTAAAACAAAAGAGAAAAAAAATTGCTAAATTTCTTCACCGTTTTGTAGTTTGGTACGTGTGTGTGGCCACTGGCGAACCATTTTTCTTATTGGTACGTGCCAGTGGTGTGCTTGGGCTCAAGTCAATGGCCCAAACCAAACTCCAGGGTTTAGAGTTGAATACAACTTAGCCTCTTTAGAACCTCAATTTTAGGCTAGAGTGGCCCATAAGTCCCACCATCTGCAAGCCTGGCCCAAATTTGAGCCCGCCGTCAATAAGGCTAGCCTATAGCTCATGTTCTACCCACCGTAAAAATCTCATATCCCAGCCTCTTTGTTTGTAGAGAAAATTGAGCTAATGGCTTAATATATTCTTATTGTATAAAACAATTCTCTAATCTGTCATTAATTGAATCGATTTTACCTATAAATATATTATTAAGTATCTAATCTATTATTTTGACAAAATATTTATTTTAAATTACTAGAATTAATTACACGATTTGTACATAAAAACTTTTTATTTAAGTAATTATTTGAATAATTTACAAGAACCATTTTGAGAATTAAAAATAATCTTAGTAATTCTAGTGATTTGTACTAAAATCTTGATGAAATAATAGATTGAAAACTTAATGTGTATTTAAGATAAAATTAACTCAATTATAAATAAAAAGACAAATAGAAAAATTAAAATTATAAATATATATTGGAATGACAATCTAGACTTTGAACATGCTGTCATGCACGCATAAATCACAAGAGAGGGAATTAAATAAGTTTGGGCAAACATTGTTTAAGATTCAGAAAAATTATTTTATATATATTTTTAATTATAATGTTATATTAGCATATTTTTCACATAGATTAAGAAATTAAATTATTAATTATAATATTATATTAGCCTTTTTTTTTACATGTTTTTTAAAATACTATTTTTAGTTGTACTTTAATTAAAAGTGTTTTAAAACACTATTTAAATTTTGGACCAGACAACTATTTAAACAAATATTAATATAAAAGTAAAAAATTTCTTTAGAACGGAGAAAATATTATTCTTTATTTTCTGGTCTCTAACAAAACCTCAATTAATTACTTCGTATGTTTGATGCGTTAGGTACGTATGATTATGTCTTAAATGAATAATTAAATATCATAAATATAGCCGGAGAGTTTTCCTGGCCTATGCGCAAGTGGCTCAATTGCGGTGCCCCGTTAACTTGGCATGCTAATCTGCTAAAAGTCATACAAACTAATAACAACTTAGTCCCTGTAGTTGATTAAAACTAATTAATTAATCCCTATAGTATAAAAGATAATTGAATAATCCCCTAACTAATGTTGGTCGTCCTTAATTTTGTTTTTGTTTTAAAAAATATCTTCTTTGCTAGTTAAAGTTCCTCTCTCTCTCTCTTTTTTTTTTATTTCTCGAAAATAAAAACATAAATATTAAATATATTAACAAATAAAATTAAAAGAATAAGGATTGTCATTGTTCGGATACTATTCATTTAGACTCAACTCGCACTGTGGATGTATTGTACTTATCCTTCCTTTTCTCTTGATCGTCTGTTCTTCTTATTCTGTTTTCGTTTATTTGATTTGCAACCACTCTTTTTTCTTTTCGTTAGCTCTGCTCTTATTTTCTTATTTTTCTATTTATCATTGTTTCTTTTGTCTCTTTTTTAATAAATTTTATTAAACTAAAGCTATTATGTTATAGTTTTATACTCTAATCTGATACGCCAATTCTTCATAGATATCCATAGCAAGAGTTGGATCAAATAGTTTTTTTTTTTTTTTCATTTTACGGATATTCTCGAACCAATTTATTCATCAATCAAAACTATTTAAAAAAAAGAAAAATTATAAACACATTTTTTACATCGGTTTAATTTATTCAGAAAAGAATAATAAATTTTTCTATATTAACCCCAACGTTTGAATCCCAATAATCAAATAATGTAAAAAAAATCAAATAAACTCTTTAACCATTAGTTGAATATATAGGATTTATAGGTCCAACAATTACAAAAAAGAGAGAGACGCGCAAGCTTGTGGTTTCACGTGGACAAAATAGGCACAAGGGGCCAAGGGGGCGGGCGGCTAGGCAGTCCCAAGTTGGCCAGTAATCTCAAAAACAAACACCTCTTCTTTACCTTCCCTAAATAGACACAACTCTCTTCTTAGGAAGGTTTGTTCATAACCAAACCAATGACTTCAAAAGCGTTATCTTCACCAACCCATCTCACAGTCCCATCCATCACCAATTTCTACACCAAAGATTGGTGCTTGTCTTCCCTTTCAAGACTCTATCACAAGGATAATTCTTCAATTTGTTGATGGGTCCCGTTTACCAAGTTTGGTCGATTCCTTTCCTTTTCAATCTTACATCGTTGTTTGCTTCTCTTTTGGACTTCTCTCCATCTCTCACGAAGACAAAACAACCCCCTTAGACACCTTCAAATAGTACCATACCATTTCTCCTTGGATTGCCGAAATCTTGTACTAAACTCCCTCCTCCTTATAGCAGACGCACTTTGCTAAAATTTCGTCTTTTCCTTTTCAGTTGTCTTTTTGCTTCCTTGTATAGGATCCCAAGTTAATTTTTAGCTTTTCTCATTTGGTCTGGATTGTTCATGTCTGATTGATCTGATACAGGACATGAGTGATGCACGAGGTAGAGCTAGCATCACATTGGTTGTCACTTGCTTTAACTCTCCTTGATCTCCCTTCCCTTTCATGCCATAAATGTCTGATTTAAATTCTTTTCAATGCACATAACGCATTGCTGCCCTTCAAGATTCATCTTAATTTCTATAAAACTAACACCTCGTCTTCCCAGCTTTTGTAGTTGTTTCTCTCTTGCCTTTCACCATTCAAGATGGATTTAGCAGTAACCATAAGCTGGTTCTGCCGAATCTGGCTTCTCGTGAACATGACTCTGGTTTACAATGCTTCCAAAATTGGTGGCTGCAAGTTTTTGAAGAGTCTGAAAATACACTCTCTCTCGCTCTATCATCAACCAAGTTCTCTGCCTGCCTCTGAGAGCTGCCTGAAAACGTAAAACAAAATTGCTAAATTTCTTCACTGTTTTGTAGTTTGGTACGTGTGTGTGTGTCAACTGGCTAACCAGTTTTCTTATTGGTACGTGCCAGTGGTGTGGCTGGGCTTGGGTCAATGGGTCACCCGTTTCCGTTTTTTATGTTATGGGCCAAACCAAACTCCAAGGTTTAGAGTTGAATACAACTTAGCCTTTGGAACCTCAATTTTAGGCTAGAGTGGCCCATAGGCCCACCATCTGCAAGCCCGGCCCAAATTTAAGCCCACCGTCATAGCTGATGTTCTACCTCCTGTAAAAATCCCAACCTCTTCTCTGTAGAGAAAATTGAGCTAATGGCTGAATAGATTCTTATTATATAAAACAATTCTGTAATCTACCATTAATTGAATCGATTTTACCTATAAATATATTAAGTATTTAATCTATTATTTAAAAAAATATTATTTTACCTATAAATATATTAAATATCTAATCTATTATTTTGACAAAATATTTATTTTAAATTACTAGAATTAATTACACGAGTCGTACCAAAAAACTTTTTATTTAAGTAATTATTTGAATAATTTACAAGAAAAATTTTGAGAATTAAGAATAATCTTAATAATTTTAGTGATTTGTCCTAAAATTTTCACCGGATAGGAGATTGAAAACTTAACATATATTCAAGATAAAATTAACTCAATTAGAAATAAAATGATAAATCGAAAAATTACCCTACTGTATAAATATATATTGGAATGACAATCTAGACTTTGAACATTTTGCAAATAAATCATGAGGGAGGCAATTAAAGAAGTTTGGGCAAACATTGGTTAAGATTCAGATCTAACAACCATGTTAGAACGAAGTGACTACTTTCAATAACCATGGCCAAACATGAACAGAACAAGTGACCAACACATTCCTAGAGTAGTACAAATTGTTAATGATAAACAAAACATTTAAATAGATGTTCAATCTCGTTCAAGATTCAGATCTTCCTTAATCTTCGTTTCAAAGGCATGTGCCCAATGACATGCAAAGGTTGATTCCATATCCTCCTCATTAAATCCTTCTTTGATTGGTGTTTCAGCCCAATTGACATGCAAAAGGTTGGTTCGCAGGTTCCATCCTCCACATATTAATTCATCTTTCCTTTTCATGTGGTAATTTAGTGCATTAAATTGTCAAAAATTGCAGCTACGCATTAAAATTAATAAAAAATTAATTAAAAAAAATTTAATTTCGAACAAAAAAAAAAAAAATTAAAGAAAGTTCTCATTCAAAACTGAAAGTTAAATGACAGAGTTCATAATAGATTTGGACTATTTAACCCGTTTATTTGATACCATTCTCACTTTCTTTTTTTTAATGAAATAAAAAATAATTTTTTTTTACTTTATCATTCTATTTTTTTTTTTAACATACACAATTATTAATTCTGCTACTATTCTGTCTATTTTTTTTAAAAAAAATTGTTCACTTTGACTTTTCACATAAATTAAGAAAATTATTAATTATAATGTCATATTAGCTTTATATATATATAGAAATACTATTTTTAGCTATACTTTAATTAAAGATGTTTTAAAAAACTATTTAAATTTTGGACCAGAAAAATATTTAAACAAATATTAATATAAAAGTAAAAAATCTCTTTAGGACGGAGAAAATATTATTCTTTATTTTCGGTCTCAAACAAAACCTCAATTAATTAATTCATATGTTGTTAGGTACGTATGATTGTCTTAAATGAATGATTAAATGTCATAAATATAGCCGGAGAGTTATAAACTCCACAAATCACAATCATCCCCATTAGTATAAAAAATAATAATAACTTGGCCTATGCGCAAGTGGCTCGACTGCGGTGCCCCTTTAACTTGGTATGCTAATCTGCTAAAAGTCATATAAACTAATAATAACTTAGTCCTTGTAGTTGATTAAAACTAATTAATTAATCCCTATAGTACAAAAAATAATTGAATAATCCCTTAACTAATGTTGGTCATCCTTAATTTTCTTTTTGTTTTGTTTTTTTTTTCAAAAATATCTTCTTTGCCAGTTAAATTTCTTTCCTCGTTTTCTTTTTCTTTGTCTCAAAAATAAAAAAAATTAAATAAATAACTAAATTATTAATAAGATAAAAAAAACATAGAAATTAAATATATAACTCCTGAGTTTACTAAAACTAATTAATAAATTTTATTAAACCATACGGATTACGTTATAGTTTTTTTTTAATTATCGTAGGAGTATTCTCAAACTAATTTATGTATTAATCGAAATTAAATTTTTTAGGAAAATTTTTAAAAAAACATTTTTTACATTGGTTTGATGCATTTAAAAAAAATAAAAAATTTTCTAATCCAAGTAATCAAATAATGAAACAAAATCAAATAAATTTTTTAAGGATTAGTTGAATATATAGGATTTGTAGATCCAACAATTACATAAAAGATAGAGACGCAGAAGCTTGCGGCTTCACGTGGACAAAGTAGGCACAAGGGGACGGCTAAGGCAGTCACAAGCTGGCTAGTGATTTCAAAAACAAACACATCTTCTTTACGTTCCCTACATAGACACAACTCTATACTTAGCCACTTAGGAAGGTTGTTCTTAACCAAACCAATGACTTCAAAAGCGTTATCTTCACCAACCCCTTTCATGGTCCATCCATCACCAATTTCTACACCAAAGATTGGTGCTTGTCTTCCCTTTCAAGACTCTATTATCATAAGGATAATTCTTCAATTTGTTGATGGGTCCCGTTTACCAAGTTTGGTCGATTCCTTTCCTGTTCAATCTTACATAGTTGGTTGCTTCTCTTTTGGACTTCTTTCCATCTCTCACGAAGACAAAACAACCCCCTTAGACACCTTCAAATAGTGCTATACCATTTCTTCTTGGATTAATTGCCAAAATCTTGTACTAAACTCCCTCCTACTTATAGCAGACACACTTTGCTAAAATTTCATCTTTTCCTTTCCAGCTCTTGTTTCTCTTTTTGCTTCCTTGTACAGGATCCCAAGTTAATTTTTAGCTTTTCTCATGTTGTCTGGATTGTCCATGTCTGATTCTGACACAGGACATGAGTAATGCATGAGGTAGAGCTAGCACCACATTGGTTGTAACTTGCTGTAACTCTCCTTGATGTCCCTTCCCTTTCATGTCAGAATTAAATGTCTGATTTAAATTCCTTTCAATGCACATAACGCATTGCTGAGCCCTTCAAGATTCATCTTAATTTCTATAAAACTAATCTTAATTTCTATAAAACTAACACCCCATCTTCCCAGCTTTTGTAGTTGTTTCTCTCTTGGCCTTCACAATTCAAGATGGATTTAGCAGTAGCCATAACACTGGTTCTGCTGAATCTGGCATCATGGTGCACTTTTTCAGAGAGCAGGCTTCTCGTGAACATGACTCTGGTTTACAATGCTTCCAAAATTGGTGGCCGTAAGTTTTTTGCCATTTTTCTTATCGATATATCATACATCATCATTTTTTTTAATCTATGAAACAGTAACTACTTACTAATATTTTATTGATAATTAACCCTTTGTTTTCTTCTTCTTTGTTGGTGAATATTATTATTCTTAGTTTGCTTGGATGGTAGTTTACCTGCCTATCATTTGCACAGAGGATTTGGTGCTGGTGCACGCAACTGGCTTTTGCAGTTTGAGGTAAAATCTTTACGCTTCTAAAGTGAAAAGGATAGTGCAGGCATTCATTAGTTTAGTTTAGTTGATAAAATCATGTCATATACACCAAGTGGTCCCATATTAAATCTCACTCGTCAGAAAAAGAGAATTTTGAGAGATAGACTGGATGGTTAAAGAAGTTCATACGATCCTTTTTTCTCTCGAGATCGAACTTTAATGTCTAGTTTTGTACGATTGGGAAAATTTTGGGGAAACCGATAGGACAAGGTGGGTTTGGTTTAGCTAGTGTCTTGTGCATCATGTTGCCTGTGCAACTTGCAGTTCGCTTTATTTGTCACAGACCATTTTAGGGTCTGTGCAGAATTGTGGCCTAGGTTGGTGTGCTCATCTGCTAAATAGGGTAGAAATGATCAATTATTGGTATGGTGGGTAAAAACTGTTGGTGGCCTTGCTGAAAACTGTAAAGTAACACATGTTAAGTCATTATACAGAAATGCAGCTAGCGATTGGTCAACACAATAATCCAATTGCTATATTTATTACTCATGTCATGTTTATTGAGAAGTTTGGCTCAGTAGATTGTCTCTTGTGTGACCCCAAGTCCTCGATGGCCCTACGAAAAGAAACAAGCCAAAAGAAGTTAAAGAACTGCGAAAGATGCACCAAAGAGTACGTCCAACAGTATGGTCCCCAAAAGAATTGGTTGGTCCAAAGATGAAAGTCACAAAGTCTATATCCCAAACTTTCAACCTAAGCAAAGCCTTTGATGTAATAACCAGTTTCAAAAGATATTCTCATTCAAAAGTCTTTTGGACCTACACTACTTTATAATCAGAATGATAGAATTCGAATTTGAATTCGTGATCGTTTGATTATTAGAATTATGATACTATATTAAAAAAATTATTTTATTTAAAAACTTAAGATGTTAAGTGAGATTTCATGATATGATTTATATTATTTTTAAACGTTTAACAATCCTTATTCTTTCGTTACTAGATTCGACTTAGAAGTTATACAATAGCTTAATTATAATTGTAGTGGTGGATAGAGGCTAGTTCAGAACTAGAGATAGATGTTGCAATCAATATAAGGAAAAAACTAAAATGGTTTAAAAAATAAAACTTCTTCAAAGAAGCTAATTTTTGGGTTTCGTTTTTTTTTTTTTATACGAAACCTGCACGGATTTCAAAGACAACTTTTTGATAATCGAAAGAGTTTAGGCTGTCTTAAAACAACATATGTCCTAGGTTCGAACCCGGCGGGATTGGTGGGATTTGGGTGATGCAGCCATTAGGCTAGCCAGATGGTCAAAAAGAAAAAAAAAAAGAAAGAAAAGGAAAAGGAGACATGTTTTAGCTAGTTAGGTCAATAAGTGGGATCCAAAACAGGGAAATTAGCAGGCTGGAATGCATGTTAAGAAGGTATAATGTGATCTGATATGTTTGATAGGGAGGTGGGTGGTGCAATGATATCCAATCATGCCTGGAGAGAGCCAAAACGCGGCGTGGATCTACCCTTTACATGAACAAGTTGGAGGATTTCAATGGAATCCTAAGCAACAATGCCTCTCTTAATCCAGGTAATTAATCTCCTTGTAATCCAAATCCATTGGCCCATTATTTTTAGTTCACAGAAATCTAGCATGTTCATTTACGACATGACATGTCCATGTTCCTCCACATTGTGTCTTTGTCTTGTTTCACGTGATTTATATATATATAGACAGCTGCTGCTTCTAGCTAGCTTCTCTCGTTCTCCAGCTTTTCTTGTCTTAAAAAAGATTAAAAAAAAAAAAAAATCCCATGCATTGTCTTGTATCCTATTCTTTTATTGTCTTAAAGGGGTGAGGATAGCTTCCAAGAATGTGCTATATAGAGGCTTCACTTGATTTGGGTTTGGAGTACTACATAGTATCAGTTCAGAAAACGCAAAAGGGCAAACCTTAAAAATGAAGCCCAACTACATAGCATCTAATGTCTTTGCGATCAAATGTTTTTAGGGTTGAAAGAGCCTATCTTTTTTATATAATAAGATAATTTTTCTATCAATCTTATATTTTAATTTTAAGTTGAGTCAATTTTGTTTTTGAACATAAATAAATTAAGTTTTTAATATATTTTTTGACAAAATTTTAAAGTTAAATCATCAGAATTAATCACGTAATTTTCACAAGATTTGCCTGTTTTATAAGAATAGTCTGCGAATAAAAAATAGTCATGACTTGCAAGGGTATTCTGAAAATAAAAAATAATCAAGTGCAAATTACAAAACTAATTCCGATGTTTTGTACCGAAAATTTCATCAAAAAGATATATTAGAAACTTAAAGTATATTTTTTAAAAAATTGAATTAAATAAAAATATAATGAAAAATTGAAAAATTATTCTATTACATGAGTATAAGTATAGATTGAACCCTATTATGGCATTTCCAAATATCACGTTATAATTTTATTATTTATAAAAAAAACGTAATTGATAATAATGAAGGATTTTGTATCAACTTATGAAGAAAATATTAGATAGACTTAAATTACGTGAACAAATAAACCAGAGTGAAGTAATAATTTTAACATTAGTACTCAGAATCATTAGTTAAAAAGAAAAAACAGACATAATTTTAACATTAGTACTCAGAATCATTAGTTAAAAAGAAAAAACAGACATAATTTTAACATCCCCATGTGTAGAATTGGCCCTCTTCTTCTTGTTTATTCTTGTTAATTACCCATTAAATTCTTTTTTTTTTTTTTAATCAGATTTTTACAATTGGAACCGGGTGAAGATTAGATATTGTGATGGAGGCTCGTTTTCTGGAGATGCCAAGTTTGACAATGGGGTAACTCTCTCCCCTAAAACTCTCGTTCCTTGTAATCTTGCTGGTTTTGGAATTCAAAGATTAAAGCTTAATCTTAATCCTGCTAAAATCTACTGAACTTAAATAAATTACTTTCATCTTTGCTTGGCAAAGCAAGAAATTTTGCCTTGTTGCATAACTAATGTTCTTGCACAAACATCAGATTCAAGCTTAGTTAACTTGATCCTTCTGTGTGCATGAAGCAGACATCAGTTCTTTACTTCAGAGGAAAAAAGATTTGGGAAGCAATAATTCTTGATCTTCTCCCCAAAGGCTTGATGCATGCACGCAAGGTAGAAATCTCTCAATGAAATTATTGAAGATGTCCTCTGATTAAAATCATCCCTGAAGTGGAAATGTGATCTTTGTGGTCATAAATTTGATTCTAGTTTTTGAACAATCATTCCACCTCTTCTCTAGGCTTTGCTTTCAGGTTGCTCTGCTGGGGGTTTATCTTCCTTTCTCCATTGCGAAAACTTTGCCAGGATATTACCAAGGGATGCCAGCGTGAAATGCTTGAGCGATGCTGGTTTTTTCATGGATGAGTAAGTTCGCTCTTTCTTATATGAACGTGTAGGATAAAACACTTTCTGTTTAGATTTTAAATTGGAATCTAACTTTGCTCTTTCTTTTGCAATCTTTCTGTTTATGTTTCGTATTTTTTGTCCTTTTTCTTACAGAAGAGACATCACTTTGAATCATACTATGAGGACCTTCTTTGAAAACCTTGTTTCTCTACAGGTACAACTTGCTGGAATCTGTGTTCCATTTCGCGTCCTAAATCATGAATCTTCTATTGATAATTTGATCTGTTTACGGCAGGGAATCGAAGAGAATCTCAATAAAAACTGCACTACTCTCCTTAACAATCCAAAACTGGTACTTCTTATCGAAGCCTCCTGTTTAACTTTTTAGTCTGATTTCTGCTTGCTCAGATGCTTATGGCATTTATCTTGTATCGGTGCAGTGCATCTTTCCACAGTACTTCTTGAAATACATTACAACACCATTCTTCATCCTGAACACAGCCTATGATGTATACCAAGTAATTTCTGTCTCAGTCTTCATCGATCTGAAATTGCATAGCATTGGAAATCATCGCGTCCCTTTGTGTTTTTATGTTAATTAGACAAGAAAGAATGATTGAAACTGCAAAATTTAACAGTTCCATCATGCATTGGTTCCACCTTCCGCCGACATGAATGGACACTGGAACCGTTGCAAGCTTAACGTCTCATTATGTAACACACAGCAGCTCGAAATATTGCAAGGTTGGTCTCTGCTTAGGCATTAGTTCTGCAATTTGTATAAACTAACTGGTAAAATACTATCTGATGAAAACATCGATCTTGTATCCAGATTTCCGGCGAGATATGCTGGCGGCATTGCGATCGTTTCTCATGCATTCCAAAAGAGGGGGAACGTTTATAAATTCATGCTTTGCTCATTGCCAAAGTGAGACAGAAGACACCTGGTTTGCGCTCGACTCCCCTCGAGTTCACAGTAAGGTACATTGCTATCGCTATGCCTGTTACACTCTAGAAAAATCTTAAAACACTTGCTTTAAATTCAGGCCGTGTTTTATCTGCTCAAGATCGTGGCCTAATCGCTCGTAAAACCATTGAAATTCCTGAAGCAAAACACGATTCGATGTTAAGGTTGCTGCAGAAGTTTCGACATATCATGTCTTATATATGTTTCCCTTTCTTTTATGTTCATAGTAATTGCAAAGCTTAAATCGTTTGGCTTTGTGAGTGAAATTAATCTCGACAAACTTTCTCAGACTATTGCAGAAGCAGTTGGCGATTGGTATTTTAGCAGAAAAATAAGCAAGTTAATCGACTGTGCGTATCCTTGCAACGATTCCTGCCATAACATTGTAGGATAGTTCATTGCATAGGTATGTAATGCAATCTCCTCATGACCTCAGGTCTATTTATATCGTCATTGGCAGATGACTTGGTGTTCTTGTTGCTAAAGTGCAAATACTGCAGGTTTCCTAGCTAGAGAGGCAAGATATAGCTAGATGGAAAAACAAAGATTTTTACAAGCTTCATTCTTTGAATTTTGGAGATATTATGAAAGAAAAGGGAGAGTCTGAAGAAGGAATACTGAAGGGATTGGACTGCAGAAAACCATTGATGGAGTTCTCAGCATTTTTTTTTCCTAGTATAGAAGAAATCATAGAAAATCAATGTCTTTTTGTTTTCTTTGAGAAATATAGTAAAATCAATACCAACTCGAAAAAGGGTTCATAGATTTTTCCAAGTTTGGCAAAAAAATTCGAAGGCTTTAAATAGGATACTTAAGAGGAGAGTGATAGAGAAGCCTCAAAAACTTGTTTGGAAAAATAGGAGGATATTTAGCATTTACAAGAAGGGTTATTGATCTAAAATGTTCTCTTTTTATAATTAATCACATTCTTGTAGTAATATTTGTTGACAGGGACCAAATTAGCAAGAATCTAATGTTATGGTGTGTGGATGAGCATCAAGGGTTAACCTTTTGTTTAATGAAATGAGAATTAAACACACATTTTTTCAGCTTGATTTTCATTTCATATTGCAATTCTAATATGAAATAATTAAGTTAATTATCCACTTCGGTATCTAATTAAATAAAAATGGTGATATTGTTTGTCTATTAATCTAAAATTTTGATTTTTAAAACACATCATAATCATCCAATAAAAACAAAATTAATTTTTTATGAACTAATTATGCAATCAAGAAAATAGCAACTTCCAAGATCATAAAGCTATCTCAATAATTCTTCAAATTGATGATTATTTTCTTGAAATAATCTAAAATGGATAATATGAGAATAAAAATTACTAATATAATGAAAACTAATGAAACGATTAATTTATTGATAGAATTAAAATATGAGGACTAAATGATTAATTTGTAAAACTAAAGGGACCAGCTAATTCGTTTCTCTAAAATAGAGGATTAATTGATAATTTATTCATTGAAATTGAAATGGTTAAAAATAGAAAGAAAAAGAAAAAAAGAAAAAACCGAAATGGGACCTACTTCATAAGCGTTGCGATTAAGGAAGGGGTAGTTATACGTGAAACACTTAAACCTACGCTCTGCTTAGAATTGAGATTTTTGCATTTTCTATCAAGAACTGTCGACAAATCTCTCTCGGCTTGCCCTAGAATCAACCCTAGAGCTTAAAAAATATCAAAAACTAGACTTGGATTCAAGGATGGCGATGGCTCTTCATCTTTTGAGACCAATCTCTCTCTGGCTCTTCATCTTTTGAGACAAAATCAAGTCTTTTCTCGGACTCTGTTGCTTCATTCTGTCTTGAGTAACAACAGGCACTCACTGTTTTCTTTTTGACTTGTTTTGTTAGACTTTCTGGAAGAAAAAGTGCAGATCAATCCTTAAAATCAGTCAAATTAATCTGTTTCTCTTTTCAGATAACGAAAGCTGAATTGGGTTTATAATTACGCAATTGTGGCTAATTCAGTATATTCGAAAATTGGCTTGCTTTTCGTTTTTTTTTTTTTTTTTGATATGTATATATTGGGCTCTGGCTACTTTCCCAAGTTCATGATGGAGCCATGAAAAAATTGGCAACTGTTGGGTTTTCTTTCTTAATATTTTTGGTTTTCTAAAAGCGAATATGTGTAATTTGAAGATTTTGGGCTTTGATTTGAGTCTGTATCAATTCAATATTCATTCATGCGGTTTGATTTTAGTGTTTGTCCCAGATGAATCTCTACTCTGATGAGACGAAACATGGCTTTGAGCATACTTTGGGCTGGCTAAATCGGTGGGCTTGTTCACGATCTTTTGGTCTTGGGACTCGCATTCCATGGAATCCAGAATTTCTTGTTGAGTCATTATCTGACTCCACTATTTACTTGGCTTATTACACTGTTGCCCACTTTCTGCATAATGAGGACATGTATGCTACGAACAAGATTCATCCTATTAAACCTGAGGAAATGACTGACGATGTCTGGAATTTCATCTTCTGTGATGGCTCATACCCCAAATCATCAAAAATAGATCCATCTATTCTTGTTGATAAGATGAAGCAGGAGTTTGAATATTGCTACCCACTCGATCTTCGAGTCTCTGGAAAGGACCTAATTCAGAATCATCTGACATTCGGCATCTTCAACCACTGTATGGAAATATGGCATAGAGGTTTTTCATTACTTGATTTCAAAGCTGATGACCTTCTCATACAAGTTACTTGGAAGAGGCTCTGTGTTGTGGAATCTTTCAAGAAATTTGCTCCTGGATTGCAGTTAGTGGTAAAAGAAGGTCTTCTATGAGTGCATTAACTGTCTTCTTTAGTTGCCTGAGACGTTGAATTTTTTCCTCCTTTTGGTTTCTAAAAAACCAGATATAGATGTTTTGGGAATTCAGAGATGGCTATGTTTTAAGTTTGAAATTTTCCTGACGACATCAGATCTATTTATTATCATCATTGGGAGGTGACTTGGTGTTCATGTTGCTAAAGTGCAAATGCTGCGGGTTTCCTAGACGAGCAAGATATAGATATGGAAAAACAAAGATTTTTACAAGCTTCATTCTTGGAATTTAGAGATATCATGAAAGAAAAAGAAGATTCTGAAGAAGGGATACAGAAGGGAGTGGACTGCAGAAAACCATTGATGGAGTTCACGGCATTGTTAAAAAAAGAAATCTTTTTTTTTTTTTTGGATGGAATGAAAATTGGATTCTTGGTTTTCATTTCAGACAGAAGTACAGAACCACATTATTTAGTCTCATGTTACTGTTTTTGTCTGGAATAATTCTGTAACCTAAAAGGTAGCAACTTGCAAGAGCATAATGCTTTGCTTAACAAATCTGCATGTTTTTTGATTGGGTAATACTTCTCAGTGCTGGAAATCCAACGTCAATCAAAGTAAAATGAAAATCACAATCTTAATAAGTCCTCCTTGTCTGAAAAACCATACATGCTCCTTACAAATACAAACTTTAGACAATTTGTCTGAAAAATTTTATGTAAATTTAGTCATTTTTTGGTTATGTCTGACCATCAATTTTTTAACTATCAACTGAAATGATTAAAATAATATTTAATAATTATATATAAAAAAAATTAATTGAATAGCTTTCATAGATATTGGTCGAATTTCTTTTTTTTTTTTGCAACCATTAGAACTATTTTTTTCAAAATAATTTTAAATATAAAAAAATAGAGGTGCTTAAAATTTTAGACATAATTTTAAGCATTTAGTTCATTGTCAAAATTTTAATCGTTCCATATAATGGAAAAATATAAAATTTTTCCACAAAATAATAATTTAAGATCAAAATAGATTAAATTGATAGTCTAAATATTATTTTACCACCACTCCGATAATTGAGAAATAAAATATGCCATTAAACCCCAATTAGCCTGATCCAAATCATGTAGAGAAATTGAGATGAATTGAAAATTGAAATCATTAAAAGTAGAAAAAAGAAAATTAAGAAAATCCCAAATGGACCCACTTCATGAGTGTTGTGATTTGGGAAACTCACAAGTCATTACAATTACATGCAAGGACAAACATAGTAATTTCTCTGCCACCCAATCCACATCCTAACCAAACCCTTTAGCAGCCCTATCACTTCACCAGGTGGCACTTTATCACCTCACCACCACTGCTCCTCCCCCTTCCACCACTGCCACCGCTACAGCTATCCCACAAAATTACTAAAACACCCTTACAAAACCCACCAACTAAAAAGTTAAAAAACACCCCTACATTATACTAACTATGCAAATTAGCCCATCATGTAATACACCCATCAATTGGGCCAGCAAAACACCATATCTTTTTCACACTCCCTTTTCTTCTCTACCTGTAAACAAAACCCACAAAAAGCTCTTCCAAAACAAAAGTAGGCAGCACTTTAACACTAGCATAAGTTATAGAAGTGGTGTATTGTTAAAAAGGATGACTTGTGATTCAACTGCGAAAACATCTGGTGGTTATGGTGGTGGAGATGAGAACGGGTCTCTGAGGAATTTCAAGCTGAATGAATCAACTTTTTTGGCTTCTTTGATGCCTAAGAAAGAGATTGGTGCTGATCGCTTCATTGAAGCTCATCCTCAATATGATGGCCGCGGTGTCATCATTGCTATCTTTGGTATACTTAAATATAAAAAGAACCCGTCTCTTCTTTTTTTGGTTATAGTATTCAAAAAATCATTGCTTGTGTGTCATTATTATTAGGAATTGATTGATAAAAAAGGAACCCTTCTTTTTTCTCTCTGTCTCTTGGCTTTGTAGTTATTAAGGGTTGTTTTAATTTATGGTTTAGATTCTGGAGTTGACCCGGCTGTCTCTGGTTTACAAGTGACATCAGATGGGAAGCCTAAAGTGCTTGATGTTATTGATTGGTAAGTTTAAAAATTTGAAATAATTGGTGGGGAGTCTTTATTATTTTTTGGATCACTAGTAATCTTAATGTTTCCGTTTTGTTTGCATTAATTTTAAAGTTTGGAAATTTTTTTGTGTGTTTTATGAAGTACTGGGAGTGGAGATATTGATACTTCTAAAGTGGTGAAGGCTGATGAAAATGGTTGCATACAAGGAGCTTCAGGTCTGGTTTGGCTGTTCATTCATTTGCTTGAATCACGAACGATTTGCTTATGTTCTTTGTTTGTGTCAGCCTTTTGACACTGTTAATCACTGTGTGTGCTAACATTTGCAGTAGCCTTTTCAATCCTGTGCTTTTTTTTCTTTTTTTCGGAAACAGGGACTTCTTTGGTTGTCAATTCCTCATGGAAGAATCCTTCTGGTGAATGGCATGTGGGTTACAAGTTTTTGTATGAACTACTTACCGACACACTGACTTCTCGATTGAAGGTAAAGCAATATAATTTGCAACTTTAAGAAAAAAGATTTTAAGCATTTGTTAATTTCACTGATAAGAATAATCTATCCTTTTTACCATTTGCTAACAGAAAGAGAGGAAAAAGAAGTGGGATGAGAAAAACCAAGATGAAATTGCCAAGGCTGTAAAGCATCTGGATGAATTCAACCAGGTTGTATGAACATATTGCTTCTGCATTTCTCTGTTGCATGTGTATCAGTCATTAAGAAGTGTAAATGCTATTTCATTCAAATCTCAGACATGTGTATCAGACAGTAAAGTTTCTGGTTTCCACATACAAAATAATAATAATGATGATTAATTAATTAATTAATTAAAAATCCATTCCTATAAGGTCGCATTTGCTGCATTCAATGAATTAAACTGAAACTAAAACCAGCACTTGAGATGTATTCATAACATTTTGCTGACTTTGGTGGACCAGTGCTTGCCAAGGCATTGATGTTCTTGATGCCCCCATAGCCTGCATATGTATCTGTATTGCTGCATAATTCTCATAAGATATGCTTGTTTCCAGAAACACTCCAATCCAGAGGACGGAGACTTGAAAAGGGTTCGTGAAGATCTTCAAACCAGAATTGATTTACTACGGAAACAGGCTGATGTGAGTGCCAGGTTCTTTTAATCCATTCCTCTTCCCAAACTTTTTTTGTTTTCCTGAAAATGCAAATCTCTTTTCTATGTTTTAGAGCTATGATGACAAGGGGCCTGTCATAGATGCTGTTGTATGGCATGATGGAGATTTGTGGAGGGCTGCTCTTGACACACAGAGTCTGGAGGATGGCTCAGATTGTGGACAGCTAGCTAACTTTATACCGCTTACAAATTATAGGTATGGTATAGTAAAAATTTCTTCACATTTATCTGCCAGAAGATGCCTTTCATCTTTTCAGACTTCTTGTATCCACACTATATCTTTTGATGATTATTTTATCTGGATTATAGTTCATTCGTTTATGCTTGATTGTTTCATAGATTTGTTCAACATGTGTAGTGTAGAAGGAGAGGGATCCTTGTTGAAGTAAAAGCTATTAGGTTTAGGTATACACAGCATGGTTCAGTCTGTATAAGTTTCTCCTCTATGTGTTTTGGCAAGCTTAGAGAATTTGAGCTTTAGTCCTGCATTTGCAAATGTGTGTACATACATTGTAATGGACACTTGGATGGATACCCTTACATGCAATACTCTGTTTGGATGAAAAACCTGGCATCTGAAGTGTTTTTTTGTTGCATTCTCAAGCTTTTGAGGAATTTTAATCAAACACTTCTTCTGGTCAGATCTTGAAATCTCTGTTAGTTTTGTATTTTAGCAATTGTTAACCTTGGAAGAATTAAATGAGTTAGTAGATCTTTTACTAGATCTGGATGCCTAACTAATTCCACGGAAAATGCTCTTGCAGGATTGAAAGGAAGCATGGTGTGTTCAGCAAGCTAGACGCCTGTACATTTGTTCTTAATGTTTATAATGACGGGAGCATCTTAAGTATTGTAACGGATTGCTCGCCTCATGGCACTCATGTTGCTAGTATTGCTACAGCCTTCCACCCAAAGGTACTGCTATTTAAGTTACTTTTGTTTTTCCTTTTGCATTCGTTCTTTCTAGAAACGACTTGACTTCTGTCATTTTCATCTATGTCAGGAGCCGTTATTGAATGGAGTTGCACCTGGCGCACAATTGATATCTTGCAAAATCGGGGACACACGTTTAGGCTCAATGGAGACAGGCACTGGTTTGACACGGGCCCTGATTGCTGCTGTGGAGGTGTGTATAATTTATTTCCTTTTCTCCAACCAGTTCTCACTACCAAAATGCTAGCTAAACCACTCCTCGCAAGAGGACATTGCAAGTTCCAATTCCTTTTCCCCAGAGCAAACAAAACGCGGGGCAGGGGGGTATTGCTGAGATAAATAATATTTTGAATTCCTTTTGTCCATTCTTGACGGCTGCAGTACTGCCGTTGTATTGTTCAATTTTTCATTCACGGGTTGTTTACTTTTAACATATTGTATTATTGACGATGCACATATTATATATATATGGCTAATTATATTTTTTTAATATTATAGTGTCTTAACTAAATGATAGTTTTGTTTTTCCAGCATAAATGTGATCTCATCAACATGAGTTATGGGGAAGCTACGTTACTTCCAGATTATGGCCGCTTTGTTGACCTTGTTAACGAAGTATCAAACCCGGACCTTGCAATTTCAGCTTTGATAAGTATTGATCTTCTTTTCTGTATTTACTCTTTCATGTTCTGATATGCTATGGGTTACCATTTCTTTTAATTAGGTGGTGAACAAGCACCGTCTTATATTTGTAAGTAGTGCTGGCAATAATGGTCCAGCATTAAATACTGTTGGTGCTCCTGGTGGTACAACTTCAAGCATTATAGGGGTCGGTGCATATGTCTCTCCTGCAATGGCTGCAGGTGCTCATTCTGTAGTTGAACCTCCTTCTGAAGGACTTGAATACACTTGGTATATTAATTTTCTTTTGCCTAACTCTATACTTAAGTTTCTGCAAACTCAACTTTAGGCCATCGTTATTGTTCGAACGTGAATACTTTGTAATTTGTTGAAATGGGATGCAGGTCAAGCCGAGGACCAACTTCCGATGGAGATCTTGGGGTTAGTATAAGTGCTCCTGGAGGGGCTGTTGCTCCTGTCCCTACCTGGACTCTTCAAAAACGCATGCTTATGAATGGAACATCAATGGCATCTCCATCTGCTTGTGGTGGAGTTGCATTACTTATTAGTGCAATGAAGGTTCTCATTTATCATTCAATTCCTTTTATCCTTCTTTTGTCCTTGTTGCATAGTTGGCTCTACTTTGTCAGTGTTAAATTAAAGCTTCTTGTGGGAACATCATTTGTGCAGGCTGAGGGTATTCCTGTAAGTCCGTACAGTGTGAGGAAGGCCCTTGAAAATACATCCGTTCCTGTAGGTGAATTGCCAGCAGATAAACTATCCACTGGACAAGGGCTTATGCAAGTTGACAGGTTAGGTTTTCTTCCTAGGCCTTTGTTCCTTTACAATTGTCAGCTGTACTCTGTCTTAACCATTTGTTTCATGACAGGGCACATGAATATATAAGGCAGTCCCGGAATACTCCACATGTTTGGTATGAAATAAAGGTCAATCAATCTGGAAAATCAAGTAAGTATTGGTGATGTCTTCCAACTCCACACATAATATGCAAACACGAACTTATTCGGTTTGATCATTATGTGATGTTGAAATTTTGAAAAAATGTGATATTTTCTGACTATTGTATAATTATTTTAATGTAATTGCTATGCCACTCATGATGATTCGTTAGCTATTGGGATATTTTGCATGATATTTGGAGATAATCCTGCCTTGCTTAAAACTGATTCCATGAATTTTTGAGGTTTTTAAAGTTTTTCAAGGAAGTTTTAGCTATTTGTCACTAGCGATCAAGTTTCTTCTGCTCGTGACAGGATTGTAGAATAACTAGTAGATTTTAGATTATCAGTGCAGTGAAATCATAACTCTATTTATGATGCATTTTTGCTGCAGCTCCTACTTCACGAGGCATCTACCTGAGGGAGGCTAGTGCTTGCCAACAACCTACAGAGGTGCAGGCATTATTAAACTCGATGCTGATTGTTATTGTAAAAAATATGCGTACATACATCATACATGTGATAATTCTGTTTGAGCTTGTTGAATTCCTGGAATTCTTTTGGAGGCATTTGTTAACTTTCTGGTTGTTTTTCAGCTTAAAACAACCATAGTTATCATCAGCTTGAATCATGTGAATGAATTGGTCATGCTTCATGACATTGCACCTAGTATAGATCACTATGATTATTTCAATCCAAGTTCTGCTCTTGTTTCCTCTGCCTGAAAACCATATTTTGTAGGGAAAAGTTGATTGGAAATCAGTTTATCCAATTGCTACAGGGAGGTGGTTTCTTCTTATAGTTACTATCTATCCTGATTTCTGTATTATATGCAGTCGTTTGTTAGCCTTTTTTTCCATATATGCTTGTTTCTTTGTTGGTGCCTATGTTTTCTATTGTTTTCTCATCTTGCTATTTTTATCAAGACAGGGTTGCATGAATTTTCATTTTTATCATGTGTTGTCATAATGCGTTGTCAACAGCTGTAGCAATTGGTGTCCTTACTGCTAATTTGTAGCTTATAAATGCTATATAATTGTACACATGATTAGTGAAATGTGATAATGTTCGATTACTTATATCATATTATATTGTTTGAATACTTATATCATTTAAGAATTCCTTCCATGTTTATCTATCTTATCCATTACATTGATAGGAACGGGTATGCCTTCTGGCAACAAGTTTTTTCAGTTCCACCATATCTGTCATTTTCATAACAACTAAAGTAATATTCTTGACAGTGGACGGTGCAAGTCCAACCAAAGTTTCATGAAGGTGCAAGTAACTTGGAAGAATTGGTTCCCTTCGAGGAATGTATTGAGTTACACTCTACCGAAAAAGCTGTTGTGAGGGCTCCTGAGTATCTCCTTCTCACTAACAATGGGCGCAGCTTCAAGTTAGTTAGCATCACTCTGGTCCATCTTCTCATTTTGAGGAATTCTTCAATGTTTTCAGATTATGGATGTTATGTACATTTTGTTTTGCCTATTTTGACTTTCTAATCATTTCATTCATTCTTTACTTTCGTTTTTCAACTCTTTTGGTTGATTGTTGAGGCTCTATGCACTGAAATGATATGAAACTACCATAAACTGGTTCTACTCTTAAACTTGTATGCCAGATTATCATTAGGAAGATGTCATGAGAGTGCTCACAACTGCATTCAAACAGATATTTGTTCATGCGCATCATTCTAAGAGAGCCATCTGTTGTTTTCCCAACCTTATGTGGAACCATTTGTGGCTTTCTCTTACCGCCTGTTATTAGTCCAACTTGAAAGTTTCAGCATTTTGGCTTTGAAGTATCTGTTGTTTATGTTCTCACTAGCAGGATCTTATTTTAGATGTTGAGAGGTGCTTCATTTTACTAATGTCTGTTTCTTTTCCTTTCTTTTCAGCATAGTGGTTGATCCCACCAAGCTAAGTGATGGTCTACATTATTACGAAGTATATGGGGTTGATTGCAAAGCACCATGGCGCGGTCCCATTTTCAGGATCCCAGTCACCATAACAAAGCCTATGACAGTGAAGAATCAGCCTCCGGTTGTGTCATTTTCTAGGATGTCATTTCTGCCAGGTTACTTTTGTTCTATCCTATATATGGTGATATGATATTATGATTTTGGGCCTTGAGGGATTATAGGTTACGCTACCTTGATGTCTGAGCAAGCTTTTATAGCAGAACTTAAATCATTTTTCTTCTTATCGTGGTCAAATTCTTTGAACAGGGCACATAGAAAGGAGATATATTGAAGTGCCGCTTGGAGCTACTTGGGTTGAGGCAACTATGCGAACATCAGGGTTTGATACAACTAGACGATTTTTTGTTGACACTGTTCAGGTACAGCATGCAGTGAGAATGTTATATTGTGTTTTATAGACCTCCTTTAATGTGGTTCTGATGTGCAGATTTGTCCCTTACAAAGACCTATGAAGTGGGAGAGTGTTGTAACATTTTCTTCTCCAACTGCCAAAAGTTTTGCATTTCCTGTTGGGGGTGGTCGGACAATGGAATTAGCTGTTGCTCAGTTTTGGTCAAGTGGGATAGGAAGTTATGAAACCACCACTGTAGACTTTGAGGTAACAAGCCATTTCCAAGCTTTTTGTAGTTTATTAACTGGCTGTTTATTGGGCGGGTTTTTTTTCCTTTTTTTTTTCTGGGAGGATAATTGCTATGAATAGTGTATGGACTCTGGCTTGCCATTTCGTATAAGCTTTTGATTGATTGGGGTGTTCTATAGACAGAAATATTACATCTTGTGAAATAGAAAATAAAGCTAATATGTTCTGCTAGTCCATTGATTTGGTTAACAATCAGAAAAGTAAAATGCTAGCATATATTTTGTTATTTTGCACCTTCTAAATAATATTGTTGCTCTTTTATTGTTACAATGCCTAGATTGTGTTTCATGGGATTGCCATCAATAAAGAGGAAATCATTCTTGATGGAAGTGAAGCACCTACAAGAATTGATGCTGAAGCTCTACTGTCATCTGAGAAACTCGCCCCCGCTGCTACTCTGAATAAGGTGAAATAGCTTCTCTTTTCTAGATGACATGGATTGTAATTGTTCCTTCTGTTTCCCTTTAAATAAATGCAGGACTTTTCTTTTGGTGTGGTTGTTTGCTTTTTAATGCTGCATTCCTTCATGTTCTCCTTACAGATAAGAGTTCCATATCGACCCGTTGATGCTAAACTTAGTACCCTTACAGACAATCGCGACAAGCTACCCTCTGGAAAACAGACACTGGCACTGATGCTAACGTAGGTTACCGTTCTACTTCTTTATATTCACTGATTTCAACTCTTATCACCATCTACTCCTTTATCTTTGTTGTTTTCCAGTTACAAGTTTAAATTGGAAGATGGAGCTGAAGTAAAGCCCCAAGTTCCATTGCTTAATAACCGCATTTATGACACGAAATTTGAATCACAATTTTATATGATTTCTGACATGAACAAGGTACTTAAACAATTTATATTGTCTTACCATATAAAATTTTAAAATGCATGTTGATCATTGCTCAAGGACTGGAATAGTTAACTAGTAGTATAAGACTTGGATTTCTTGGAAGTCAATTTAGTATTTCAATTATTAGCTATACACTGAAAAATGTTGCTCTAAACACACGCTATTGTGTACTGCTTCATATCATTCGATGTGCCAGCAAGTTAAATGCTTTCTCTATGTAGTAACAGATGATGCTTATCATTCCCTTTTCTTTTGAATGTGTAGAGCCGATTCCTGTTTTTTTATTTTATTTTTCCCTTTTTGACCACAGCGTGTATATGCCATGGGTGATGCCTATCCTAGTGCTACAAAACTTCCTAAGGGTGAATACAACTTACGCCTATATCTAAGGTATGTCCTGATCACTGAGGCTGCCAAAAATGTATTCAAATTCGCATCTAATAACCAATTTTCTTCATAATTTTATTTGTACTTGTTTGTATCGGATTCTATGAATTCAGGAAAGTAGGAAAAACCTCATTTTTTCTTAATTACAACTAGAAACATATAATAATTTTTTAAACTTTATTTGGTAGTGAATGCTTAAAATCCAGGTTGATCTCTGCTATGATACTGATTATGTTTCAGGCATGACAATGTGCAATATTTGGAAAAGATGAAGCAGTTGGTTTTGTTTATTGAGAGAAATTTGGATGACAAGGTAGTACAACCTTTATTTTAACATATTGAATTTTTTAGCTTTTAGATGAAGTAAACGGGTGCCAAACTATTGAAGTTGGCTTTCTGATATTTTCAATAGAATAAATTGACTTTGGCTTTCCTTTTGCCCAATACAATATTGGTTCCTCTCATTTGAGCGCTCTTTTTATTTAGGAAATTGATATATTGCAAATGATCTCAAATAATTGATTCTGGTCTTTTTAATCCAGGATGCCATTCGATTGAACTTTTTCTCTGAACCAGATGGTCCTGTTATGGGAAATGGTGCTTTTAAGTCCTCAGTTTTAGTTCCAGGGTATGTTCCGTCCTGAATAATTATTTCCATGGTTTACTAACATTGTGTTATTTCCTGTTTCAATGTGCATTTTATAACTTCCAAGTTATTTTGTAGGAAGAAAGAAGCAATTTACTTGGGCCCACCAGTGAAAGACAAGCTCCCGAAGGTATTGTCCCGATTCTCAACTCTTGTGGTAAAAGAACAATATAAACTGGAATTGCTCAATGATGCTCTTGAAATTCTGCAGAATGCTTCACAAGGATCTGTACTGTTTGGAGCAATCTCATATGGAAAGCTGTCATTTGCTGGCCAGGACAGGGGGAGAAGTCCACAAAAGAACCCTGCATCATACCGAATCTCTTATGTAGTGCCACCAAATAAGGTTGCATATATTTCCTTTGTTTTTTCGCCCTTATAAGTCATTTTATGAGTATCTAAAGAAGATGCCTGCCATTGTAAACTAAACCTGAGGCCATGTTTATCTTTTGCTAATGTTGCTTCAACAGGTTGATGAGGACAAGGGAAAAAGTTCTTCAACTAGCTCGAAAACTGTGGCCGAGCGTTTGGAAGAAGAGGTACTTGTGCCAAGATGGGCTAAGTACATTTTCAAGTAATTTGATAATTGTGATGCAGTCGATTCTTGTATTAGCAACAAAAAACTATGGTCTTATCACCTTATTTGGATGCTGTGAAGTAGCATTCATTGAATTGCTTTGCATCATCAAACAGGCACATGCCTCTGGGAACATTTTGCTTGAATACTTTGATTTTTCTGTTAGTTTTTAGTTTTTGATGTTCTGTCCATCCTATACTGTTGAATACTGAGGTTTTGATTTTAGAGCTTTTAACTGCTTGAATACCTCAGGTTCGAGATGCAAAGATGAGAGTTCTTTCAAGCCTAAAACAAGACACTGATGAAGAACACTCAGAATGGAAAAAGCTATCCACTTCTCTTAAGGTTGGATATTGCTAAACTTAAAGACTAATATACTACTGTCCTTTTTAAGCTATTTCTTAACATTGTGAAGAACTAGCATTTCATGATTTGAAAGCGTTAAGGTTTGTTTTTTTTTTTTTTCAAACTAAACTATTTAGGTCAAATCATCCTATGATTGAATAATTCAAAATCCTGTAAATTTTCAAGAACAAGTGGTTAAATTTTGTCCCATACAATGAAATTTCAGCGTCATGTTGGATTATAATGCATTTAACTTGGCTAATTTTCATATAGCTGGTAGAGGTTTCCAAAATTAAAGAATCTTGCTTTGCTTGTCCTGTTTGTTTTGCATTGACTCGAGGACACTTGCACCATGAGCAATTCTTGCAAGCTTTGAAACCTCAACATGTGCTTAGATCATATGCATTTCAGGCCTTTGAGACTCGGCCTCCTAAGCAGTAGGCAGCCAATCACATTTGAAGGTTATAAATTATTTCAATACATTGTCACCTAATAATTATCATGTATTTGGCAGTCCGAGTACCCAGACTATACTCCACTACTTGCTAAGATTTTGGAAGGCTTGCTTTCGCATAGTAACGTGGAAGATAAAATTCGTCATCATGAAGAGGTAAGTTCTATAAAAAGAGTAATAAGAGTATACGTTGTAGTGCAAGTTTTTTCACGTCCTGTATTGAGAGGAGTGCTATGGAAATGGCATTTCACTTGTGCATGCATTCTGCAGGTTATAGATGCAGCAAATGAGGTAATTGATAGTATTGACGAAGATGAGTTGGCAAAATTCTTTTCGCTCAAGAGTGATCCAGAAGATGAGGATGCGGAGGTGTGTATCTTTGTTGCTAATTTTCCACCTTCCTTGTGGTTATCTTTTTGACAAAATTTCTTGGAGACTTTTCAAAGTTCAAAAATGAGCTATTGGTATATTAGGTTTATCGAAAATAACACGAAATGGTTTCTTTAGTTTTGTGGTTTTAGTTTCTTATGCCCAAGATGATGTGAGCTCTGCTCCCTCCTACTGTTATCATCTTTCTCCATTATTTTTTTTTCCACTTTAGCATGTATTTTTGCTTTTTAAGTTGAATAGCAGTTATGAAGCTGCATTTGTTATGCTTTTATTGTAGAAAAAGAAAAAGAAAATGGAGACAACCAAGGATCAATTGGCCGAGGCATTGTACCAAAAAGGGTTGGCATTGGTGGAGATTGAATCTCTAAAGGTAGCAAAGATCATCTCTGTCTGGTTTTAGGTTTATGCCCGTTGAAGTGGTTTATTGTAATTCTAACATATTTGTCACATGTAACTGGTTTTTCCTCTAATACTTATGTCCAATTGACAAGACAAGGGTGCTGGTGTCAAAATCTGGATTGGATAGGCAAATTTTTTTTTGCTTTCCGAAACATGTGTGCTTCCCCTTGGTCTTTTAAAAGGAAAAAAAAAATGTTTTCAAGGAGAGTTGAAGAACATCATTGATTAGAGGGAGAGAGTTGGATCCCTGCAACCGTGGTCTTTTTGAAATTTTGACTTGAGCAACGACCGACCTTTATTTTTTCTTACCTTGAACTATTCTTTTGGTTTTCTTTTTTTGTTTTTTGGTAAAAGGATTCTACACAGTATTTCTATAGGTGTTTGATTTGCCAAATTCCAAAACATGGATGCATAGACTGATAATGATGGGCTTATATCTATTATTGCACTAAAACACGAATGCAGTTTCAGTGGTATTTGCGAGTATTTTACAACTATTATAATGGCAGGGTGAGACAGCTGAAACCGAAGGCACAAAAGATTTGTTCGAGGATAATTTCAAAGAGCTGCAAAAATGGGTTGATGTAAAGTCCTCTAAATATGGAACCCTCTTAGTGCTACGCGAAAGACGACGTCGAAGGCTAGGAGCGGCACTAAAGGTAAATCTTTTCTTCCTTGCGTCATGTTTCCTTGTTAAGGATGTCGCACTTCATGGATTTTTCAGATCACAAGATAACATATGCCGTTTTTCATTTGTCAAGAAAGTGTGTTGAGAAGACATATTAGGGTTTGGTTATTATATTTAGTTGGTTGGTCATTTTACTGGAACCTGATCAATGATCATCCATTGCTCCAGGCATTGAATGAAATGATGCAAGATAATGGAGATCCACCCAAAAAGAAGCTCTATGAACTGAAGCTCTCATTGCTTGATGAGATTGGATGGAATCATTTAACAGCATACGAGAAAGAGTGGATGCTCGTGCGGTTCCCACCAAGCTTGCCTCTTTTTTAAGCTTATTTACTACTTCAAGATTAAATAACAAGAATCTCTTCTTCAAGATTAAATAAATTTACTTCTTTTTTAATATATATATATAACCTAGCCAATTATTTACATGAACTTCGCCTAAATCATTTTGCTGCATAAACTTTAGATGAATAAATTCCGGTTCTCATAAAATTCATGACTCACGAGACATGACGAAAACAAAATAAGACAAACTTCAAAAAAGTCTCCAACTTATAAGGGAAATTTCAATTAGGTCCTCAACCTATTTTTCCTCTCGATTAAGTTCTAATGCATTAATGTATTATCAGTAAGATCCTTTACTAGTTTCAGATACCAAAAATAATAAATAAACACTTGAAACTTGCACAACATCTCTTTCTCCAATTTTTAATTGGATGAATTTACTAAAATCATCATTTCGTTTGATGAATGAATTACATAAAAAAATAAAAAAAAAAACCGTAAATATTCTGTATTTCTTTATATAATTGGATGAATTTACTAAAATCATCATTTCGTTTGATGAATGAATTACATAAAAAATAAAAAAAAACCATAAATATTTTGTATTTCTTTATATAATCTAGTCTTTTGCATAACTAAAGAGTTTATAGTTCAATGATAATAGTTTCTTATTACAAGAGCTTACCGATTCAAATCCTAACAGGTTAATTCTATTAAAAACCATAAATGTGTGAGTTAAAAAAAAAAATTTATGGCATAAATCTCATGTGATTCAAAACAAAAATCTTAAAGAATTTGATGGTTTTTCATTAAGAAAAAAATGTGTTTCAGTTGATTAATTAACTTTTTGTTAATTAAAACTAAATGAAGTATCTAATTGAGAATTCATTGATACATTAGATACTTAATTAAGATTAAAAATTAATTGGAGACCTAACCGATATTTCCCCAAAGGTTGGGGACTCTTATGAGGTTTTTCCAAGAAAATAGCACCACTATTATTTTAAGATTTCAGCGAGCCATCATTTGCATGTTCAAACAAGTTGTAGGGAAGGCCAATTCAAAAGGCTAATAGCCCAAGGCCCAGAATCTAAACCTAAAAGGAAGATCCAACTCAATCTGAGCTAGGCGAAAACAGGCCCAAATCCAGAATCCAAATTATGAATTAATTAAACCAAACCAGTATTAACGAAACGACACCGTCTTGCCGCATCTCTTCTCCCGAAATCCCTACCCATCCAGCCCGCTTCCAGGAATACGCCAACCACCGAAGTTGTTCTCCATCCGAAGTTTCAGTTTCTTCAATCCATTGCGCTTGAAACTTGGAACAATCATGTGTTTCACTGTTATCAAAAGCCTATCAAAGTTTAATATATATATTTTGAATGCTAGCTATTTTTTTTTTTTTTGCATGATTTTTTAATAAATCTCCATTTTATAACATTCCAAACTATGAAACTAATGACAGTTTTTTGAATTGATCGATGAAAAAGAACACTTGAAAATGATTAATTCTGACAACTAAAATGATCAAGAACTTACATTCTACATTATTCATTTATTTTACAGGTGAATGATTAAGCCACAAGACAAACAAACAAAAAACGTAGGTAAGTAGCTAGTGGTCAGAAAACTACACATGACCAAAACTATTAATAACATGCAAAAATAGCTAGCTAGCTAGTTTACAAGGGTTTGACAACGAGTGGCAGACCATGGCTAGGCCTCAAGGAGAGAACAATGGCAGGAGCATGACTGTAAGTTGGAGAGATGGAGAACGAAGACCTAGAGAGAATTAAGGTTAGCACAATCTTGTACTCCATCGTCGTCAAGTTCCTACCAATGCACATTCTTCCTCCAAAACCAAACGGCAAAAACCCCATCTTGTGTTTGCATCCACCGTACAGTGGGTCATCTCTGAACCTCTCTGGTTTAAACTCATGCACATCTTCCCCCCATAGCTTAGGGTCATGGTGCATGGCTACAACATCGATCCACATGTTGGTTCCATTAGGTATTATTAGCTCATTCACTTTAATATCTTCTCTTGCTTGCCTCTGTACGTTTGGTGCTGGTGAGTATAGCCTTAAAACTTCATTCATCACCCATCCCATCTGCAAACACACAGCATTCACAAAATATCAGTAATCTGCATGCCCACCCAAAGGCAAAATAAGCTTTTATATATATATATATATATATATATATATACACACACACACAAGTGGTCTTTTTTTTATAAAAAATCACGGATTTAAATTTTAACAGATTTTATTTTTTTACACTCACACACCTAATGCTTATTATAGAATTAATCTGTTAGGATTTAAATCCGTGGCATTTTATTGTAATAGACTGTTACCACTTAGTTATGAACTTTTTAATTTAAATCTTAATAAATTAATTTTGTTATGAATCTTGAATGTGTAAAATATATATATATATATATCGTTCTTCGAGTTATCACATTTAATCAATCATTTTTTAAGTTAAAATTTTTTATTTTTTAATCGATCATTAAACTATTTCTTAAATCAAACTAACATAAATTTAATATTATTAAAAAATAATTATGATTAATTATTTGTTAAGGATGAAAATTGAATATTAAGCAAGGTAAACGTAAGCTTGCTACCGTCATTTTTTGTGAGGTTTAATGGACGGTTAGAGGAATGTCGTCAAGTAGGCCGTGTCAGCTTTGGCCAGTCAAAGTCCTTGGGGTTTAGACATGTGTCAGGTGGGAAGAAAAGGTAACAATTAGTTAGTACGTGTGTGACAAAGACATGTCATCCCAAGTACCAGAAGCCGGAAGAGGTGTGCGTGTGGACTAAGACCATCTTGTGTTTGACCTTGAATATCGAGTTAAAATTTGGTAAATAAACACCAACTCCGATAAATAGTTTTCAAAATCAAATTTATTTTTATTTAACATATCTTTGGACCATTCCATTTCTTTTTATTCCTCTCGAATTCTCGTTCTACATCAAGAAAAGAATTCTGTTTGAAAAAAAGAGGTCAAGAAAAGAATTTGTAATTGCATAATTTTTCAAAATCGTTCAAAAAATTGTTCACCAATTTTTATAAAAATAAATGGTCAAGATTTAGTCAAACTTAACTCGCTTGTTTATCAAGTGTATTAGTTTGTGTTAGAAAAAGTCGAAATGAACTTAAAGAAAAACAAAAATATGTAATGCTTAATTACGTTTAGAAAATACACCACACTATCCTTAAGGTGATTATTGCCCCCACTATAATGCTGCAGGGATTTTAGCAATTCACCTCTAGGATACAATTTTCGCACACAAGGAACTACAGGGAGCACTCCCGAAATTCCTTCAAGAAATAATCAAGTGCTAAGTGCTAGTATTTTATTATTTAAATATATATATTTATATATATAATACCAACCAATTATCCTAATTTTGCCTCCAATTCCTCCAATCAAATGTTTGAAAGTTTTGCTAGAGGCCCACTTTATAAACTCGCCTCTTATTTTCATTCCTTTCCAATATGGGATAAAATCCCACTTGAAAACACTTTCAACTTTCAAATTTCCTTCACAATACACTTAACTTATTATCTAACATTCTTAAGATTTCTAACAATCCCCCACTTAGATAATAATGTTAAGTCTTTATAGAATCACGCATAAAGGAAGATGTATTTCGACTTGAATCTCCTTTTAGTGTAAATATCTCAAAGTCTTAATGGAATAAATGGTATCTTAGGCGATTGAACCAATATCCCTTGTATTAAAACCGGCAATACCACACACGTGATCTAATCCAACTTCTTTTAGAAATTCTCAAATAATCTTTTAGCACTTATATGGCCTATGTGCTACATCATAGATTTTCATAAAAATTTCCAAAAGTCGACCCTTGAGCTTTTGCTAGGAGCGGCACCACTCCTTATGTTTATATAAGTGAAGTTCCTATTAAATTCCGAATATATTGGTCATATTCCATAACTTAATCCTCATTAAGAGTTTATAACTCATCCTCTAAACTTTATTAGTACTAGGTAACTTGGAATGGTGACATAAGTGAAATATCCTAGTACTTCCACAACTACTTATCGGTAACTTATTTTTACCCATTGAACTTTTAACTAGTGGCAATACTAGAGAAAAGTTGGGTTTCTATTACTCGGTGACTCTAGGAGAAGGGTCTTAAACCCATTCCAATTGAAGTTTTTCTTACTAAATCTTTAGTAAGCCCTTTTGTAAACGGATCCACTAAGTTGTTACTTGTTCTTACATATAAGATTGTCATAATTCCTTCAAGAATTAATTTTTTGACATATTTATGTCTCGAGCTTATATGTCTAGATTTTTCATTATATATCTTGCTAAAAGCCCTAGATATAGTAGCTTCACTATCGCGAGTGTAAAAAAATGGTCGGCATCGATTATGGCCATAACTCTATTTCTAGCAATAAATTCCTTAGCCATTCTCGCCTCTTTTCCTATGGTCGCCGAGTGCAACAAACTCGGATTCCATAGTGGAATGAGTTATACACGTCTCGTTTCTTGAAGCCTATGAAATAGCTTCTCCACCAAGAAGTGAATATCCAACCGGACGTAGACTTGTTATCTCTAGCACTTATTATCTAAATAGTATCGGTATATCCCTCTAACACCGATGGATAACTCTCATAAGACAGTCCTAAACTCAAAGTTCTTTTGAGATAACCAAGGACTCTAGAAATTGCTTTCTAATGGTCAACACCAAGTTTACTAGTGTATCTTGAAAGCTTACAAACTGTAAATGAAATGTCCGGCCTAAGTGCAATGCATTGCATACATTAAGCTACCAATTACACTAGCATACTCGATTTGAGCAATTGCTCTTCCAGAATTTTTCATTAACTTATGTAAATTTTCATATGGGGTGCTTAGCTCTTTAATTCCCAAATGTTGATTCTTATTTATAATTGTCTCAACATAATGGGATTAACACAAAGCGTAACCCCCACTAATTTTCTTTACTTTGATTCTCAAAAAGTATCTACCTCTCCTAGATCTTTCATATTAAATTATGAGGATAAGTACTTCTTTGTTTCATTCACACCATCAATATTTATCCCAAATATAAGCATATCATCCACATATAAGCATACGATAACACCATATTCTTTTGTAAATTTAGAATAAATACATTTATCCGTATTATTATGCTTAAATCCATGAGACTACAACAGAATCAAATTTTTCATGCCATTGTTTTAGTGCTTGTTTCAAACCATATAATGATTTAACTAGTTTGCATACTTTCTTTTCATTTTCGAGTAATACAAACCCTTCAGAGTTGTTCCATATATACTTCTTAATCCAAGTCACCGTTCAAGAAGGTCGTCTTAAGATCCATTTGATGCACAATCGGATTATGAATGAAAGCTAGAGCAAACAGTACTCTAATGGATGTTATCCTAGCCACTGGTGCATATGTGTTAAAATAATCAATACCTTCCTTTTGCCTAAATCCTTTGGCTACTAATATAGCCTTAAAAGTTTGTATTGATCCATCGATATTATACTTTTTACGAAATACCCATTTACACCTCATAGGTTTTGAACCGGGAGTTAAATCCACTAACACCCAAGTATTATTGGATAATATTGAGTCAATTTCTTCATTGATTATCTCCTTTTAGAATGCTACATCTTTTGATATCATAGCTTCTTTATAGGTTTTAGAATCTTCTTCTATATTTAATAAAATAGGTATTTTATTAAGTATAGATTTTCTATCTCCTTCAACTAAGAAGACAATAGATCGTGGATCAATAAAATCTGAATTCAAGTTCTTTTCTTTTCTAGTCCTTTGATTTCTCCTAGGTTCACTAGGAGTATCATTAGTTTTTCTCTTACCACTAGATAGTGAACTTGGATCGATTTGTTTATCTGTTTATGTAGTAGCATTAGAATCATTGGTAAATTTATGTTCAATAAATTCGACATCCCTAGATTCTACTATCACATTATTTTCTAAATCTAATAGCCTATATGCCTTGGAATGTTGAGCATATCCTACAAACATACTTCTTAGAGCTCTTGGTCCTAGCTTGGTTTGTTTAGGATCCGTGACTCTATAGAAGGCTAGACAACCCCAAACTCTAAGATAATTTAGATTTGGTTTTCTTTCTTTCCATAATTCATATGGAGAGACTTTAAATTTCTTAGAAGGTATTCTATTATGCACATGACACACGATTAACAATGCTTCACCCCATAAATTATTAGGTAAATTAGCATTCAAAATCATAGCATTCACCATATCAACTAGTGTTTTATTCTTTCTTTCAGCTAAACCATTTTGTTGTGGGGTATAAGGTGCACTCATTTCATGTATAATGCCATTAGCCTCACAAAAGGAAGAAATTCAGTAGAAAAATATTCACCACCTTTATCACTTCTTAACACTTTAATCTTCTTTTCTCTTTGATTTTTAACTTCGATTTATAACACATAAACATGTCGAAAGCTTGATCTTTAGTTTTCATTAAGTACACATAAGTGTATCTAGAATGATCATCAATGAAAGTAATAAAATACCTATTTCCTCCTCTAGTTAAAATTTCATTTAATTCACATATATCGAATGAACAAGTTCTAATAATTCGAAGATCTTAAAACTGAAGGAAAAGGTTTCTTAGTCATCTTTGGTTGTATACAAATTTCACACTTTCCATTACTAGTATCATTGCAAGAGATTAAACCATGTTTTGACATATATTTAATAGAATCAAAATTAACATGTGCTAATCTACCGTGTCATAAATAAAAAGAAGAAGAGTCAACAATATAAGCAGAAACATTCATCTTATTAATAATACCGAGTTTGAACATGCCATCACAAGAGTACCCTTTGCCTACAAAGGCACCATTCTTAGAGAATACAACTTTGTCGGACTCTATTACGACCTTAATCCCCTTCTTACATAACAGATTAGCAAATACAAAATTCTTTCTAATTTTAGGAACATACGGAACATTGACCAGCATTAACTTCTTTCTAGAAGTAAACGATATTTCAACGAGTGCCATTGTCAAGAACCTTTGCGGTGTGCTTATTTCCCATCATCACTTCGTAACCTTCAATGGCCTTCTCAA